TATATATATATATATATATATATATATATATATATATATATATATATATATATATATATATATATATATATATATATATATATATATATATATATATATATATATATATATATATATATTTTTTGGGAGCATGATTAATTAGAATTAATATATATAAAGTAACAATTTCTATTTCATAGTTATTAATTACTGTTAATTTATTTATATGTTTGTAAAACTGTATTTTATTTAGTTGTAATATTTTACTTGTTGGGACATAGTATATTGCACTATAATTCTGTGTAGACACAGATTATAACTACTAAAAGTAAATAACATAAGAAATCAATGTGGTTCGCGCAAAAAATAATCTACATCTACAAGGACTTGCAAACAAGATTACTAGTTCAGATTTACGGTTTATGGTAATAGGACTTATTAAAATATCAAAGACTCCCTCTTTAAATCATATATATGTTCTTGTACACAATTTGAACGTCTCTTGTTTCTTCTCGCAGCTCTTCTATCCGTAATTTCTTGGACTTTCTCCAAGGATAAACAACCTTAAGATGGAGGATGACTTCTCACGAAATCTCTACAATAAACATATATGTGTCGCCACAACAGTAACGAGGGCACATTACTGCTCCGTAAAATCCCCTAGCAAATTAAGACCGAATACTTTGATAGTTTTTCTTCAAAATGAAGTGTTGGGGATTTGTTTGGTTTATATAGGCACGAGATAAGCACTGCAAACACTAGTGCAATCATTTTATGAGTTTATGTAATGTATTGAAATTAGGGTAAATTACAACCAACCCTCGAGGTATGGTCAAATTACGAAACTCCCTGTTGTTTAGGTAATTACAACCACCTCTCTCAACTATAAATCTTTTTACACGTCCACCCTTGCGGTTTTAAATTTAGTGGAATCTTCGAAATTATATGGAATATTATCACTTTTGTACCCGCTTTATCTCATTCGAACTCCACATTTTGAAGCAAGATGATCATAATATGTGTTTTTTGGCTTGTATATATCAGATTGTGGTGCATCAGAAACTGTATTTTTACACAAAACAAGTACAAACTAGAGCACATTCCACAAAATCTAGATAATTATGTTGCATTTGACACCATAAGAGTGGAGATGTAAGAAAAAATTATAATTGAGGGGGTAGATGTAATTATCCAAACAAGAGGGGTTGTTTCGTAAATTAATCATACCTCAGGGTGGTTGTAATTTACCCTTGAAATTATTAGTATACTAGAAAATACGTGGGGGAATGGACATTTTGATATAAAGTATATTAGAAAAATATTAGTATATATATGTGATTGTATTAGGTCTATTAGTACATATTATATGAGTATACGTAATGTACTGAAATAATCAAAAAAAAAATAAAAATTGATATCTTTATAATTTGGAATTACTATTAAACATGGAGTGATGCACCGTTAAGACTGAAAAGAAAAGAGAGATACCAACAGTCACAACACATTAATAAATTAATAATTGCATTAATAAATTAATTATTAATACATATATAGAGAACTGTAGAAACGCCGCCGTACATCATGTATATATATCGAGCAAAACCCTTTATAGTGTACGTACGGAAGGAGACCCCCTATCATAAATCCACCAGACAAAGAGCGTAACCCTACACCGCCAACCAATCACAGCTAGACAGCACATCCTTAAAAAACCACCTGGTTTCATTGACCATGGTGGTTTCTTGTTTCACCCCACCCCCCACCCTCCACCCCCATAACCATTCCACAACTGTATATGCTTTATTAGACAGTACGTCAATATATTGCCGTATATATATAATAAATATTACACGAAGTGAAACCCTTAAATTAATAATAATATATATATATATATATATATTTTTTCATTTTGGTGATACTTATACCGAAATAGATAGAAAGAAAAAACTGTAAGAAGATAAAATCAGTATTACTACTCAACCCTTTTTACCCTTTTATTAACAAGAAATATCTTTCTTTATCTGTTCAAGTGAAAACCACACACTGTGCATCAGGGTTTCCATTTTTAGGTATTTGTGGTGTGTGCTTGCTTGCTTGCTGGCTGGGGACCAAGAAAAGAGAGAGAGAGAGAGAATCTAGAGAGAGAAAGTAGAGAGAGAGATGGGAAGGGGAAAGGTGCAGTTGAAGAGGATAGAGAACAAGATAAACAGACAGGTGACTTTCTCAAAGAGGAGAGCTGGTTTGCTGAAGAAAGCTCATGAGATCTCTGTTCTCTGCGATGCTGAGGTCGCTTTGATTGTCTTTTCTCACAAGGGCAAGCTCTTTGAGTACTCTACTGATTCTTGGTATATCTTCTTTTCTTCTTCTTTTTATTTCTTACACTATATATATATATATGTGTGTGTATACTTTCTTCCTCAACTGATGTATGAAAACTGATGATCTATCTGTCTGGAGGAATCAGAGATCGATCTGTTGTTTTCTTTTTTTTCTGTTATGTGGGCTTTTTTTTATAAAATTAGGGTTTCCTTTTTTTTTTTTTTGATTTTCTGATTATATAGTTTTGTCTAGGTTTTTCATCAAACTTTAAACAAGATTTAGGTTTCTCAGAAATATATATATTGATCTAAAACAACAAATATATAAATATTTAATATAGTTTCAGGTATTTAATTCTCTTGTTTATTTCAGTGGTTTCTATATTTTTTTTTCTGTTATACAATAATAATTTAATTTATAATGTTAATGAAGTCAAGAATTTAATCTACTTTTTGGGATAGCAGATTTGCCCATGAGTTACGAACTATTATTCAGCTAATTGGTTTGTCCAATGAATATTAATTTACTTTTATTTTTTATTGAAAATGAAAATGTTTCTGGTAATGTCGTTGGCTACTGGTTGACAGATGAGAGTCAATATATATATATATATATATATATATATATATATATACAAAATATATATGTGTTAGCTTCAGCTGCTGACACGCAGTTTTGTTGATTCTGTGTGTTATAATTTTTCTTTCATGGGAGCGGCGTATGTTGTCATGCTCTGACTTGATTAACAACAAAAGTTTTCTTCTCTTTTTCCGGTTTTTGGGGATTTCAAATCATCTATTATATTTATTTATTTATAATCAGCAAAATGTATTATATATTAAGATCTCTAGAGTATATATAATATATATATACACATGATTTGAAAGCTGAAGAGGAAAGAAGAGCTGTTTTTTCTTGACATATACGGAAATTCATATTCAGAATGGTGTTTTTCTTCATTTCTATACCGATTTTATAAATAAATAAATAAATAGATACGTAATTATATATCTAAAGAATTAACAAAATGAATAATATATATCAATTGTTAATTAGTCGAAACAGATGTTGTTAGAGGAGGAATAATGACTAGTGAGATGTAGAATTCCAATACTATATAGCGAAGACCTGATCTTGCAGTCTATATATACATTTATTGCATCTCTTGTTTAATTATAATTATTATATATGAAATGATTGTCTTATATTCAAATTTGAGAAATTACATAGAGTTCATGATAATATTTAGTTTCATTATATATATAATAAAGATATTTTTATTGCGTCCATACCCTATTCTAAATATGTCAGCTGAAGAGTAAATGTTAAGAGAAAGAAGAATAATATAATACTGTGTACTACAGCAAATTTTCTAGGTCAGTACAAAATTCTGCAGTTTTATGGCTACCTAGCTTAAGCTTGCTGTAATGTTTCTACAAAGAGATTTCTTCTCTCTCTCTCTCTCTCTCTCTCTCTCTCTCTCTCTCTCTCTCTCTCTCTCTCTCTCTCTCTCTCTCTCTCTCTCTCTCTCTCTCTGTGTGTGTGTGTGTGTGTGTGTGTGTGTGTGTGAGAGAGAGAGAGAGAGAGAGAGATTGCAACAATTGCTTTCTGTTGCAATTGGAATACAAAAATGGTGATAAATTAATTAACCAAAATTTGCTGCTTCTTTCAGTTTTTTATGGGATGATGATTAAAGATTTAAATATTAATTATGTAGGGTTGAGAATATTTAAATAATATTTAGAATGTAATCTGATATATATGCATATGGATAATGAACAGCATGGACAGTATACTGGAGAAGTACGAAAGATATTCATTTGCAGAAAGACAATTAGTTGCTCATGAGCCTGACTCACCTGTAAGTTTTAATTATCTCAGTACCTTATAATAATTAATCTAATTTCAAATATTTTGTCAAATTAATAAATATTTTCAGCTGATCGATTCGGATGAATTTATTTTATACGAGGAATTTGTAGCTTCTGTTTTGATCTTGGATTCGAGTTTTGCAGGCCAATTGGACACTTGAGTACAGCAAACTGAAGGCAAGAATTGAGCTCTTGCAACGAAATCATAGGTAATTTATTAAATGCTAATATATTGTAATTAAAAAAGATAAAATTCATTTAAATACACAATAATATTTTTTTTTATTATTGTATTTCGGTGATCAATCGATCGATGGATAAGGCACTATATGGGAGAAAATCTGGAAAGCATGAGCCTGAAAGATCTTCAGAACCTGGAACAACAACTTGACACTGCTATCAAGAACATTCGCTCTAGAAAAGTAATATATTTCGTATATATATTGCATATTTTATTTAATTAGCATATATATACTAATTAAATTGGATTTAATTTCTTTGATATATATAATATATATTTAATTTGTCCAATAATATTGTGGTGCTTAATTTGGCCATGCAGAATCAGCTCTTGTACGATTCCATTTCTGAGTTGCAGAGAAAGGTTTGCATCCTTCTATTACTATATATTAATTATATATTATGATAATAAATTACAAAATCCTTGTTAATTATCTTGTGTGTGTAAATATTGGGAATAATTATATGTTATATCTAAAAAAAAACATTTTTTTAGTATAGCTGTTACGCTGTATATCTTAGCAATGTTGGTTAATACAGGAGAAGCTTTTCCTTTTTCTCTTTTTTTATTTTTATTTTTATTTTATTTTTTATTTTTACAGGAGAAAGCCATACAAGAGCAAAACAGCATGCTTGTAAAGAAGGTAACTCTCTCTCTCTCTGTTGCTGCCCACCCAAATAGTCAAGAATTTAATATATATGCTGCTATGTATTTTGTGATATATGTATATATATATATATATATATATATATATATATATATATATATATATATATATATAGATCAAAGAGAAGGAGAAGGAAATGGGACAACAGGCACAGTGGGACCAGCAGCAAAACCACTGCGCTAACGCCGCCGACCTGCCGCCGCTTCCACCACCACAACAACAATATTTAATGTCATCTCAGCTTCCTTGCCTAAATATCGGGTATATATGGTCTACTCTATGCTACACGGGATGAAATACACCGGGTAGATATTTACATTCATATACACACAAACACCCACACACCCACATTGGTGTGTGTAGATCAACAGTAAAAAAACACCCGGTGTAGTCTTCACCGAGTGCAGCATAGAATTAACCGGTGTGTGTGTGTGTGTGTGTGTGTGTGTGTGTGTGTGTGTGTGTGTGTGTGTGTGTGTGTATTAAAATATAACTCTCTTTCTCGTACTATGTCTCACAACAAAGGGCAAAACCAAAGTTCACAGCGAACGTACAGTTATCGAAGATCGCTAATTATAATTATAAAAAATGCAGGGGGGGCACTTATGAAGACGAAGCAGAAGCTAGAAGGAACGAACTTGACCTGACTCTCGACTCGATGTATTCATGCCACCTAGGATGCTTTGCTGCATGAGAATCGAACTGTTTCTAGAAATCAAGGGATACGAACAAGTTTTTCGAAAATGGTAACTCAAATCTGAGTGAGAAAATAAGATGATGCTCTCTTTATGTATTATATTGATTGTGTTCTTCTTCTTGTATTTGAGTGTATGTATAATCTTGATGATGACTTCAAATTACTCTTTTGCCATGAGTTATATTCATATGGGGCTGTAAATTGTGGAGCTCATTAAGAATCTTAATTGACAATAATAATGTAATTAAATCTTATGTGTGATTCTTGCAAGTCCTATTCTAATTGTGCCTCAATACTTATTTCAGATGGACCAAATTACACACACTTAATGTGTGTGTGTGTGCGTGTGTGTGTGTGTGTGTGTGTGTGTGTGTGTGTGTGAAAATATATAGAACAAATTGAACATGATATTGGGGTGGAGAAAAAAATAATTTATAAGGTGAACAATCGGAAGAACCATACGTGAAAAATGCCCTATTTCGAGATATTTTGCAAGAAAACAAAATTCAATAATATTAGTATAAAAACCTTTAATCGACATGTATCCTCATGAATTATTATCTCTTCCTTGTTCTTGCAGCTCCGGTCCCACATTGTTCGCTCAAGTTTATTCATCGAACAGCATCAACTAGAGAAAACAGAGGGGGGAAAAGCAATTTAATTGCAATAAATCAATATAGTCTTGGTTATTTGTTATCATTGCAATAACATTTCATGTTATAGTTTAAGGTACAAATTCAATATGACCCAAATTCCAAAAGTATAATTAATTATTAAATAAAATCGTCACCTCTCTACAAACCGGACAATTGTGGCTCCTCTCCATCCATTCGTAGATACAACTGAGGTGATAATGATGTGAACATTTCGCTATTATCTTTGGATTTTCTTCCGTATACTCTGTTACCCAAAAACAATTAATTAAAAAAAAAATAATAAAATAACAAAACCGTAATTTTGCAAACGTACATACCCTCAAGACACGTTGGACACTCCTCGACTTCACGTAGTGAGGGAAACGAAAGTTCAACTTTTTTCGATGACTGGGATTTCCGTTCTTGAACCTCAACTTCACTGACCGAAATGACTATTTTGCCCTCTCCTGTAGATTTTGGGTTTATTTGAGTACCACTTTGTCCAGCTGGCTCGGGCTGAACTCTCGAACGGCTGTTTCCTTTTTCCTGTCTTCCCCTTGATCCATCACTTTGTTCTTCTTGCAATAACCTGGCACTAGCGCTTTCGGACGAAGCTGCATTGTGGGCCCCACTGGAATGAGACGAACTGTTTGAAACCACTTCAGTATTTGAAGAAGACGCATGCTGACTAGGCGGTGAGGTGGCTTTTTTCTGTAGACAATTTCCACACATATGGTACTTACTTAGATAACTGTAATTGTATTTTGGAGAAAAGGGGAAACAAAAAGGAAATGCAACGACCAAAATTCAGAAGAAATTGATTTTCATTAAAATCGAACTCAATTTCATCTTCGTTTCTAATTACAAAGCTTCAATATGAGGCGAGAGAAACTCAATTTCATATCCGAAAAATCGAACTCAATTTCAATTTATTTTTATTATTTTCTCAAGACAAACACATTAGAAAAAAATAATACCATTCTCTTTTGTGAAGGAAGCATCATCATTGAATAAAAAGATTATATCTTTTACAATTTCGAGATCAATAATCCGAAAAATCGAGCATCAATTATCAATGTAACGAAAAGAAAAAAAAAATGCCTTGAAATATACCTTGCTCAACAACTTGCTAAAGAAGCTTTTCGGGCACAAACAATTATCGGGACTCGAATTATTCGAGCTATTATTACTATCATCATCTTGCACATCATGAACACGAAAACAACAACAGAGGGCGCCCATTGTGTGAAATCAGTCTCCTCTCTCAACATAAGAACCCTAAACCTTCAATTAAGAACACAAGTGCAAGAATTGCATCAAATAACAATATAAATAACAATATTTATTATATACATTTAAAATTCTCCTTTTTTTTTCTTCAAATTTGCAGGTACCCATTCATCAATTTACTAATTAACAGCAGAAAAAAGTGAAACCTGGGCGTAATCATGATTAATCAGGGGATTAATTACAATGCTAGATAAAAATTTAAAAAAAAAAGGGTTTTTAAAAAAAAATAGAAATTTATAATGAGATAAAAATAAAAATAAAAAAAGGTGTCAACTTTGTAGCACCACAGCATGCAAAAAACATCATCGGCAACCATGATCAACGGAACCCACCCAAACAAAGGAGACAACACTAATTACACAGGAACCCCATTATTTCAGATAATTAAAAAAAAGGCTCGGAAAAATCAAAAATCTATATTCACACGCAGACAAAAAAAATCTAGTTCAAACTTTTCTCCGACGAAAAAAAGGGGAGAGAGAAAAAAAAAACCTGAAAGCAATATTGTGTGGAATTAATGAGTTAGAATGGGGGAGAAGAGAGGTTTTGTAATGTGTGTTGAAAGTAGAGAGAAATTGGAAGAAGAAGATACCTAGGACTCTATCTCAGCCGGAATTAGCTGATTTTTTTGGTGTGTAATTGAGATTTGGTTGGATTCTCGATTTTTATTTCTTTCTTTCTTTTTCGTTTTATTTTTTAACGTGGTGTTGTTTGTGTTTTTAATGTCTTGGATCAATATTTATTTTGCTTTTGAGTTTTGATATATCAAATATATTATTTTTTTAATTATAAATTAGGGTAAATTAAAACCAACCCTGAATTACGAAAACACCCCTCTTGTTAAGGTAATTATAATCGGGTTTCAACTATAAATTTTCTTACACGTCTACCCTTACGGTTTCAAATTTAGCGGAATCGTTTAGATTATATGGAATATTCTCAATTTTGGACCTGATTTATCCCATTCGAGCTCCAAATTTTGAAGCTAAGATGATCATAAGATGTGTTTTTTGGCTTGTATATATCAGATTGTGGTGCATCATAAACTGTATTTTTACACAAAACGAGTATAAACTAGAGAACATTCCACATAATTTAGATGATTATGTTCAATTTGTCACCATAAAGGTGGAGATGTAAGAAAATTCATGGTTGAGGAGTCGATGTAATTGTCCAAACATAAGGGGTTTTTTTCCATAATTTAACCATACCTCAGTAGGTGGTTGTAATTTACCCTATAAATTATAATAACGTTTTGAAAAAAATAAATTAAAAAAAAAAGGTCTAACGTTGTTAATTTAGTAATTGTACATAATAAATTATTTTTTTATTTTTAACTTTTTTTTTTGAAACAAAAATTATAAAATAATTATTTTTTTATTGTTTTTAGCTCGCTTCTTCACAAAGAATAATTTTTCAAAAAATACATAAATGTATAATTTTTGGGAGATTTTGGCGGGGCACGCCCGTGGATACCCGCGTAACGTTCATGAGAACGGGAATGGGGATGCCCGACGAGGACTTTTACGGGGTGGGAATGAGGATTTTGAGAGGGAGATTGTCATACCCGCTCCGTTGTTATCCCTATTAAAAATGCAATATAAAATTAAATCATAAAAGCAATAGTCAAATTGTGATGTGTTCCGTTAACTCAAGTCTTGTTTGGTTGATGATTAATCATGATTGTAAATTTCTTCCATGATTATATATATCACCTTCTCTCATCATTATCATCTCCCTTTTCTCCATCTTTACAACTGACCAAAACTGTAATATGTTTATTGAAACTTTACTAATCAAAATTATATAACAGTCACTTAGAAAAAATAATTATTAATGAGATTATTTTTTTTATAATATTAAAGTATTGAAAAATACTCGAGAAATTAATGTATAGAATCAATTTTATACTCCACATAATTAAGTTTTATGCTTACATATCTTTTCAAACTCAAATGAAGAAATCATTTCTAAATATTTTGGTATTAAATTACCAAGATTCGACTAAACACCTAAATAAATATTCCATAAGAATATATTATGACCCTACTGTTTTTATGATACAGCCACGTTCTAAAGTACACACACAAGCCTAAAGAAATTAAAAGAAAAGCATTTAAATGATTAATTTGGAAAAAGAAGAAAAGTAAAAAAAATAAAAATAAACATAGTATGGCCCAGGCTATCATGTATTAGTAGGCCAAAACAATGTCCAAATTTTGCTTCTTTTTATTTTATTATTTTATTTATTTTTTCATAAACTTTCTTCTTATATAAACAACACTTAAAACTCCCTTTCAAGAGCAGCTTTAATTTGCAAATTCCTTCATAGAATTAGCAGAAATCAGTTCACAATTGAGATAATAAATATTAAAAAAAAATGGGCAAAATAGCAACTAAAATGCCTAATTTTTGCTTAAACAGGATTAGGCCTCTAATTCGTCTTCGTTCGCCACCAATGCAATCCAAGAATAGCGAGAATGAAGAAAAGAAAGATGATTCTGTCAAAGTCGAGAAGGAGGAATATTCCGGCGGTGGTGCTGAGAAACAGGGATCAAAAAGTGGCCGGAAAGTCATGATCGTGGTCGATTCGAGCCCGGAATCTAAGATTGCTGTCCAATGGGCACTTACACACACTGTTCAGAATCAAGATTTGGTGATTCTTCTCTATGTTACTAAGCCTTCAGGACAAGGTTTGCACATATATAATATGTGTGTGTATATATATAATTATTTAAATTGTAGCTCATATCTTGTTTGCTAAGATAAGAAGTTGTTATTTTTGGCAGGTGATCAATCTACAATTAAAGTACCTGAATTTGTCACTTGTATGAAGAGTTCATGCCAACTTAAGTGGCCTCAGGTAAATACGTACATGTCAATATTCTTGATCGATCGAGATAATTAAATTACACCTAATAATATTAAAAAAAATTAAACGATCGTCCTATAATAGGTGTATGTTGAGGCGGCGGTGGTGGAAGCTGGGCAAGATTATAGAGGACCTGCAATAGTGGAGGCGGCGAAGAAGCAAGGGGTGGCGCTGCTGGTGCTAGGGCAGAGAAAACGGTCATTCACGTGGCGGCTGATGCTGATGTGGGCTGGGAACCGGGCACCGACGACTGGCGGCGGAGTGGCGGAGTATTGTGTGCAAAATGCTAGTTGTATGGCCGTTGCTGTTAGAAGGAAGAGCAAGAAACTTGGTGGCTATCTCATTACCACTAAACGACAGAAAGATTTCTGGCTTTTGGCTTGATTAATATTTCGAGTTAAGAGTTTTTTTTTTTTAATTGTTCATATTTTTGTTACAATTTGAAGTATAACATTTTTTATAGATAACTTTACTATTTTTCTTTTATTATGTTGAAAAGTTGAGAAATAGAATTTGATTTTTGAAATAAAATGAAGTTATTGTTTGGTGAATCACGTGCGTGCGTTGAACGAAATTAATTGCTTTGACCAACATAAACCCGTTCTAATGTTGATAAATATTTTTTTAAATATCTACTTCGTTACCATAAATAGATATAAGATTCAAAAAAACGGATAAATTGTAAATTTTAAAAATTGAACATTTCATCGATTTTTAGCTCAAAAAAGAAGAAAAAAAAAAACCGTGTACTATAGCGATGAGATGTAAACCTGTAATCTTTTCTTCTGTGCAAAAGAACTTACATTACAGCAAGCCGCTCTGATTTCGTACAAATAATATTCACACGGATTACCATTCCATCGTATATATATCAAGCATCTGATGAATTTCACGAACAGGAATCGAAGATGAGGGCCAAAAATCGTCTCGTCTGGAAGTGGTTGTCAATTTCAGGGCTTTTGGTGTGTAGTATATCGTGAACCTGGCCTAGATGTGGCGAAACCAATATGCTAGCTATTCTGGTGTGACAACTATAGTCTTGCCCAATACAAATGTAACCAGTGATAGTTGAATGAAGAATATCGTGTTGATCAAACTTCGATCAACCGTCCACCCAAATATCGTGATTCCACCCGGATTAGCCTGCAAATACATCACTATATACAAAATATTTCAAAATGCTTTGTTTTGTAGATATGTTCACTTGTGTAATTTTATTATGAGAAATAGTAGTTAGTACCTAGAGCCAGTCTTTTGTGGTAAGAAGACATATACGATGCCAGCTGCACGTTTGTCGGTGCTGTAATAAAATCAAGTGACTCCAAATCACTTTCTGAGTAGTCGTTATTAAACGAGCCCGACTTATAAGCGGTCTCTAAATTTGCAATGCTATTTGAAGTTCGTAATTGAGATGACTCTGTAGCGGTGCATGTCATTAAAGCATGCCATCTACTTGCAAGTGCTCCAATGCCTTGTGCTCTGTGGGATATTTTTGCAGCAGCATTCAAGCAAAGAATAGTTCCCACCACTTGAACAATTGATGACACCTGGATATTTCAACAAAATTATATAAAATTAATTAGTTAGGGCTATTTTTAGAGTTGTTTCAAGAAAACAATCGCATGAATTTAGCAATCGGACTGATCGGATCAGAATTGGCACTTACTGTCATTTTCCGATTTCGGAAGTGGAAAACTAAAATCCAACTATGTTCCAAACATATTGAGAAAATCGAGAATGAATAAACTTGTTCCAAAATCGATTTTTTATGGATTGGAATCGCTGGGAATCGGAAAACATAAGAGTAATTTTCGGGGAAAAAAAAAAGAATTCTCAGAAATTAAAATTGGATCAGAAATCGAAATCGAAATTGAAATCTCATATATTTTCTACCTCCAATCTAAACCACATCGGAAATCATAGTTTTTGGAATTCAGAATAAAAAAAAGTTGTTGCAAAATCGGAAAATTTAGGCTCGGAATCAGAAGAAACCAAAATTTCATTCCTATTTCCACCCCTACATCTTAAATCCATAATTGACTCAAAGACAGGTGCGAGATTAAACTACGTCGAGTCAAAATTAGAACTTACAGCAAAATCACCACCGTTGATGAAGGTAATTATTCCTTTATATCCAGTGGTCTGGAACAGAGTGAGAAACTGGTTTATAGTGACAATCACAAACTGCAGAAGAAGATATATTCGAAATCTGTGACTTATTTTAGAGAGGTAATATCGCAGACGAGCATGCTCTTGCAGTAATACCACAACATCGGATTCTCTTTCCAAAAGCTTTCCATAATCCTCGAAATGTATAATTTGCAAATTGCAAACTAAATGGAACATTACGCAGGCTGAAATAATGATAGTGGTCACAAAGGTCCACGATAACACAAAAGCTACCAGAATTGCAGCAGATTGCCACAATGACTCGTGACGAACATACATTATTCGGATTATTTCACGTGCAGTCTTTAAAAGGCAGCATGCGAATACCCATAGTACTAGCAAGCGCATCGAATCCTACAAAAAACACCGAAAATGAAACAAAAATCCATCAAACAAACTTCTTCAGTATTTAAAATCCATCAAGATCATGATATGATAATCGAATTTAAAAAAAAAATCATAGCAGAACCGTTAGTTAACAAATCTCCAGTGAATTATAGAAACTTAGAAAAAATCAAGAGGGCTTTTTTTTTTTGCCAAATTGAGTAAATAAATTGACAGAACATAAAAGTGAAATAGAAGCATTACTCACTGAAATCTTCTGCACATACTGATCACTGAACCTTTCAACATGACCGCTGTATCGATCGACAAATAGAAATTTCCTAACACCGTATTTCCTCAGATTGTGCGAAAGGCATATCAAAGAAGCAGCAGCCAAACAGGCCTGAGAAATCACTATTCCAATTTCGAAACTCTTGATCTGATCCTTTTCGCAGCCAGGGCAATTAGAGAGCTCGAGCACCACAATTGGGAGAAAAACCCCAATCGCCAAAAACAGTGCCCAAGATAACAGAAAGCTCCATACAGAGGACTGGTTATTAAACCCTAAGAGAGAGAGAAAGAAGTCTAGCCTTTGAAGGGTTTTGTCTAAACGCGTTTCTTTGTCGTTTTCTTCGTCGTCTGGTGGGTTGGGTACTTGGGTTTCGTCTGGGTTTTTAAGGAGAGGCGTGGTTTCGTGAGGGGTTATAGATTCTTCAGCTTCTATCTGTATTTGAACTTCTGCCATAGATGGAGAAAAAAAATGAACTTTGTAGTTATCGATCAGAGTAGAAAAGGAAAACCCAACTCCGACGAAGCTGAAAATGAGGAGAAATGATTAAAACGAGTGACATAAAGATCATGGTGAATGTTCCACATGGGCAATCAAGAATTATTTTATCAAATAATTTTAAGATCGGTAGATGATTCTCCTAATTAAATGACCCCTCTGTATAGTAGTTGGGACTCTTAACTAGTTCAAGGGCCTTTTTCCTCTATCTAAAAACAAGAGATTTCACCTCTTTCTCTTTCTCTTTCTCTTTCTCTCTCTAAGAAAAAAAGACAGATTTTAAAGCTGGAACTTTGGGATGATATAATTTTTTTTTAAATCTCATTTAATTTCTGATGATGCAATTGTGCCATCTATTTCAACTTACAGTAGTAGTATGCAAGCAAATGCAACAGTTATCCAACCATATGTTTTTTTTTAATATTCTGGGGTGACGTAGGAATAAAGGCAGATTTCTATTTGATGCTCTAAATATAAACTCTATGCAATAACATTTGGGTAGGTCTTTTTATTTGAATTTTAAGCAGCATTTACGCAGAAATACGTGTGTGTGTGTGTGTGTGTGTTAGTCTACACACATTTACAGAAGAATGAATATGACCCGATAAAGTTGTGTAAGTAACATAGAAGAAATGTTTGACTAATATTGAGTACACACAAACGGACATAAATTATAGTATAGGCATTATTGGATTGCATATGCCATATAATATTAAATAAAGTTGACGTGTAGAGAGCTCAATGATTGACAAGTCATACATAAAACAAGAAGAGGGGGTGCAAAAAGGGAAAAAGCGAGAGAGGCCCTCACTTACAGTGGTTAAATGTTGCTTTACATTCATGATTTCCAGATGATAGATAGATAGCTGAGCCTGAGAACACGAGATTCATCAAATATTTTGGTATTAAATATTAAAGTTTAACAAGTATTCTAAATGGGCTGGGTTTGTATTTCTTCAGCTTCACAATAGAGTTGGGCTAAATATCGACCCACCCAATGCAAAACCCAACTCCCATCTTTTGATCATTTGTTTTCAAGTTTCAATAATAATTCAACAAATAAATAAATAACATTACTTTTTGTTCCTCATATTAAGTAATTCACAATTTCAAATATTCGGTACAATTTAAATATTTAACTCACTTGTGTCGACTAACATGATTTTAGAGGTTTAAAATTTAAATAGGTCAAATGAATTGGAAACCTCAAAAAAAATGTTTCATTACTTACAAGTTGAGTTCACTATAAGAAAAATAAAAAACTATTTTTCTAGCTTAAATTTATCCTATTTTTCAATTTTACGAGGCCTTTAAACTAATTATAAAATTTTATCTTCTCAATCAGAAAACTAAAGGTGGTAGAAAGGAAAGGAAGACTTCCCACGCTTGATACCGTTGTGTTATTTGCTGGCTTTAGCACTACGAGCAAGAAATCGTTCCCGAGCAGCGAGAATTCGGCTCTCCCTGTCATCAAGAGCCTGAGCAGCATCAGCATTATTATCATCCTTGGGCAAGTCTAAGGTTTCCGATTCAACTTTTTCATCCGACAAACGGGTCCCACCACTGCTTCACAAAATACAGATTGCATATGAATATTGAGCTATAAACCAACATTAGAATTGTATTTTTTCTTAAAGAAAAAATAAAGATTGTGGGACCTGAGTTTGCTGATATTTAGTTTATCGAGTTTAGCTATGATGGGCCTGACCCAGTGCACCTCAACAGCACATACGTTACGCATATATGGCCGTGTTGTAGCAATGAGTTCATGATATATGGCAAAATTTGGGAGCAATCCATCTTCATCTGCTTTCAGTACTGATGATGGATGCACCTACAATAATAGCATCAGACTCGGTTAGAGCAATTGTGCGTGGGTGGGTGGGTGGGCGGGGGGGGGGGGGGGGGGGGGGGGGGGGGGCCGGGAATATTTTTTTTTTTAAAAAAAAAAAAAAATTTTTTTTTAACCTTTTTCCCGAAAAAATTGGGATTTTAAACCCGGGGGGGGAAACCCTTTTTAAAAAAACTTTCCCCCCGCAAGTTGATTTGCATATCCTGAACAGAGAGATTTTCTCAGAGCTCTGTAATCTTGGTCTTTCCGTCTTTTACTTTCTTTGACATCCGTAGATCCTGTTAATATTGAGAGAAAATACTCACAATGGTTAGGTCGCATTCTGAAAATGAACTAAAATAGCATAGTCAATTACGACATTTCCAGTTTATCAGTAGCTGGAAGGAAAAATTACTGCGGGTGAGACTTGTGCAAAAACTTACCTTTCGCAATTTTCTGTATTATTTGGCATAATTGTTTCCTTACATCCTTGACAAACATCATCCCCCTCACCTAAGATCAGTTAATGATGAAATATTTCTTAATAAAAACTCAGACGGGGTAGATATTTAAAACATCAAGAATACCAACATAACCAGGTGAAGTATCCTAATTATTCTAAAAATTTGAACTAGTTCATAAACATCTGCTTATATCACAGTCACATCCATGTATCTAGAGTACTGTGGACAAAAACGAAAAATTAGCACCTGCAGGTTATTTTCCTTGCACCAGTCTATGTTGTAGCCAGTCTGATGCCAATGCTCATAAATTTGAAGTAACTGAATGTGGTCTCCCAAGCCAGAACCGTCGGGAAGGTTAGAAGGAGGGTGCTTGCGCTTCTTTTCGGTATTTTTACTGCAAGTGAAAGACAAGTGAATTTGGGAATGATCTAAAAGTGGCATGCCTGTAGAACACACAGTAGCAGAACATGTTAAGCTACCTTTGACCTAAAAACAATGTGGTTTCTGCAGATAGCATCGCAGCAACTGTTAGAGCTTGAGACAGGCAACCACACTCGTTTGCCTCTAACAAGGTTCTTGATAGTGAAGGTTCCAATGGAAGCTCTGCATAATACAGAAAATTTGGACATTTGAGAAAACCTCCCAAGAATAAATTTCCGCCTCCCTACTTCTACGCATGTTGTTTTTCTAGGATCCACAGAATTATTGTTCGGATGTGGATAATTTGTTGTCCTACATAGAGCTCTGTCATATATTTTTTTCTCCAAGTGGAAGTACTGTTAAAACTTGGAAGTCTTAACCCTATAGGTGAGGTAGGATGTGTAGTTCCTTTTTTATCCCGGTGCGGTGTTATGTGTATATATTCTCCTACGGAGGGAGTAAGTCTCACTAAGACAAGATTTCTATACAGAGAAAAAAATAAAAACAAAATTACCAGACATGGTTCGTCCAAGATGTGTAATTGAACCATCTTCATCTATGGCATCAATGAGATACAACTGCTTCAAGGCATCTTCCAAAGCCTCAGCTGCAGCCAAGACAATTCAAGGATTAACCACTCACATTCTTATAGAGAAAATAAATCTGATAAGAACACAGAGATATTTAATAGAAGGTAGGTAAAGAAATGCTTTCTTACAGGAAGGTGGGTCGAGGAAGTCAAATTTGAGAATATCAATGTCTGGTAGGTCTAATGATTTTAAATAGAGGACAGTCCCCGCAAGTGAAGATCTCTGTATTTCAGGGACAGTAGCATCCAAAAAATCATCCTCGTAAATCATAGAAGGGTAAAGACGATAGCACTTCCCAGGACGTGTTCTTCCAGCTCTTCCTGCACGCTGACGGGCCTGCACTCTGAGACCAGGTTGTTGTCTGAATAAGCATAAAGACAAACATATTGTATACTACAACATACCACACTGAATCACAAGGTCATAGAGATCGGTAAAAAGGTAGATTCACAAGCAGCCAGCAGGATTCAGTTGGAGTATCAAAGCAAAATGCAGGTAGAATAAGAACCATAAAAGATGGAATAGTAGGAAGTGGAAATTCATACTTGCTAATTTGGATGGTATCAAGTGAATACATGCCAGTTGATGGGTTGTACTGTCGTTGCTTCACGAAACCAGCATCAATAACATACCTGCAGTTCAAATCAGAATTCTCAAACTTACACCCAGAAAAGATGCTTCATATGAGCCAGTGATTAAATATATATGATATGATGTAACACAAAAAGTCAAAGATCATCAAGTCTCTTACACTACACCATCGACAGTCAAAGAAGTCTCAGCTATGTTTGTAGAAACAATAAATCGACGACAATTGGCAGGTGGAGGGCTGAATACACGGACCTGCAAAGGTAATGCAAGTGTAAGAGTATAATAGTGACAAAGATAAGAACCTCACGCTTCCTAGGAACACTAACTATATACAGTATGAAGACAGAAAAGCACGACTTGATAAACAACCAGAGGAAGTTCTAAGATAGTAAGATCAACAAAAGTTCTCTGAAAAAGCAGAAACTGAGTACTTCATCATCACGAAAGATCCTAAAAGCTCCCAGCCTATATCATATATAAATGCTAGAATTACTGATCTTGATCAGGGTGGTATTTCTGTATAGCAAGCTATACCAGCATGAATCGGGAATAGTTGCAAACTTAATTTCCAGAACAAGAGAACGGAAAGTTGTGAGAGAAAAGTTCTTAGGAGTAATATCTGAACAGAAATGAAGAATGACAAAATGTTCAATATTTTCATTCAAATAGAAAAAAATAGCAACCTGTTAGAAATAAAAACTACCTGCAATTCAGGAGGCAAAGATCCATGAAGAGGAAGAATCATAGCATCCATGCAAGACCCTTCCTCCAGATTTTTAATTCTCTCCTCCAGCTTCATTACCAACTTCTCTATATCATCCTACAATGTAATTTCGGTTAATATTATATTAAAATTTATATGGGAATGGTACAGCATCATGAATGCAATTACAAAATATAATAGTAGACAAGAATAAGATGCAAACCTGTCCTGTCATGAAAATTAGTACATCGCCTTCGGGTTCGTGAGTGTGTATATCTACAAAACGTGTATGAAGCATCCAATTAGATAAGCCAGAGTAGAAGAAAATGAGGCAAGCAATGACAGGGCTCTTAATCGCCCCCACACCTATTTCTCATCCCCAACGTGATACGTATAATAAAGTGACTAACAAAACAATACTTAATTCATATGCCATACAACCAAAACCAACTCATACCAATAGCTGTTTTTAAAGAAGCTTCAACGTAACTTTTGGCCCTTTCTGAGCTATGTTGGATTTCAACAGGGAACAACTTCCCTGGGACATTGAGGATTGGGCAATCGGAAAAGAATCTAGATACTTTTTCACCATCAAGAGTAGCTGAAGTTATCAAAACCTTTAAATTGGATGCACGTAACTTAACCAACCGCTTCATCAATCCCAGCAATATATCCCTGACAATATATATTTCAACAAGTCAAACTGATATAACTTCATAAAGTCAAAATCAGAAAGTTCACATGTGAAAAATAAGAAATGGTATACACAAGTCTCATGCAATATACATAAAAGCATTTATAACCGCAAAGTAGGCAATAGGAAACAAAAGGCAATAAAACCAACAAATCACATAAATCACAACTGGAGGAATTATAATGATGAAATTTACGTGTTTAAGCTCCTCTCGTGAGCTTCATCTAATATAATGACTGAATATTGGTTCAGCTCCGGATTGGAAAGACTTTCACGAAGGAGAACTCCATCAGTGAGGTATCTGCCAGTCCAATTACCACCAGTTATTATTTAATAATGTGATTCAACACAATTTGTCACTTCTAGAAGAAAAAAAATTGTATGATAAAGTCGTGTTACTTAATAGATGTCCTCTCCGAAGTTCTGTCCTCAAAGCGTATGGCATAACCTACTTCCTCGCCAAGCTTAACATCCAATTCTTCTGCAACACGCCTGTTCGTTACAATGGGAGGGAAAAAATAATTAAAAATTCACGGACATGCACACACCGAGAGAAATACGGAAACATGTGAAATTTATAACTAACAAAAGTACGAAACTCAAACGTAGTCTATTGCAAATCAGCAAAAGCCATGCTGCCTTTGAATGCAAAGAAACAGGATACCACCCTTTCTCAGATAAGTACCGATTGAAGTAACCATAATTTCTAGATTTTTATTTCAGATGAGTTATTTATATCAGCCGTGGAACTAGTACGATTACGTGCATTCTAACTTCTAAGTCTGTGATTAGCACTCCATAGCAAGTACGCCATTAGATGAACAAACAGGTAGCTTCCTACTCTAGGAAGTGAATAGTACAGTGCCAAATTCACTCATTAAACTCCCAAATTCTGCCAAAGCAATTTTCTGCAAATAACTACTTCACTATAAGTTAAGAAAATCGAAAATCAAACTGCTAAGGCGAAGAAGAAAAACATAAAAGATAGACAATCAGACCTAGAAAAACGATCTCCGTGTAAATACATAAGTAAACTCGTATCTGAAAGCGAGAAAAATACCTTGATACTGCAACAGCAGCTACACGGCGCGGCTGGGTAACAGCAATGCAGCCGGCTTTCGTGTAGCCTCTCCTGCGAAGAATTTGGGAAAGTTGCGTGCTCTTTCCCGAACCTGTTTCTCCAATGATAACTACTACAGGATTTTTCTCCACAGTTTCTGCGATTTTTTCTTCGTATCGGAGTATGGGCAATTGCGCCATTGGAAGAACTGAGATTTCTGATAGCTGGGGTTTAGCCTTCCATAGGAGAATTTGGGGGAAATTTGAAATCCAGGTTGTACGGATTTAGAAGTCGCTATTTAATTATTATGCAGGCCGAGATGGTTCTCGCATGCGACTTTGGTTAGTCAAGTTCAGTGCCTCAAATACAATTAATTGCAATATGAAGGACTAATAAAATAATATATTTAAATGAGGAACTTAATATTAAATAACTCATTTATAAGTCTTATATTCAATTAAAAATTCAATAGTCCAAAAAAATATTTCATTTGTGATAACACTCAAACACATGATGGAATTTCAAATATATTAGTAATATATAGAAACTCTCAATGAAAAAATGATCTACACATCTCAAAAATTCCTCCCAAAAATAGCCTCCATAGTGACAATCTTGATCCCTCTCACCCACAGCTTAGCCATTTCAATCCCACCTTCACAAGAGAAGTGAAACTCTTTGTTCTTCGTAGTCACCACCCGAAACACGCCAGAATCATCCGCATCGCTCCTCCTCCGCCTGTTCCACCGAAACTCCGAACTGGGGCCGACCTCCGCCCCTCGGCAAATCACATTCCTCTTACTCGATTTCCCCCACTGCAATAAACCCGAAGATTCCACCATCTTCAGCTTCTTCACGTGTGGGGCCCCTTTTCCCGCCTTTGTGTGCTTCTTCACACAACCACCAGCCACCACAAGCCTTCGAGCAAGCTCGTCTAGTATGTCCGCTCCGTTTTGTACATCGCACTTCGCGCCGTGGGATATTAGAACCTGGCACATGGCCACGTTGCCCGACTTTGCTGCCAGCATGAGAGGGGTATATCCATCATTATCGAGAGTGTTTATTACATCACGATGTTCTTTCGCCAATTCTCGGACTAACTCTAGGTTTCCGAATCGTGCAGCCTTATGTAGAGCGGAGGATTCGATGGAAATAATACTAGTGTTATTATTTTCCTTTGTAGATGGTATAACCTTAGCAAATGCTTCTCTGTTTTGGCTAGCTTCCGCTAGGGTTATTGCTGTTTCGCCGTAGTTATTACGTGCTTCCAAATCAGCTCCGGCATCAACTAGTAGCTTGAAAGTATCGATTTGACCGCCTACTGCAGCAACCATTACCGCTGAGAATCCATTTTCGTCTTTCTCCTCGAGATTCAAATCTTTGTGTTTGATGAGTTTCTTTACGGCCTCGATATCATTTGCTCGAGTGGCAAATAACAACGAAGAAAAAATTTCAGGATTGGTTGAATAAGCTATTTTTCCGGATCGAATTACGTCTAAAACTGCTTCTTGGAAGATATGTGTCCACTGTACCGATCCAGCAATAGACATTGCACACTGACTAGAGTTATTACACAAACCGAAATCGGAACCTGCCGAAGCCAGAAGCTTAAGACACTCCTCCTGCTTATATCTGGCACAGATCATCAGTGCTGACTCACCGGATCCTGTTCTTGAGTTCAGATTACAGCTGGCGTTGATCAATAGGCGGAGAATCGGGCCCCGCCCGAGGCGGGAGGCCATGTGGACGGGGCGGAAGTCCGTATGATGCTGAGATGTTAAGACCGGAAATTCTTTATCAGCTCCACAACTTAAAAGCACATCGAACGCTCTTGCGTTGCCACATAGGATTGCGTGATGGATGATTGTTCTTCCGAGATGGGAGATATTGGGGGAGAGATGGTGGAGGAGCATTCGCAAGATGGAGCCGCTGGTTTCGAAGTATTCGACAGCACACCATGTGATTTGATATGGCTCGGCTAAACATGCACCTACTCGGAATTCTTCTCCTGTAATGATATCCCAGGACCACGCACCTAGCCTAACTTTGGTGTCTGTTCTGCATCCAGCCTATTTTAATTTCCACAAAATAAAAGATGTTACGTTATTGTGGGTCCCGGTTCACTATTACGGGTAGTGATATTTAGCAAAAATGGTCGATGCAATATTGTAGGTGAAAATATGCAGAGTTTAGCCGAGGAGCTAGGCTAAACTCGAAATATCAGCAGTCGAAATTTCGAGTACAATGAGCATTTAAATGTGTCACAAACTCTTGATATAGAATACATAATGAAATATTCTACAAAGAATAGGTGTGTCTAAAATCTAATTACCCTTCCAAAAAAATAATTAATTTTAATTTTTCTTTCATATTAAAATAATTTTATTTTAAGCAAATTTCCAACAATTATAAATTCATACCAAGGCCTAAGTCAATACCTTTAACAGGAGCTGGACTACAGAGATCTGTCGACTAACGATTGCTGCAACGAGGGCATTACAGTCAACGTTGGAGTAAAGAGATGGTTTGGACGATTGTAGCAATATCCTTGCATTTGCATTGGCATCCACTCCATTCTGTATTATCACAAAATTGATAAAAGAAACTTAATCGAAAAAACAAAAAAAAAATATTTAGTAGGAGCACAAAAATTACGTTAATGAGCGTTTCGACGAAATCAACAAAGCCTCGGCTGGATGCAGTGACGAGGGCGTGGACAGCAACATGAGGGCGGATCATATCGGAATCCATGAGCAGCTCAGCGGGCCCCACACGGTCGAGATAGCATGCTTCCAACAAAGCCTCCTCGCACGCAGCTTGACCGGCCCCACCGTTTAACAGCATTGCCAATACCTCAATGTGGCCCTCTCTTACTGCTGCTGTTGTTGCATACCCTCTGAACATTTTTTTATTCACATTTGCTCCAGCATTCTGCCCCCGGAAAGAAACAAATTTTAATTAGTTAATTATAATTAAAAAATGATTTAAAAGATGATCAAATTAGGCAGCCATGTATTTAATTAATATTAACTTAGAATACACTGAAACCTTTAGGCTGGGCATAGAGAATGACAAATTATAATGATTAATTAATTTTCTTGCTAATTATTGCTCACCCGATTTGAAATTACAGAGTGGCGGTTTCAGAACAAAACAGCTCCCTCAAATTCAAATTCAATTGTATCTCAACATATATAAATATAAGAAAAATTTATTACTAAACTATATAAAACACCAAAATTATATTAAAAAAATTAATTATATTAATTAAAAAAAAAAAAAAGATCTTCCAAATTTGCTCAGGCATTTCACGTCTGGAAAGATAACAGTAATACATGCCTAAATATGTTGCACTGTACACGTTTCAATAAACGGCTCGGTTTATGATTAAGCATCTAATTTTGACATCGAAATCAAATTTAGAGAGGTAAAAACAATCGATTTTTTTTTTAAATCTCTAAAAATTGAAATAGGAGATTTAAGAAGAATGATTGATCACCAGCAATTCTCTGATTAGGGCGGTGTTTCCGTTATGAGCAGCGAGGAACAGAGCGGTGACGTCAGTCCTGAACTCTTCGAATTCGATGCGAACCTCACTCGCCGACTCTCCGTTCAGAACAACCTCAGTTTTTCTGGATTTCAAGCAAACCGTTCCGGTGAAATTAACGTCGACGGATGGGTGAGAAACGAGTTCCGAAACAAGCTGAAGATCGTCGGCGTGAGCCGCGTCGACGAGCCGTTGAGAAATAGGCTCGTTTTGGTACTCGGCGAGGAGTCTCATCGGGAATACTTGTTGTTTTCTCCCGATCACGTACTGACTTCCGCCGCCGCCGCCGGAGATGATTGTTGATGTGGTGGTGAATACTGCCGCCATTAATCACATCAAAATTCCCAATGCGCAAGGTTTTCACTGTGTGTGTGTGCGCGTGTGTGTGTGTGTGTGTTGGGGGGTGAGCGCTCATGAGCGGAGGGAAGACAAGCTGAAGAAATGAAGGAATAACGGAGTGTGAAGATATATATATAGAACTGGATTTAACGGAGTTTCATTATATTATAAAATGTTAAAACAACTACAAGACCGATATAGAGGTATTTAAATTTAAAATGATTTAGCGGTAATGACACATAATTTGCTTCATTTACTTATTAAGATTCTGAGAAAATTAAAAATAAAATACAATCTTACTAATAAAATTAGATAACCATGTAAATTATAAACAAGAAAATAAAAGAAAAAAAGTTTGACTTCATCCGATGTCCGTGTGCAAAATTAGTCAAAGATTAAATTAATTTAATAATAATTATGTTATATTTGGATTAGGATATATTTAATAAATAATTTCTCAATAAAAATCAAATTAAGATAATATTATACCTTTTACTATACATCAAACAAGTCCAATTATTTAATTTATCATAGTTAATTTTATCAATCAAATGAGATGATATACGCACTGATTATGGTTGAGTCTCATGAATTTTTCAATAATCTATGATAATTTCACTAATACTTGATGTACCAAGATTGTCCCACCATTTTTACTAATTACTGACAAAACATAATCAATCGATAGGTTATGTTTCTAATAATGAGTCATAAGAATCATCTACTAATTAGTAATTAAATATAATTAAGCGGCTAATATAAGATATGATGATGATGAAAGAGTTTCACAATACCAAACACCAAAACAACTAACCGGATTTGGCCTGCAAATTCTTCTCTTCCAAAAGGCAGCCAACCATTCAACGGGAGTTAGATGATATACCCGATTATTTATGTCGAGTGAATTTGAACCGGGAGTTAGATGTTATATTCGATTATATATGTCGAGTGAATTTGAACCGTAGATTTTATTAAATAACTACTCAGTAAGCACACACACATAGATGTGTGTAATTATGTGTTGATTTACTGTTCTTATTAATTATTTATTGATTAAGTCTCTCTCAACTAATTCAGAATTATAAAAATTTAATTTAATAAAAGTTAAAACTTTAATTATTAAAATTACAAATAATTTGGGACGAAAAAATAAATAGAGCCGGGCCAATCATGTATGAAGATTTGAAAAACAAATTTCAATTTCTAAATCCATAAGAATAAAAAAGAACAAGCCCATTAAGTTATAAATCATGGCCCAATTATCTTTTAAAGCTCTTATTACAATTTACACCAACCCAATTAGTTAGGTATACGTCACAAACATGGCCCAACTCTTTTGAAAGGCTTTTGTCGCTACAGATGCTCCACGATTCATCCACGTGTCCAATTCGATCTCCACAGCCAAATCATTGCATTGTACGCCGTCGATTCTTATGGCGGTCAAACGAACGTATTAGACTTGCATCCTGACCGTCTATGCTTCTCCCGCACCCACGAATTACCGTAGGCTTGCTCTCAGAAAGTACCATTTAGCTCGATTTCTCTTCTGCACTCGTCTCTATTTGTTTTCTCTATCGCTCTGATAATCAGCTGCGACGCCGGTTCATCACAGCACCTCTGCCCGTTCCACATTTTGATGCGCTCATGGTATGCGTTCTATCTGAATCGGTTTATTTTTCTATGTTTTTCTTTTCAATTTCTATCTGGTGGAAGTTTAAAGTCCGGATCTTGCCTATGGAATTAGTTGAAAATGCAAATAATACGAATCGATTTATTTGTTTTCTCGAGGATCAAATTCTGTTTTTATTGTAAAAGTAATGCTGCTTTTAGGGCTATTCTCTAATTTTCCTCAATCAAATAGCAGATTTTTAATATAGAACTTTATCTTATCAGTGCAAGGTTCGAGCCCTAATTTATAATTCTGTAGTTCTGACATGGATGCATTTGTTTATGATAAACATGTTTGGGTTTTCCATTGATTTCTCGATAAAATTATAATTTCGCAGTTAAATGGGGGAAGTTGAAATCTTTGGTGAACATGAAATGTTTGGGTAACGAAAGAGATTTACTGAAATAATTTCCTGTAGAATTTAATTCAGTTGTTTTCCTGGAAATAAGGAGTTTAATATGAGGTGATAAAGGGTTGAGGTTCTCCTTGTTGGCTGAGTGATGAAGTACCTAGGTTTGTACATTGCAGATGTCTTGATATGAGCCATGTAGTCTAAATTTGATAATTTGATGCGTTTACTGGTTAGTTTTCTGAAAATTATTTTGTGATAATATACAAGAGTTTTAATTAGAAAAAGATGAGAGCAGTTATACGTCATGTTTTTTAATCTTTGCCTTCTTATCTACGAGGCTGCTTGTCCATGAATTAGGCACCTACCACAGAATGTCATGTATTTTAATTGAAGCTTTGAGGATTGAGTACCTACTATGGTGTTGTGTTGTGTAGTTAGTGCATACCTTTTTTTTCCCCCTAGCAAAATTTGCTGCAATTTTCTATATCTTGTTTAAAGGAATGGAAGGAATTTCCATTTACTGAAACTTTATGGCTGAAACTATTTATTATTTCAACAGGCACCTATAAAGAGCATTCTTTCTCTACGAAGGACCGCTTATGCTCAGCGCTCTGGTGAAAATTGGGGCCTAGCGAGGAAATTATTCAGCACCCAGGCTGCAACAACTTCTCCCACCCCTCAGCCCCCACCCCCTCCACCTCCTCCAGAGAAAACCCACTTTGGCGGCCTGAAAGATGAGGATCGCATTTTCACTAACGTATATGGGCTGCATGATCCATTCCTCAAAGGAGCCATGAAACGTGGAGACTGGCACAGGACAAAAGACCTTGTAATTAAGGGAACTGATTGGATTGTCAACGAGATGAAGAAATCTGGTCTTCGAGGAAGAGGTGGAGCTGGATTTCCATCTGGGCTTAAATGGTCCTTTATGCCAAAGGTATCCGATGGTAGACCTTCATATCTTGTTGTTAATGCCGATGAGAGTGAACCTGGAACATGTAAAGATAGGGAAATTATGCGTCACGATCCGCATAAATTACTCGAAGGTTGTCTAATTGCTGGAGTAGGTATGAGGGCTAGTGCTGCGTATATTTATATCCGTGGCGAGTATGTGAATGAAAGATTGAACCTCGAAAAGGCTAGGAAAGAAGCGTACGACGCTGGACTGTTGGGAAAGAATGCGTGTGGATCGGGTTATGATTTCGATGTGCATATCCACTTCGGTGCTGGAGCTTATATATGCGGGGAAGAGACAGCTCTTCTTGAGAGCCTCGAGGGCAAGCAAGGGAAACCTAGATTGAAGCCTCCTTTCCCAGCCAATGCCGGGCTATACGGTTGCCCGACAACTGTCACAAACGTCGAAACAGTGGCTGTTTCGCCAACCATACTAAGGCGGGGCCCAGAGTGGTTCGCTAGTTTTGGAAGGAAAAACAATTCCGGAACAAAACTGTTCTGTATTTCAGGCCATGTGAACAAGCCATGCACTGTGGAAGAGGAGATGAGTATACCGCTGAAGGAGCTCATCGAGCGGCACTGTGGCGGTGTTCGTGGCGGGTGGGACAATCTGCTAGCTGTCATCCCAGGTGGCTCGTCTGTTCCTTTAATCACAAAGGACATATGCGAGGATGTGTTGATGGATTTTGATGCGCTTAAGGCTGTCCAATCTGGGCTAGGAACAGCAGCTGTGATTGTAATGGATAAGTCCACCGATGTGGTGGATGCTATTGCTAGGCTGTCTTACTTTTACAAGCACGAGAGCTGTGGGCAGTGTACACCTTGCAGAGAAGGCACGGGTTGGCTTTGGATGATAATGGAGAGAATGAAGGTTGGGAATGCAAAGCTGGAGGAGATTGATATGCTTCAGGAGGTGACTAAGCAGATTGAAGGGCATACGATTTGTGCACTTGGTGATGCTGCTGCTTGGCCCGTTCAGGGGCTTATTAGACATTTCAGACCGGAGCTTGAGAGGAGGATTAGGGAGCGGGCTGATAGAGAGCTTCAACAGGCTGCTGCTGCTTAATTCTTCTCCTATAAAGGTTGGTAATGGAATAGAACTTCTGCACATTAATATTTCATTAGTTAGATTTCAGATAATCGTAAATATGCTTGATTGACTAGTTCTTTTTTGACCAATCAGACGAATTTGGTCGTATGAAGAACATTAGGATAGTTTCTTTATATGATAACGTACTAATTGCATTTAGCTGGCTAATCAAGCAAATTTAGTGGCGGAGCTAGGATTTTCTACTGACGGGGCCAAGTAAACACAATTTTCTAGGGAGCCAACAATATTACACTGCTTTGAATAATTGATCTTCACATAAAATGGTATGTTCTTGAAAGATGTTGGAGGGGCCATGGCCCCCTATTGGATATGAAGTAATGGATACAATAGATGCTATCTACCCTTCTATATTTTCGTAGATGCAGTTCCAATTCGTTTTCTTGGATATTTTATGAGGTGCATTCTATTGAACTACAAACAAACTTTTTTTCTGCACAATTTAGCATGAAACTTCTCCTTGTTCTAATGTGCAGCTTTTGTTCTTGGTTTTGTAGGGAGATATTTTTGCTGTTAGATCCCGTTTAATAAACCGTGATAAAGTGGCGAGACATTTCAGAATGATATCCATGTTCGGATTTTTTTAATGGTTTGTATTATTGCATTTGAATGTAATAAGATTCTAAACTTGTATGTGTTTGAGCTCTGCTGCAACTTTAAAGGATGTGGAAAGCTGAAGTTCCATCCTGCTGGAATATTTATTGTTTTAAAGAACCTTCGAATTGTAATTTTTGGTTTATACTTTAACCGGCATGTCGATTATTTATCGATTACTTAACCATTTGGTCGGACACATCTTACAGGCCGGAATGTTTTCTACTGTTTGTGATTAATAATACCGTTTATCAGAATACACTCTGTTTCAAACTGTGTACACTTCTCGTTTACCTTCAGCACATATTTGACACAAATTCAAAAGAAAGAAAAAAGTGAAATTATGATCATTTAGTCATTGTCTTTTTTTTTTTAATATTTTTTATTAAGTGTAGGAAAATAAAATTATTGAATTGTCTTGGGATGTGAGTGAATATATTCAAATAATGTGCATTAAAAGATGGATCTGTTCCAAAGCTGACCAGACTCTCTTTGACATTAAGCTTGGTCTTAATTCAACTTAGCAGAATATTATTGAAACTTATTAGCAGCTTGAAATTATGTTTATACTATGGCTTTTATCGCAAAATTCTTCTTCACCGGGTCCGTTTCGGAGCAGAGAAAAATCCAAAAAATTAGAGTTCATCCGAATTTCGACTTGATCTTGATCTTCATCGGAATAAATAAAAATAACAATTTTATGTACTAAATACATAAATACATACACTTTTATGCATACGAAGTATATAAAATTCCCGGCTAAAAAAAAAATAAAGCACATAAAAATTCTATTTATGATATACTTACTAAAGCCGACATTGAACAGTATAAAAGTCAAAATCCAATAAAGCTCAATTTAAATATCTTAATATTATTATTATTATTATTATTATTATTATTATTGTGAGAAATAATTAGCTCAGATTTGTCGAAGCGTACCAGACAACAACTCCATTCATATCATATTCAGTAAGAACAAAAAAAGAAAAGCTGAAACCAGTGGACTTGTATACAGGCTGCTACTGTACAGCATCTCTACTTGTGAATGAATTTGAAGTTTGAAGTTTGTCTACCAAGAAACAAGGAATCCTTAAAAGATAAAGACTGAAAATCCATCCAACCAACCACAATTCTGCTTTTCGCTGCTCCATCATCATCATTGCATTATTCTTCTACCCAAGTAAAGTATTTCACTTTTTTTACCCTCGATCTTTCCTTTTTTTGCCCTTTTCTTCCCTTGTGGGGCCCACTTTGAATGAGATGATGATGATGACCCAATGTTGTTTACCATCTGAATTCCAATCTTGTTCTTTCTTCTATAGTTGTTATTATTGATCTTGCTATTTTACAATTCCTACCCATTTAGTGTGTGTGTGTGTGTGTGTGAAAAAGATTGGATTTTTTTGCATCACAATGTGATTTTGTTAGCTGATCTTGAATTTTGATTGTATTTGCTCTGCTTCATTGGTAAAGTTTTTCGTGTTTCAAACACTCAATTCGCCTTCTTTTATGAATTACCGCACGTGCATTCATACAGATTAGCTTACTTGTGAACTTCCTTTTTTATGATTAGGTTTAGGAAACTAGTGCTATGATTTGGATCAATGAAAAACAATGAGTAAAATTAGTGAAATTCATGGGTAAAATACTTTACTTGTTCGGTTGGAAGTGATCCAATACGAAATTGCTATTCTTTTCTATGGAGTTAATTGAATTTTCCCTTTTTCTTGTTTGGATTGTGGTTAACCAGAAACAGGTTTAATATAGTTCCCAAACTATGGTTCTCGGGATTAGATCGAAGCTCAGAAGAAGATCTGCCGTTAAAGTAACTTACATTATCCATGTACAAGAGCTTATGCCATGGCCGCCATCAGAATCACTTCGATCTGTCCAAACAGTGTTCCTCCAATGGGAAAACGGTAATCAGTATTCCGGATCCTTCCATTCCACCGCCCAAGATTCTAAAATCGTATTTAACGAGTCTTTCAAACTTCCCGTAATTCTCCACCAAGAAAAAAAGGCTCATGATAAGTTTCAGAAGAATTATTTAGAGTTCAGTTTGTTTGCTCCGCGTAAGGACAAGTCTAAAGGTCAACTCTTGGGGACGGCTGTACTGAATCTTGCGGATTATGGTGTAATAGAGCATGCGTTGAGCACTAATGTTTCGATAAATCTTAAAAAGAGTTCGAATAAATCAGTGCAGCCGGTTTTAGTGATTCGTTTGGAGCCGGTTGAAAATGAAAGTGCCAGCTCATCGCCTAATGTGGGTTTATCGAAGGAGCCATCTTTGGATAATGTTAATGATGATGATGATGAAATTGCTTCGTTTACTGATGACGATGCTTCTTCGCATTCATCGAGAACTGCTGGTTCGTCTACTTTTGAAGCTGCTACGTTTTCACCTTCGCAAAGTGAGAAGGTAGGCAGAGTTGTTGACTGATGTTTCTTTGACTTCACAGTTTTGCTTTAGTTATGTTTCTTGTATTATTTTAAGTATTTGTACTTGGTTATAATTTTGAGCTAAATGCAGAATGGAAATGGAAATTCCGGATTTGACCTCGAGCAGAGCAGAGGAGAAACTGGTAATCAAGAAAATGACAGCGTTCGATCCTCTAAGTTTTATGAGAGAAGCACGACATCTGTTGAGAAGAAAACTGACGCCCCCGTTATTAGACCTTCGTACTCATCCATAAGCCGTGTGCATATAAACGGAGTGCCGAAACCCCCTGTATCGAGTTTTGTGAAGGCTAGTGTTTCTGTAGAAGGGAGTTCTTTAGAGAGATTTTCAGTACCTGAATCCGTATCGACGGATATTAGTGACACAAAAGTTTCTGATAAGTCTAATTCTGCCACCTTTTTGCACTTAGACGATTCTCGAGAAAAAGAGTTGAAACCAGAAAATGTCGAAATAAACGATCCACGTGGTGGTTTGGTGAACGTTGACGAGAAAATGGAATTAATCGAGAAATTATCGGAAGATGCTATTGAAGAACCCGAGTCTGATACTTATGCAGATGAAAAAGCGCTTAATTCGGATATATCTGACAGCTGTCGAAACGAGGGTGAATTTGGTGGGGTAACTGAAAGAAAAGAATCTATCCATGAATGTAGGAATGAATGCAAATCAAGAATCGAGATGCTCGAGGAAGAACTGAGGGAAGCAGCAGCTAGTGAGATTGGATTATATTCTGTAGTTGCGGAACATGCAAGTTCGGGTAATAAGGTACATGCGCCAGCTAGACGACTTTCGAGATTTTATTCCAATTCTTGTAAAGAAGGCTCTCAAGGTAAACGGGCAAGTGCAGCCAGAGCTGCAGTTTCGGGTTTAGTTTTAGTTTCCAAATCATGTGGACATGATGTTCCTAGGTAAGTAACTACTTTTGTGTATAATTTGATACTGTCTGAAAAAAGACTGTATTTTTTTTTATATGCACTTAAATGGTTCTTCGTTTACAGGTTGACATTCTGGCTATCGAATTCGATAATGTTGAGGGCCGTTGTTAGCAAAACTGCTGCGGAATTGCCTGGAAAAATTCCACATGACTTGGAAGAACAAAAATCTAAATCTATCGATGAAACTGATGACATGGAGGATGTCTCGACGTTTATTATTGCACTGGAAAAAGTCGAATCTTGGCTCTTTTCTCGAATTGTTGAGTCTTTATGGTGGCAGGTTTATTTCTCTGTTCTCTTTTTTTTCTTTTTTTTTTTCTTGTTTATTTACACTGTTTATCAGATAGATTTATGGTCATTTTGTTTTTTTAAATGCAGACTTTTACACCGCATATGCAGCCCACATTTGCAAAAAGTAGCGATGTAACATTCAATTCAGGTACGAAAAAAACGATTGGAAGAAGAAACAGTATCGGTAATTACGAGCAGGGGAATTTCTCTATGGAGCTATGGAAGAAAGCATTTAAAGATGCCTTTGAGAGGCTTTGTCCCGTTCGAGCTGGAGGGCATGAGTGTGGCTGCTTGTCTGTGCTCGTTAGATTGGTACGGTTAAAAAATAAATAAAAAACTAAAAAAAGGCGATTATGTGATTTGTTATTTCCGATATTATCATCACACTCTTTTTTGCTGCGTTTTTGTTTTCAGGTGATGGAGCAATTAGTTAATAGGCTGGACATGGCAATGTTCAACGCTATTTTACGTGAATCTGCCGAAGAAATGCCTACCGATCCTCTTTCCGACCCTATTAGTGACTCTAAAGTCCTTCCAATTCCAGCTGGCAAATCGAGCTTCGGTGCCGGTGTGGAATTGAAAAATTGTGTAAGTGCAGAAGAACATATTACATTAAAGATTATCTCTTTCTTTCTTTTTTTTTTTTTTGTTGTTTTCTCCAAGCTATGTTTAGTTCTTGAATTTTGATGGAACGAAAAAAGATTTGAAGTATCAAAATATGCGACGAAATCTTGGCTTAAGATAGTTTTGTTTCTTTTGAATTGTATGTAGATTGGAAACTGGTCTAGAGGGCTTACCGATCTCTTTGGTCTTGAAGAAGACTCAATCGATCTCGAAAATGAAAAGAGCCCAAAATCTTTTAAGGCTTTTCGTCTCCTTCACGCGTTGAGTGATCTCATGATGCTCCCACCTGAAATGCTTGCTGATACTTCTATCAGAAAAGAAGTGAGTCACCACTAAATCATTTTTTTTTTTTCGATTTTCCTTTTATATTCATGCTCATGATCCATTTTTTTTCCTTTTTAATTTACTTGTCTGAAGATTTGTCCAATGTTTGGGCCAACAATAGTCAAAAGGGTTCTAAACAGTTACACGCCAGACGAATTCTGTCCAGATCCCGTTCCACAAAACATTATCGATGCTCTCGATAACGAGGTTGGTACTTCTTCAATTAGCTAAAAAAAAAAAAAAATCAAAACGCAATATAAATATACAATTTTCTCCTAATTTAGCTGCACTTTCTTGATTTAGGAGTTTTCGGATGATATGCTGACGACATTTCCATGCAATGCAAGCCCGACAAAATATTCACCTCCTTCAGCAGCTTTACTGACTTGTGTGGGAGAAGTCGGAAGCCAAGTGATACAGAGCAGCAGATTATCGTCACTAAAAAAATCGTATATTAGCGACGACGAACTTGATGAGCTGGACTCACCCTTCACTTCAAGTAGCTTCTTCAAGGGTTCTGCTTTAGCAAAACTTAGCTTCATGCCGAAAGAAAAGGGTGGTAGAAATATTATCAGGTATCAGTTGCTTCGTGAGATATGGAAAGATGACGAATAGCAACACCACACGTGTTTTTTTTTATGTATGAGTTGTGTATGTATAGCCATCTGTCTGTGATTGATTGTAGTTCATTTTTTGAAGAATATTTTTTTTCTTCTTTCTGTCTGTATTGAGTAATACCTGTACAGCCAACTGTGTCTGTTTGAGGACTCCATTGTTGTAGTTCATTTTTGAACAAATTTTCTTCGCCGTCGTGTAATAATGTTATTCAGTATACCATTAAACGATTTGCCATAAATACAATTATCGAATTATATTATTTAGGTTAATTTTCTGAGCAATTGCGGACCAAGAAATGTCGTGGAAGTTAATTTACAAACTAGCAATCATGGATTAATTTTTGCTTTGAGCTTCTCCCTTTCTTCCATTTCTTGTTCGGAACTTTGTCGATTATAGTTTTTACCATCTCCTGTTCCTGCAAAATCGAAAAACATAAACATAGGAGCAACAGTTCCTTTTGTCTTTTCAAGCAAATTTCGATGTGCATAACACGCATGACACGTGCATACATGTTTTTTTCTTACACAATCCAAGAATGCAGTTTTTGCCACGAGGAAGAAACAGAGAACCGAGAAACTTACAGCTTTGATTGCAGACCATCAGACGGGATCTGTAATGCATCATAGTGCCCATAGCCATGGTATAAAACACGAACGGGGTTCTCCTTTCCATACTCCTGACCATATTCAGCTATAACCTTTAGGCAGTTTTTCTTCTTATCCCACATGTGAACGGTTATTGGAACCCTGCAATAAATTTGTTTCGACAATTATTCATCAATATAAAGAAACTTAATTCAGAAAAAGCAGAAAAACCGATCACGGAAAGCACCTACTGTAGAACATGTGATGACATTAGTAGCTCAGGTTCCCCTCCCCATACATGCGGCTGTCTCATCTGTGCAACGTAAGTATCAAAATCACCTTCAACAAACCTGAAAAGAGACTAAATTACAGTTAAACCTGATTGATTATAATAAACGTAATGGAATTAAGTTGAAATTTACTCGAGGTAAACTACAAAAAAACTAACTACAGCGAACTCGTCAAATTAATCAAAGATCGTCTCTACTAATCATACCATTCGCTATCAGCTCGCCTCTTGATAAATTCATCTGCAACCTGCATAATCAAATTGTATCCCATTTCTTTAAGTAAATTGAAAATAAACATCTGAATTCTAAGCACAACGCAAAAACAAGAAAAAAAAAAAAGGAAGAGATTTTTACTGTTGCTCGAAGCTCGTCAGCGAGTTCCTTTTCGTGGATTTCACTTGGAGACGGCTTTCCTGCTCTCAGACAAGCACCATGAACCACTGACCGGAACAAACACCTGCCATCGCCTGGTATTCCTGCAGCGAATCAAACATTAATACATTAATTGCTTCATCAACAACCCGAAAAGTAAGCTATAAAATCCAAACCGGGGCTAAAAGCTAGTGGATTAATATGATTCTCATATATATTCAAGAAAATCCACAGAATGTAGAAATCTACAGCCTCTTGTTATGATACATACATAATACATACACCTTGTTCAATGTAATTTGAAATTTGAATGAATAAACCAAAAAACACGACTTTGATCACGAAACAGCATTTTCACAAAAACGACGACGTATCATATTGACATACCCGAACCCAAATCCATCTGTTCAAAGAATTATATCCCAAAAAGAAGGAGCAAACAGTTAAAACCTAACCTTCAAAATTCAAATGCTAAATCAACAAATACACGCCAAAGAAGAAAGTGTGAATCCGACGATAAGAATAAACTAAACGTCGCCAAATGATGTAAGCTTCAAACAAGCAATCGGATTACGCTACCAGTTTTTAAATGCTACGAAAATTGATTCTATCAAACACAAAAAATCCGAGTGACCTAGGAAAAAAAAAAATCGAAAACATACTAACAGTCCGGAGATCGTTACCGAGCGAAAGGTCGGACCTCGACATGGATAACGGTGATTTTAAGCAGCGGAATGGCATATCAGGTAATTAATTCTGCCATTCTGGTTTATTTTTTTCCGAATTAAAATTGTACGACGATTGTTTATTCTTTTACCTGTGCATGATGATGTTGATGATGATGATTCTCTCTACGGAATGAGTGGTGATACGACGTCGTGGACTGTGGAGCATAATAATGTCAGGCTGTAAAGTGGAGGATTCAATCATTGTCATCATCATTACAGAATCGAATTCGATTCACTGAAGATATGTAATCGTTGTGTTGTGGAGAAGACGACTCGGTCATTCGGTACTGAGTTTATAACGAGTGAACGGTTCCTGGAATTGAGGTTTTTATTGGTTGCTGAACACGATTTTAGGTGAAACTGTAGGAGACTGGAGGGATTTTAACTATAGACGATTTAATTGGGGCTTTGTTTCGTTCCGTTTTATGGATTTTGTTGCTGAAATGGACTTCGGCCCATTAATAGTTGGAGACCCTATAGGCTTGTCATATTCAAAATTCCGGCCTTGTGAAATTCATTAAATAGTAATTAGTTGGATACAAACATGGCGTCAAAAGGAAGAATACGAGAAACCATAAACTATTTGTAGATAAAACTCATAAGAAAAAATTCGAGTTGAAACATTTCCGGGAAAGATTGTCGAAAACTGAAAAAAAGTCGAAGGCTATCGCGATCTGGACGTCTTGGTAACCGCTTGCCAGATCACAATCAGGAAGTGAGATCGCGATCTGGATCTGGATCTTGAATCAAACTATTAATAGAGAAAAAATGTTCTTAGAATATTCAAAATTATTTTCAAAAATTAAAATTGTATCAAAAACTAAAATCTTGTTTATATTCAAATTCCGATAAAACCATAGAAAAAAACGGTAATATGAATTTTGATTAATAAAATAAAAAATAAATAAATAAAGAAAAAATATAATCGAAATCAACAAAAATCGAAATCCATTCGATTTTTTACCCATATCTATAGGCATTCGAGTGATTTGGGCCAAGGATGGGTGGATATCAAGCCCAAATGTTTAAAAAGTAAAACTATTTATTTATTTATTAGTATGCAATTGGGCCGAGAAACTCCGAAAGTAATCATGGGCCTCAAAAGTTTTATTGCAGCGCAAGAAAACGTTTTATTCCTCTTTTCTTATTAGTAATCGCAATTTCAGTCTCCGATTAATTTTTTCTCCATTCGCCATTGTTCTTCCGATTCTCTGCAGAAATCAGGTAAACCAGACAACTCACGCTGTTGATTTTATACCTCGGTATGGACATTTTTCTCTCTTTATTCCTGTAAACTATGGATCAAGTACCGTATTTTTCAGTATAATTTTTGTATTTTAATTTTTTTTTCTGGATCAACGAGTTACGCAAAACTCGAATCGAATTGACAAGCACAACTGTAGTGTGCATACCGCTCAGTTAGATGTGATGAAACCTTGAGCTGTTAATTGTTTTTGGGTATTTTGTATTTTGAAGTGCCGTTTTAGCAGCTATAGATTTTCGAATTGTTAACTAGGGTTTCTTATTGGTCTCTATTTGAGCAACATTTTTGAAATCGTATTAATATTACTGAAGCTAAGAACTAATTATTGTATGCGGGTTTGTTGATTATTTACTCTTTGTAAAGGTAATAATGATGAAGATTGATCTTAGTGGGCTTGATCCCTCGGCGCCGATGAAGAGAAACACAGATGACTTGGATAATGAAATTTTGGCTACACCATCTTTTGCTCTTCCCACCACTGTTGATGTGAGCTTGACTTTATTTTATTAAAGTTTTTTTTAAAGTCTCATATGCTACGAGCCTTCAGTGACTGAGTTTCTGTGTTTTTTTTTTCTTTTTTGCTTTAGTTTGATGGGTTTCAAAAAGCGTCAATTCAGATGGTGAAGCCTGCAAGGGGAACTACAACTCTGGCTTTTATATTCAAAGGAGGTGTCATGGTGGCTGCTGATTCTCGTGCGAGCATGGGTGGATATATATGTGAGGCTTTATACATTCTTAACTTACTGTTTGGTTTCTGATTGGGTAATGCTCATGATATCTGTATGGTGTTTGATCAACAATGAGGGTGACACTTTATAAGATTATCCTTTGTCTCAGCTCATATTTAGGCTTGCATTATAGAATAGTCAAACAACAACTCGTGCAGACTCTTGAGTAAAATTTTGGTATATAAACCATTCGAAACTAGACGTCTAATTCTAACCAGGTTATCGAGTAGGTCTTGATGTAATGTCATGTTTAGCCTTATTTGTAGATCAAAGGTTTCTTTCTTTATTGATTTCTCTATATGCAAAAATTTTTTGATTAAGAAATGCTTTTTGCAGTCTTTCAAATTTGTGTCGGCTTCATCTATAGAAATGCTTGTGTATCTGCTTTAGTATGGCTGCTACAATCACCAACTTCTTCTTTATAATGTTATTGTATTTGTGGGGTTGAGTGTTCTAAATTTTGAATACATGGATGAGACTTTGTAAAAATATGATTGATGATTAACTCAAAGTTCATATCGACTAGTTTATAGTGTCCATGAATGGAGGCAATAGTCATATGAAGTAAATCTAAATTTGTTTTGGTGTTATTATCATGAAATTTCAAGTATCTATTCTTGGTAGTGCTGATCCGTGATTTTTTTTACTTTTCACATAATCAGGTAGGCTTAGTGCAAGTTCAATTGCTTTATATTATGATATCTTGTTATGACATACTGCATTTTATAATACATTATCTTGTTTCTTTCTTTCATGTATATTTCGCATGTCAATATAATCATATCAATGTGCAGCATCACAATCTGTCAAGAAAATTATTGAAATCAACCCATACATGCTTGGTACAATGGCTGGAGGGGCTGCTGACTGCCAGTTCTGGCACAGAAATCTAGGCATTAAGGTACTAGAATTGAATTGTGGCCTCTAATATTTATACAGTATGTAGTTTTTTCTACTATTGTCTTTCAATGAGAAGCTGCATGAACTGTGTTGTTTACCTTAGCTCTTTGCTTTCATGTTTGATGTGTAATTTAGGATTTCCATAAGTTTCACTGTTTACCAGATTTGTGTTGAAAAAAAAAACCCACGTAGTATAGATGTACATTTGATGCATCAAAGCACATTTTCTTAATTGGTGGTTGTACTTCCATCTTTGTGGTACAAGACTCGTGTTCTACTATAGTACATCGAAAGGAAAGATCACAATTGGGTATTTTCATTTCTATTTCAGTGCCGTCTACATGAATTAGCGAACAAGAGAAGAATTTCTATTGCCGGAGCCTCAAAGATGTTGGCGAATATTTTGTATTCTTACCGAGGAATGGGCTTGTCTGTTGGAACTATGATAGCTGGCTGGGATGAACAGGTATAAGGTGCAATTTTATCTTTCAGTTGGCTGTTTTAAGATTTTTTTTTTAATACTTTAGCTTCTTGGTATAGGGTCCTGGCCTCTATTATGTGGACAGTGAAGGTGGACGGCTTAAGGGCACTAGATTTTCTGTTGGATCTGGTTCACCATATGCTTATGGTGTTTTGGACAGCGGGTATGTTCTTCATGTCATTCTATCTTTTCCCCTCTTCATGTATACCTTCCTTTTGGTTTCATTTTTTTTTGCTATGCCCGAGGTTAAGCAAAAGTGCCCAATATAACATATTTAAAATAATTCTTTGCCTATTTTCTAACTCGGTACATAAAGTTCATTTAACTTTTAAACGATTACCATTTAGTTTGATTTATAATGCCATACGCCTGTTTTTTTCCTTTACTATTGGTTACATCTGTCTACTGTCAATGATCATAATTCATAACACAATCTTGATTTTATGGTCTATTCTGATCGTGCTTCTTATACTTTTAAAATTTCTAGATATCGTTTTGATCTATCTGTTGAGGAAGCTGCTGAGCTGGCTAGACGAGCAATCTATCATGCTACATTCCGTGATGGAGCCAGTGGTGGTGTTGCCAGCGGTAACACACTAAATCCCCTTACCAACCCCCCCCCCCCCCCACCCCCACCCCAAACCACCCCTTATTTATGATGTTATCTTTGTTTGTGATGACCTTGGTCTTGTATTGCAGTATACCACGTTGGACCAAATGGATGGGAAAAGCTATCTGGTGACGATGTTGGAGAACTCCACTACAAGTACTACCCCGTTGAAACTGCAGTTGTGGAACAGGAGATGACTGAGGTAGCTATTGCGTGATTGAGTTACAATTTAGAACTTTTCCTATCATTTGCTTCTGATTAGTGTGTAAGACAATATAATCTACAAGATAAACCTAAACTGGTTTTGCTTTTGTAACATTTTATTTTTGAATTAAACAACTTGCTCTTATCATGTGTGCCCCCAACAAAACTATTGTTGTATCTCGATTATTCCTATGCGTACGCTACTACAAACTAATTGTGTTGGACAAGATTCATAGCGTCGAAGCCCCAGCCAATTACTACAGGTTTATTAGTTGACAGCTTTTAGCTGGAAAGACGTGCTAGTTGTTTTTGAGGTAAAGAATCTTGATTGTTATCTCTTCCCACCTCACTTGCATACATATGCATATGTGTGTTAGTTGTTTTCTAGTGGCTTTATCTTCATCAATGAGATATTCCATGCTCTATACTATCATTGTTATGTAATCTGTGTCAAATCTCTTACATAAAGTTGTGGCAATTTTTTACCTACATGTTTCACCTTTGTCTTTCTACTGTGTGTCTGTGTGTGAGAGAGTTTTTGGGTGGGGGTGGGTCTTGGAAATGTAATTGTAAGTTTGGTGGAAGTGGTCAAATAGGAAATAACTAGCATGTGATATAATTTTGTGTTTGTTTTCATTCATTTTCTTATGAGAAGATGATGAAAGATAGATTGCCTTAATAATAATATTACTTAATAATGATGAGAGTAAAATAGTGGGAGTAGAGAGGAAGCCTTTGCTTGTTAGCTAATTCAGTTTGTGAAAGATACAAAAGGGATGTTGGGACCCACCCTTGTACTTATATATGTAATTGAATTTTTAGAAACAATTGAGAAAATTTATCTTTGCTACCAAGTTAGAGATTTGTTTCTTGCTTCCACTTTTTCCAATTCTTTTTTTATATATCCACAAGACTATCATCATCATCATTTATATTATGAATGTATTATTGATCTGTATCAAATTCATAAACATATGATTCTATTAAATGTGATCTCGTGTTATTGGTGTTTATCAAATTCGTGTTCTTCATCTTTTTGAATTTTTTTAAAAAGCTGTACGGATTCTGGAATTTCAATATATTTATGAAGCTTTCGGAATTCAAATTGATCCCTAGATTTCAAAAAAAATATATATATAGTTGTTATGTACGATTTTACCCCTATTCATTTAGAAAGTGATGTTATTTCAAATAAAATGTTACTACTACAAGATTGGGATATACTATAATGCTAGAAATAGTGTAGATGTATTGGTATTGGCATTCTATCCATCGAATTAATCAATTATTTTTTGTATTGGTATTCCCAACATAAACTGCTCTCACCCCCTGCCCTCACAGAATAATACACACACACATACTTTTGTTAGCTTCTAAGCATGTTTTCATGATTGAGAATTAGACGTATTATTTAATCATTGTTATTCCACTAAAAAAAACAATTAAAGTTAATCATTGTATTAATTATTATTATTATTATGGGCAGTAAAAGTCAAAACTGCGGTGAGAAACAACAGTGTATAAACAAATACTACTCTGTTTCTGTCTAGTAAATGATCATTGCGTATTAATCTATACATGATGTCTATATTATACTGTGTTATAATTGTAGTAACACACACTAATTGATTATTATTTACATCTGTAATATTGTTACAAGAAAAATATAGACTCCTTTGCATTAAAGGAAATTCAATAAAAACATATGATGGCCCCTTATCAAGAAAAGACACATACATAGCAGCAAGAATATGACCAGACTACAGAGGTCGCCCCAATAGAAAGGACAACCCATCATACCCTCACTTATTACCGCCTATTTACTCTTACATATACACACACACACACATATATATTTGTATGTATATATATATGGACCACCATGCTATATATATTGCTTCTTCTCATATTCATTTCAATCCTCATTATTATTGAATTTTTTTCCATTTTTCTTCATTTGGACATAATTATTCAATGCGACAATGAATAAGAGAGCATCCTATTTCGAAATAATAAATGGGCCGAATATTCAAAGTTCTATAATTTAAGACGAATAATATCTCCATCTCAGTTTTTTTTTAAAAAAAAAATTGGTTTGCATCACCATTTATAACAACTTAATTGTGATATCTCAATTGTACACTTAATTGTCATAAGCAATTTATTTGACCTCGGTCGCCTTTAAATACAATGGATACAATCATACAAATTAAGTTCGAGTATCATGATTTTTTTTTCTATAAACAAAAAAATAAAAAAATAAAATACACACACACACATATATATATATATATGAAGAAAACAAGGGAAGAAGACAGAAGAAAGAAGAGAAGCAAAAGCCTGCTAAACATCATTAACACAGACGTAAATGCTTAACACTAGAAAAGCCATCTTGCTTTTCTTCTACTCTTGAACACAATCTCTCTCTCTCTCTCTCTCTCTCTCCTCTCTCTCTCTCTCTCATATACAGTATGTGGGTGGGCCCATATAGTAAGTAATAGGCACCCTTCTCCAACTCCAGTCTTTTTCTCATAAATTCCCAACTTCCCACCTCCTTCCCCATTTCGATCTCAGCTTTTTTTCACAGTCTATAGCTTGTTAAAAAGAGATTCTTTTTCTTTCTTTCTTTCTTTCCTTTTGTTTTTTGGCTGAAAAATTCGCACTGAGTTATCACATTCTTGAACTCGGACAACGAAAGAGAAAAGGGTCCGTCCTCTTTTTCTCAGAAAGCGGCTTCTTCTTCTTCAAGTCTTTTTCTGTTGCTAATTTTGTGTCAAGATTTCTTTTTTAATTTTGTTTTTTTTTAATGTTTTAGGAAAAGGTGTTTGTTTAGTGTGTGTACAATGTTGTGCCAAAAGCTGTCTTTTTTGCCCGCCGCTTTTCTTTTGCTGAATCTTTGCCTCCAAATAAATTCTGGGGTTTCGTTAAACCCCGACGGCCTCTCTCTCCTCTCCTTAAAATCCGCCGTGGACGCCGCCACCTCCGCCGCCCTCTCCGACTGGAACGAGGACGACGCTACGCCGTGCCGCTGGTCCGGAATTTCGTGTATGAACATCTCCGGCTCCGACGATCCACGCGTCGTCGGTATATCCGTCGCCGCCAAAAATCTCCACGGCTACATCCCCTCGGAGCTCGGCAACCTGATTTACCTCCGCCGCCTGAACTTCCACGGCAACAGTTTCTACGGCTCAATTCCCGATCAGCTATTCAACGCTTCCTCATTACACAGCATTTTTCTCTACGGTAACAATCTCTCCGGTTCTCTACCCCCCTCCTTATGCACCCTCCCCCGCTTACAAAACCTCGATCTCTCAAGCAATTCTCTGTCGGGCCCACTCCCCAAATTCCTCAGTAACTGCAGGCAGTTACAGAGGCTAATCCTCTCAAGAAACGATTTTTCCGGCGAAATTCCAGATGGGATTTTCCCTGAGTTAGCTAATTTAGAGCAGCTCGATTTATCCGCAAACAATTTCAACGGCTCGATACCAAATGATATGGGGGAATTGAAGTCATTATCAGGAACCCTAAATTTATCCTTCAACCATTTCACCGGAAAAATACCCAACACATTAGGCGAATTGCCGCTCACGGTGAGCTTCGATCTTCGGAACAACGATTTAATCGGGGAGGTTCCTCAAACAGGGTCTTTCTCCAATCAAGGCCCCACAGCATTCTTGAATAACCCTAATTTATGCGGGTTTCCATTGCAAAAGTCTTGTAAGAACAACTCGAACGTGGGTCCGGGTGTTGTTGAGAGTAGTTCGCAGGGTATTAGCGAGCGGAAGGGATTAAAGCCGGGGTTAATTATACTTATATCAGTAGCTGATGCAGTAGGAGTGGCACTTATAGGATTAGTTATAATTTATATTTATTGGAAGAGAAAAGATTCTCAAGGGTGTAGTTGTACCGGAAAAGGCAAGCTTGGAGGTAACGAAAAAACGGGTTTTTGTTCTTTCCCTTGTATGAGTGGATTTCCGAGTAATGACTCGGAAGTTGACTCGGAAAAAGGGGGCGGTGGTGGGGGTGTTGGTGGGGGCGGGAGTGGGGTGATGAGTGGTGGAGAGGGGGATTTAGTGGCGATAGATAAAGGGTTTAATTTTGAGTTGGATGAATTGTTGAGAGCTTCGGCTTATGTGTTAGGGAAGAGTGGATTAGGGATAGTGTACAAGGTTGTCTTAGGGAATGGTGTTCCGGTGGCGGTGAGGCGGTTGGGGGAAGGCGGTGAACAAAGGTATAAGGAGTTTGTGGCGGAAGTTCAGGCGATTGGGAGGATAAAGCATCCGAATGTTGTGAAGTTGAGGGCTTATTATTGGGCGCCCGATGAGAAGCTTCTTATTAGTGATTTCATTTCCAACGGTAACTTGGCTTCTGCTCTTCGAGGTATGTTCGAAAATGTTTCCTCTTTTTCTACGTTTTTTCATTGTGTAGAATCTTGATTGTGACTTCATGTTAATGTTGTTTTGTTGGCAAGTGATAAATTAGCTTTTGATATGCATTAGAACACTACCTTACCCAATGAATCTAGTGTACCATGACTTTCTTTTCCGTTATCCCAAAAACAAAAACACGACTTTGAGTAAAATGTATGTTTTTCGGCTAAAGTATGCGTAAGCGTGGTTTCAATTAGATATAAAGTTGTTCGATATTCAAATTCTTTGATGATGTTCTAATATTGGGTTTATTTAGCATTTAGCACCCCATGTGTTTACTCTAATGGTCAAAAAACTCCTCGTGTTATAAATAATAGCAAACCCCCCCTATGATTCGATTTTATTAGCAAACCGCCACCCCAAAAGCGCACCATTTAGAGGGTTGCGTCATGCGTGCTAAACAAAATGCATCACACGGGGTTTTCTTGCTAATATTTATAATACGAGGAGTTTTTAAGCAATTCAGTATCTCAGATTGTATGATAAGTTAGGTGTTCTAAACCCTGCAATAAAAAAATCATCACAGTTTTTACGTTCACTTCTCCCACAGGAAAGACAAGTCAACCATCCACCACCACCACCACCTTGTCATGGTCAACAAGACTCAAAATCGCAAAGGGGACCGCCCGCGGCCTAGCCTACCTCCACGAGTGCAGCCCTAGAAAATTCGTCCACGGCGACTTGAAACCCTCAAATATCCTCCTCGACAACGAATCTCAGCCGTTCATCTCCGACTTCGGCCTCAACCGTCTGATCACCATCACCGGCAACAACCCTTCATCCTCCTCCGGCGGCGGAGGCTTCATCGGCGGCGCCCTCCCCTACCTCAACCCGCCGCCACACCAGCCGGAGAAGAAAGTCAATGGCTATAGAGCCCCGGAGGCTCGAGCGGCCGGGGCCCGCCCGACGCAGAAATGGGATGTGTACTCGTTCGGGGTTGTGTTGCTTGAGATGCTGACGGGGAAGTCGCCGGAAGGTTCTTCTCCGGCGAGCTCGAGTTTTTCCGGTGAGGTGGTTCAGGATCTTGTGAGGTGGGTGAGGAAGGGGTTCGAGGAGGAGAGGGCGTTGTCGGATATGGTGGACCCCATTTTACTGCAGGAGGTGCATGCAAAGAAGGAGGTTCTTGCCGTGTTTCATGTTGCACTTGCGTGTACTGAGGTTGACCCTGAGATTCGGCCGAGGATGAAAACTGTGTCTGAAAATCTTGACAAGGTGTAGTGCAATTAATTAAAGCAAGAAATTAAGACATTCTTTGATTTCAGTTCTTGGGGAACACTAGCTAATATGTTATATGTGTAATTTAATTATCTTGTTTGTTGTTTTGCATTTGTAATGAAAATATTAAATATACTAGTGTCTGTGTCTTCAGTATTTTGATTTTCAATCAATATGTTTTTTGTCACGTGGGCTAATCCGGCACGATAAGGCCTAGGCCCATTAGGATTTGTTCATCAAACTGTTGGGCTGAAATTGACTAATTGATGATGTATTTGGGCCTTTATTTAAATAGTTTTAGTTTTTTGGAGTTTATTATTGTTTTACAGTAGAGCTTCGATAAATGAATAACTTCGCTTAAATAATAATTTATTTCGATTCCGGATCGGTGAAAACTTATTAAAGTATTAGTTAGACAATTTAATATTTCGTTAAGTTAATAGAATTTTGCTAGTCCCGACTATATTAATTTATAGATGTTTAACTGTATTTAAATTAATCAAAGTCGAAATTTAGAATAAAAAAAATTGTCTCAAAATTGAATTTTTTCCGGATAGAAATAGGCCCCAAAATTGATTTTTTTCCGGATAGAAATAGGCCAAATTGAAATTTAATTTTGTTGTTTTTGTATAAACTAGCATTTTTTCCCCGTGCGATGCTGTAGTATTATTCATGTTATATATAACATTAGTTTTCATAAACATTGCATATTAAGATTTATAATCCAAATATATAGATTAAGATTTAACAAATCGAATTTCTATCTTTACCTCTTAAGATTTGAGATATATTGATGAAAAATAGGTTACTAATAATTGTTGAAAATTATGGTAAAAAAATTAGTAGAAAAATATATTAAAAATAAATAATTACATAAACACCATTATAATTTTTTAGGGTTGTCCAGCGTTTCTTTCATTTATATATAAAATACATAATATTATTATAAGTAATTTATTTTTTTGAAAAAAAAAAAATAATTTTTGGAATTATTTTGAAAATTAATTTGAATTGAAAATTGGATTCCCACATATACTATAATTCCTATCAAATTCAGAATTTAGGTGGTGTTTGCAAATGCTTTTTGAAAGTGATTATGCAGTTTTTTTGGCTCATAATCTATTTTTAGGTATTTGCAAAATCAACTTTTGCTTTGCTTCTCTTAAAATAATTTGCTTTAAGCTATTTTTTTAAAAGCACCCCTAACTTTTCTATTTAAGTTCATTTTCTGGAATATTTGCAAATACCCCCAACTTTTAGAAATAAACACTTAGGTGGTGTTTGCAAATGATTATTTAAAAGCAGAAGTTAGTGATTGTGATTTAAGTTAGTTTTAAGTGCTTATTTTTAAAAGTTGGGGGTGTTTGCAAATATTTCAGAAAATGAACTAAAATTGAAAAAACAGGGTTAATGGTGCTTTTAAAAAAATAGCTTAAAGCAGATTATTTTAAGAGAAGCAAAAGCAAAAGTTGATTTTACAAACACCACCTTATAGTTAAAGAAATTGTTTCCAACGTCGAATTTTATTTAGAGGCGGCCTGATTATTGATTATTCAAAAATAAATATATAAATAGGATAACTATATATACAACTCTCTCACATGCTTTAAACCAAAAAAATAAAAAATACGAACTATTTTTCACCTCTCCACCGGTAACTAAGTCCGCCGTGAAGCCCCTCACCGCCCTCACCGTGAACCGCTACTACTTCTCCTCTGCCGTCAATCACCCTTCCTCTCGCTGCCACAACCCAGTCCTACAGCTCCTCTTATTTATTCATCACCGCCGCGAAGCAGTCGCACCGTATTTATAAAGTTGGGAATTTCATTATTCGTGTAAGTTTAATCACGTTAATTTATTTCAATAAAGAAAAGAAACAACTATTGCTCCTGATTTTGGTAACGGTGTTACGAAAATCAGGATTTTAATCAGGCTTTTGATAATAGGGAGGGAAATTATGATTTTAATCAGGAATTTTGAAAATAGGGTTTTGAATCTTTATCTCTGAATGATAATTGAATCTGATGAATGATTATTCGAATTGCAGTATTGATTATTGGAAGTCTGCTTCAGAAGACCTAAAGTAAAACAGACATGGAGGTTAGTGTTCCATGCTATTCGAGCATTCTTATGGTTGACAAATATTTTTATTACATATGCTTACAAAATATTTTATTGTTTTTCTTTAATTTCAGAAGAATGGAGAGGGTGGGATAGTTGATCCAAATATGACTACAGATACCTTAGTACCAGATGATTCCAGCATTGGTGGTTTGCTTGTGCCAGGGAAGGATAAAGTAGTGTTCAGACCTCAGAGGAAGTCAATCTTAGGTATGAGTTCTTATTTTCGTGGTTTAGAGTTCCAGTCTGATTTTTGGTCTAGATTAGGAGTTTCCGGTGTATAATCTGAAACATTTAAATTCAGATTGTGACGATGGTGTATATAGTATTATTTCTTCTCATTGTATAATCTTACTGTGACAGGGCTTGACGTTCTTGCCAATGCAAAACGTTTGGAATCAAAGGTTGAGGGTTCATTTAAGGTTCCCAAAGAAAGAGTTGCCTCAATAGCAGCATCTCTCGATGAAGACGAGGAAAATTCTTCTTCAGGAATTGATGAAGTGGATAATAGCACGTCTAATACCGTACGCACTTCCGCTAATAGGCGATACCGTGAATTAGCTTCAAGTGGGGCATCTGATTCAGGTACAATATATTTATAGTGTATTATGTTGAAACAATTAATTAACACTAACCTAGTTTTGATAAAATCATTTACCTCCCAGTCACTAGTCCTGCACCACGAACAGATTGTCACTGTGTAGATGCATAAGCTCAACTGACAAAATTAAAGTCAAAACTAGAGATTATCAGCTAAAACAGTTGGTTGATCTTACTTTTTATTACTGGTCTGTTCATTCATTAGTAATCCGTCCAATGCACTTTCAGGAAGTCTTGTAACTGAAGAATTACAAACTCGTGAAGCATTCTCTCGGCATCGTGCAGATAAACATATGAAGGTACGTGCATATTTTCTTGTGATTCTTTTACATCTTATTTTCCATTATTTTATTGTGGCACGCTCAGCTGATATGTTATGATATGATGAATATGAGTGCTAGATAATTGTTTCTGATTCAAGTGTCATTCATATTATTTATGTCCTCACTATTAATTTCATTCATTTGCAATCTCTTTATTGTGGAAATGTTTGACCACTTTATGGAATGTGTACGATATTCCGTCAATGATATCCAGAATAGATTGAGATTTTTTGCTACATTAGTTCTGTGTTTTATTTTCCTCTGATATGAGGTACTTGTTGAAGCTAATCATGATGTTGGAATTGTCTGCACAAATACTCCTAGTTTTGACAGTTGAATAGTAGACAGATAATTGAATGAGTTTTCGTCAGGCTTCTATACGAACACAACCTTTATTGATGGCTACGGTGTTGTTCAGTTGTTCACCACTTGCTAACGATGTTTTAGGTTCCAAACGCGTCGCCCCGAAGTTCAAGGAACAGGAGTCCTAGTTCAGATTATTCGAACCATGATAGAAGCAGAAGCAGAAGCAGAGATGGGGAATACTACAAAAGCTCTAGTGGCTCTGACAGGAGAAGCAGGACTCATAGAGAGTCGTCTCATGGTCGAGAAAGAGAGCATGGTGGAGACTACGGAAGAAAGAGAAGTAGATATGATAGGTCTACGAGGTCACCTGGTATGCCTACTTTTCAGTTTTACTATTTTAAAGGCCTTTAAATGTTCTTATCTCTTCCTTTAACTTTGATATGTGTTAAATTCAAGTACGATATGTGGTTTTACGTTCTTGAATATAAAGTAAGAGAAGTTTGGGCTTAGTGAGTCAATGTTTTTAATTCTCTATGACAATGAATCTATTACAGGCAGATCTGACTGGGATGATGGACGATGGGAATGGGAAGATACCCCACGTAGAGATGACCGCCATCAAAATTTTCCATCCCCCATGCTTGTTAGGGCCTCACCTGACGCCCGACTTGTTTCCCCATGGTTGGGAGGGCGTACCCCTAATTCTTCTGGTAATATATCATAATTTTGTTATATTTATTTACGCTCTCGCTTTTAAATTGTAATATTCGCTAGGCAAGTTTTTGCCGAGTATTAACTAATAACTAATAAGAAAAATGAATATCATTAAAACAGCTGCATCTCCTTGGGATAGCTTTGCTCCTTCACCCACTCCTATTCGGGCATCAGGGTCCTCTGTTAGGTCTTCAAATTCCAGATATGGTGGCAAGTCTGATCACTTCAACTCTTCAAAGCGGCAATCGGCTGAGGTTTTGAGTTACTCTTTTTAATAAAAAAAATTCCCTTTTTATGTTCATTGTGTTCTCTTATATGTCATTGGGAACTTCCTTGGAATTCTTAGTATTTTCCCCATCTTTTTAGTAACTTCTTTTTTGGTCTAGGATGGAGATAATGGCCCAGAAAATATATATGAAGAGGAGAATCATGAGATATCAGAGAGCATGCGTTTAGAGATGGAGTACAATACTGATCGAGCCTGGTAATATTATCTGAATAGTTTTTTTCGTGTATCTTCAAGATTCATTGCTTCATAGTAAAATATATTTGCATGATGGTTGACTATGAATATACATGTGTACTTGTTTCACGTCTGCGTAGATGATTAATGTAGCTTTGAGTGGATGAAAAAGAGAGATTACCCATGTAAATAAATGAATTTATGTTTAGATTGTTAATTTTGCGTTGAAGAAAATTTTAATTCCAAAGGAAGTTAGTGAATACATCTTCCATCTATATGTTTGGGAAGAAGTATCAAAATGCATTAGAAGAGGAACTATTTAAGTCAAGTTCAGTTTGATAATGAATTATATATGTTATGTTACAGGTATGATCGAGAAGAAGGCAGTAATCTATATGGTGATGATAACTCCTCAGCTTTTCTTGGTGATGAGGCATCTTTTCAGAAAAAAGAGGCAGATATAGCTAAGCGACTGGTATGATTTCACATTGTTTAGCTTGAGGTGGTTTAGTTAATTAGATGAAGGAAATTTTCCAACTGGCTAGTGTTTTTACTTGGCATTCAGAAAGTTTTTTCCTAAGAAAGTATAATCGTAGCAGCCCAACACTAGTAACAATTTTCTCTGTTGTTGCGTGCAATTTGGTATTCCTTGTCGATGGTAGAAGCCGATTCTGTTTTTTTCTCCTCCTCCTATGTACATGTTATGTTCTTCATATTCCAGCAAATATCTCAAAATGCTAGACCATTAAGAGACTTGGTGGTTTCCTGGTCTTATATGTTGTGTGTGTTTCGAGACGGGGTTGTTTAAATTTTAGTTCTTAACGTAAATCTCCATTTGGGTCCTATATGTGCCAGCTTGTATTAGTTATTTTCCATGATCTTACTAAGCCTACTGTTGACGATTGAGTTCTATCACGTTATGTACATAGTCACTGTTGATAGTGAAGTTGGCTCTAGAATTCATTCTATGCCTGACTTTAAAATGTGAAGTTTGTTAGTGTACAAATGCAATGCCATTTTCTCTCAAGATATTTGTACTTGCACATGAACTCACAACCTGGTGGCTTATACATAGTACTCTACCTCATATGAATACAATTCAATTTGACAGTTGTTGAACTTTTATAGTGTCTGTCTGAAAGTATATGTATGTTCAACTATAGGTCCGGAGAGATGGAAGCAAGATGTCTCTTGCACAGAGCAAAAAATTTTCGCAGCTAACTGCTGATAATGCTCAATGGGAGGACCGACAACTTTTGAGATCAGGAGCTGTTAGAGGAACTGAGGTGCAGACTGAGTTTGACAATGAGGAAGAAAGGAAGGTTATTCTTCTTGTGCATGGTAGGTCCCAGTTTGTTTACTTTTATATTATATGTGACTTGATCTTTAAATAACCTTAGAAGCAAAGTTGCTATCATTTGTCTGGAGTTTCTTAATATCTCTTGTAACAGATACAAAACCCCCTTTTCTTGATGGGAGGATTGTTTTCACCAAGCAAGCTGAGCCCGTTATGCCATTAAAAGACCCCACATCAGATATGGCTATAATATCACGAAAAGGCTCCAATCTGGTTAGGGAAATCCATGAGAAACAGAGCATGAACAAGTCACGGCAACGTTTTTGGGAGCTAGCTGGTTCGAAGCTAGGTGAAATATTGGGTGTTGAGAAGACTGCGGAACAGGTATGATGCATGCCAAAGTTGAATCAGACATTATTAATGATGCTCAATCTTTTAGTTTTGTCCATGGATTTATCTGAAAATCTTTTTGCATCCATTACTAGATTGATGCAGATACCGCTGTAGTGGGCGACGAAGGTGAAGTTGATTTCAAAGAAGAAGCCAAATTTGCACAGCATTTAAAGAAGGATGAAGCATCAAGTGATTTTGCTAAATCAAAAACATTAGCGCAACAACGACAGTACTTGCCTATTTTTTCTGTACGAGAGGAGTTGTTACAGGTTTGAAGCCCTATCTGTTTCTTATATCTTAGAAATGGCCAGCATAATTTATAGCAGTAGAAGGATTAGATGGTAATATGTTGTCTGAGAGGTGATGGTGTGTATCAATCTCTCTAATGTCTCATGTGTTTCACTCTCTTTATTCATCTATTTGATTCCTTAGTTTCCCCTTATATTGGGTAACTTGCTCCTGGTGAATAGTGAATGAATGGAGGAAGAAGAGGGTAGGGTGGTTGTCTTGTTCACTTATATTTTTATCGCCCAATTTTTTTTTAGGTGGTAAATCTAGTCAAATGTATATAACTAACAAGCTTAGACAAAGTGGGGGCCTGTCAGGTCACTCATTTAAAATCATCTGTTTATTCTGCCAACGTCAGCATCTCTTCTTATTGAAATGCAGTTATAATAGCAATATTTGGAGATCACTAATTGCCGATTAATCTCATCTTTTACAAATGCAGGTTATCCGTGAGAATCAGGTGGTGATTGTGGTTGGTGAAACTGGTTCTGGAAAGACAACACAATTAACCCAGGTTTGTTCAAAGTCTATCTGCTTGTTAGAATCCTCATCTATGTGCATTTTTAAAGACTTTTTGGTTCTTTAGTGAATGAATCCCCCAGTTACCTGACATGTGATTGTTTGCAGTATCTTCACGAAGATGAATACACAACCAATGGCATTATTGGTTGCACTCAACCAAGGCGTGTAGCAGCCATGAGTGTTGCCAAAAGAGTCAGCGAAGAGATGGAAACTGAACTCGGTGGTAAGGTTGGGTATGCAATTCGTTTTGAGGATGTTACTGGACCTAAAACTGTTATTAAGGTAATAACTCTCTCAATCTTTCTCCATTAAGATTTTTGGTTACTTTTTTAACAAGCCACTGCCTAGTATCCTGACATTCAAACATCATCATTCATCTTTCTTTTGCAGTACATGACTGATGGTGTGCTTCTGAGGGAGACGTTAAAAGATTCTGATCTGGATAAATATCGGTACGATTTTATGATTCTATGATGTTTCTTGGGACCTTGGGCATGTGAATAGCGTGTGTGTTATAAAATAGTTCATCTATAATCATTTCACAAATTTTTTAACAGTCAAGCAAATAAAAAAAAAATCGTATACGCGTTTTGCTAAAAAATGCTAAAATTTTCAAATTGTTTTTTAAAACTCCAATATATACCATAGAAGATGTTTATGCATAAGTAGTCAAAAAATAGTTCATCTAAAAATTATTTCACTATTTTTGTAATAATGAAGCAAAATCACAATAAATCGTATACTATATAGCACACGTTTTTTGCTAAAAACTGTTGAAATGTTCAGTGTTCTTTTTACATTTTTTAACACTCAAATACTAAGTATAAAAGATGTTTATGCATTAGTAGTCAAAACATAGTTCATCTAAAAATTATTATAATATTTTTTTAACAGTCCAGCAAAATCACAAAAAACTGTATACACGGGTTTTGCTAATTAGCTAAAATGTTCAAATCTTTTAATTTTTTTATGACACTTGATGATGTTAATGTATTAGTCAAGAAATTAAACATCTAAAAAGTGTTTGACTAATTTTTGAACAGTCAAACATCACGAAACAATTGCATACTAACCACACGTGTTTTGCTAAATGTAACTGATTATGTTTACTTTATCATGTAGAGTCGTTGTAATGGACGAAGCACATGAACGGTCTCTAAGCACAGATGTGCTCTTTGGTATCCTCAAAAAGGTTGTTGCCCGACGTCGTGATTTCAAGCTTATTGTAACTTCTGCTACTCTCAATGCTCAGAAATTCTCGAACTTCTTTGGGAGGTAATTCTATTTGCTCTGGCTAGTCTATCAATGTCTACTATTTTCTTCCTTCTTCTACATCATGATCTATTTACTATTCTCCTTGCAGTGTACCTATATTTCACATTCCTGGGAGAACTTTTCCAGTGCAAATCTTGTACAGTAAAACACCTCAAGAAGATTACGTTGAAGCCGCAGTTAAGCAAGCCATGACTATCCACATCACAAGTGCACCAGGTGACATACTAATCTTCATGACCGGTCAAGATGAGATTGAAGCAACATGTTATGCTCTGGCGGAACGCATGGAACAGCTTGCCACAGGAAAGGAAGTTCCAAAGCTGTTGATTCTTCCCATATACTCCCAGCTCCCAGCTGACTTGCAAGCGAAGATATTCCAAAAAGCTGAAGATGGGGAACGCAAGTGTATCGTTGCTACAAATATTGCCGAGACATCTTTGACCGTGGATGGAATCTTCTATGTCATCGACACAGGTTATGGTAAAATAAAGGTCTACAACCCTCGTATGGGTATGGATGCTCTTCAAGTCTTTCCTGTCAGTCGAGCTGCCTCTGACCAGCGAGCTGGACGGGCTGGAAGAACTGGGCCGGGAACTTGCTATCGCCTTTATACAGAAACTGCATATCTTAATGAAATGCTTCCGAGTCCCGTGCCGGAAATTCAACGAACCAATCTCGGTAATGTGGTTTTGTTGCTCAAGTCTTTGAAAATCGACAACTTGTTAGATTTCGACTTTATGGACCCCCCTCCTCAAGAAAATATCCTCAACTCCATGTACCAGTTGTGGGTCTTGGGTGCATTAAGCAATGTCGGAGATCTGACAGAACTTGGTTGGAAGATGGTGGAGTTCCCCCTCGACCCTCCTCTTGCTAAGATGCTTTTAATGGGGGACAGGCTAGGATGCACAAACGAGGTTCTGACAATCGTATCAATGCTTTCAGTACCGTCTGTTTTCTTTAGACCAAAAGATAGGGCAGAGGAGAGCGATGCTGCAAGGGAAAAATTCTTTGTGCCAGAATCGGACCATCTTACCCTTCTAAACGTATACCAGCAGTGGAAATCCAATCAGTATAGGGGTGATTGGTGTAATGACCATTATCTGCATGTCAAAGGTTTACGCAAGGCTAGAGAGGTGAGATCTCAGTTACTAGATATTCTAAAGACACTGAAGATTCCACTCACATCGTGTGGTCCAGATTGGGATGTAGTTAGAAAAGCTATATGTTCCGCTTATTTCCATAATGCTGCGCGATTAAGGGGTGTCGGTGAGTATGTGAACTGCAGAAACGGAATGCCGTGCAATTTGCACCCTAGCAGTGCGATATACGGTTTGGGTTATACACCGGATTATGTGGTGTATCATGAGTTGATTTTGACATCGAAAGAGTACATGCAGTGTGCGACTGCAGTTGAACCCCATTGGTTGGCTGAGTTGGGGCCCATGTTTTTCTCAGTGAAGGATTCTGACACGTCGATGCTGGAGCACAGGAAGAAACAAAAGGATGAGAAAACTGCAATGGAGGAAGAGATGGAGAATTTGAGGGCTTTCCAAGAGAAGAGGGAGAAGGAGAGAAAGGAGAGAGAGAGGATTAAGAGACAGAAGGAGCAGCAATCAGTTTCGATGCCTGGGTTGAAACAGGGGAGTTCCACTTACTTGAGGCCGAAAAAAATCGGCTTGTAAAAAAATCTAAAAAAATCTATATTTTTTATGTACATTTTTGGTGTTGTTGATTAATGCGCGACTGGATGATAAACATTTACCCTCTCGTTAAGCAAGCACACATCGTGTCTGTTCCTCATCTCATTTTTCTACTTCCCTATGAACTATGAAGAGAGACATTATTATATTGGCTTTTGAGAAGGACTAATGAAATGTCTTTTTCGTTATTTGTAATCGCCAACTTTTACGTATCGACTATAGCTTGGTCGGCCGTCCTTCAAACTTCGATTAGCTTTCCTTTTTGTTCCTATCATTTTCACCACCTATTCGGTATTTTTGTTAGTTTGGCCCTACCATTGGATGTATTGATTTGTAATCTCTCGATCTAGTGGATTGGAGTGTAATGTTTTGGGGATGTAGGACTCTTACTGAGTTCCAGCCTCTTAATCTTAATGTGTTTTTCTTCACTTTTCAGTGTGTGGTTAGTGTGTTTAATTTGTTTGGAAGATGTTAATGTATAAATAGTCAAAAAATAGCTCATCCACAAAACAAACACTAATTTTCGAATAGTGATGCAAAATCATGAAAATCCTATACTATAGCACACGCGTTTTGCTCAAAATCGCTGAAATTTTAAAATATTTTTTTTAATATGTTTTATCACTCAAATATATACTAAAAAAGATGTTAATCCATAATTAGTCAAGAAATTATTTATCTAGAAATTTGTTTCAGTAATTTTTGAACAATCCACCAAAATCACAAAAAAATGCTGAAATGTTCAAATAAGAAATCAATGAGCCATCATCATATCAACATAAGGCCAATTTAGTTCAACACTATGCAATATCTTAAAAGGCATCTTCAACAGCAATGTATGCATGCACACTGAGCCAATAGAAAACATATTTAAAATATTGAGAAACTAATTTAGAAAACCTAATTCTTAGAAGATGTCTTCTTCTTTGGGCCAGAATTAGCAGGTTGCGGCTTGGGGTGCTTTTCGGCCTCGTTTGGGTCCAACCACTTCATAGGGTTGCGGTTGAAGAACGGCCAGTTGGGAACTGTAATCAGAGAAGTTAAAACCACACCGGCAGTGTAAACAAGCATCATCGTCTGAAACGAGCCCAATACATAGCCTGCGATGAATGCCACTACTGCAAAAATTACCAACATCAGCTGCATCAACTGCTCCGCTACTTTCTGCCCTTGCCAATCCATCTACGAGCCAATCATAACAAATGAGCTCAATACCAACAATTTTACACATCAAAATACACATTTTAGACTATTTATGTTATATTTCAATTGAAGTATCGAGAATTCATGGATTTCAAGACTATTGTCTGCCTAAATTTAGCCGCACAAATTTCCTCCCAATTACAGTAAAATCTAAAGATAAATGAATTAGGGAACTTAATTATGGACAATCTGTACATTTATAAATTCCCAAATGAAAGAAAGATCATTTTGCAAAAACTGTAATTTTCACATTTGTGTATAAATTCAAGAGGCCTTTCGATTAGATTCTTCGTGCCCTAAACAAATTGAAGTTAAACAGCTCGAATCCTTAAAAATCAGCGACCAAATCAATTACCAGGTAACTGAAATTCATGAATCGAACATCAAATATTAACAAAATAAAAACCAAATCACTCCCAATAACCTAAAACTCCCGTTGATCGTAGAAAAGCATCGAAGTAGTCTAGTTATAATTAATCCATATACACTCGATTGTAGAGACGAGTACACAATTAAACTAGAAAACAGACACAATTGAATTATGAATACGTAAACATATAATGCGCATATATATCCAGAGAGAGAAAGAAGGTGTGCTCACCGGAGAAATGACGACGGAATTAACCCCCAAAGTAATGAAATTTGCCGTAGACAACCACTGGGTTTCTTTTTCAGAACAGAAATAGTGACGTGTTTTTCTGACCGCTGGATTGTGAAATAAATATACAGTGAGTAAATTAATTGAATAATACGTCAACCGTCGATGAAATACGGTGATCTTATTGGGCCTAAATTGGGCTGAACCACTTGTCGATTAATTGGGCTGATGTTCATGTAATCCAACCGAATAATAACCAATTTCGTGTTTGTCCATTGTAATTTTAAGATTAATAAAATCGCTTGAATAATAATTTCTTTTAATCCCAATTTGGGGAACCTATTAAATTATTTGTTCGTTATGCATCTCTAATCGATAGTGATGTAACAACGCAATTACGAATAAATCTAAAGATATTGAGCCCAAAAATAATTACGAATAAATAAACCTTCAAATTATCAGAGATACTGAGCCCGAAAATATCATTTGAAAGCATTTCTCAGATCAAAATTGTATCATTCACATGTTATTCTGTTGCAATTTCAAACCAGAGAGAAAAAGAGGGCAAGATCTTAATAAAAATGGTCATAATATCCTGTGATAATAATATAGTGGTCGGGCAAATAGATAACAACAGCATAGATACCGCAAAATACACCACCACTGATGATTTTGAAAACCAATAAAGCATTTTACCAATCAGCATTCAACAAAAGGCATATGATAAATCCAAAATATCCTCTAAAGGTAACAAAAATAATTATCTCAACAACAGAATTCAAATTTGAAAAAAAACACCACAGATGAAAGACAAATTCAAAACTTGAACTAATATAATCCAGCAAAAATCAACAAGGATTCTCAAGACCTAGTTTTGGATACTTTAGAAATCTTCTGTTCAGTCTCAGGCTCCTTTTTCACAGACTCTTCCTTTTCGGACAGAGTCAACTCAATGTGGCATGGTGATGACATGTACGCTGACAAGAAAATATATTCATGTTTAGTTCAAAATTAATCTCATTATAATCCGAAAAAAAAAAAAATAAACACTAAAGTCGCTTACGATTAATTCTTCCATGGGCACGGTATGTGCGGCGCCTTTGCTTCTGAGCCTGGTTAACCTGAATGTGAGAAATGAAAAGTGCATCCACATCCAAACCTTTCACCTGACGATTATTAATAATAATAATAATCAGTATTAGATCTGAAACAAAGAAGAGAATGCAAAGAAAAAGATATCAAGGAAATAGAAATGAAGGTACCTCGGCATTGCTCTCAGCATTCTTGAGCAAGTCCAAGATAAACTTGGCGGATTTCACGGGCCAGCGACCCTGACCATTAGAATGTCTGTTCTTGGCCTGAGCAGTACGGCCAACACCACGACAGAAACGAGTGAAAGGAATAGCCTGCTTGTGGACAAGCACATCTTCCAAGTATCTCTTGGCTTTCACTAGGGGCAACTTCCTGATGGCGTGCGCTGTTTCCCTTGTGTTCTGCATACAAAATAAGTATGTTGCAAAGTGGTAAATTAGTTCCGACCATTCGATATTACCATACATTGGCAGTTGATGAAACCTTCATATTATCAAGTGTGTAATTCATTGCAGTTTAACATAGCTGAAATATAGTGCAGAAATTTACACAAAAGCACCAATGTGTAGTTAAAGATCTATGGATGATCACAAGAAACCTAAACTCAGCAACAGAGATGGGACTCTGCAGTTTTACATAGCTTCTAAAAAATAAAGTCTACAAAGGTTTTTCATCACTCATTTGCCTATCAAAATATACAACTTACCTAGAGTATAAAACAAGATGCAGCCAGAAAATATCTAACCATTCTTAAATTGGGTAAACCATTGGCAAATGCAAGCATCACTAACGTAGAATTGTTTACTGTAACATCAATCATGAGAACAAGTCATGAGGTTTCACCCAATAACATTGTCGAAAATGACCCTAGTTTTTTTCCATCATATTACACTCATATCACTCCAAATCACACTTAGCATAGCAAAAAACTTGACCAGTTGCAAAATTTAAATACAATGGTTTAAGAATAATTAAATGACAACACAAGAGATTTATCAGTTAATTACACAAACAATCAACAGAAACACAATTTCGCATACCATACATGTAATGGACTCGAATGAAACATAATAATTGGTATCTACATATCAAGCAGAATCAGACTTGAAGTTTTTTACTGGACGACTAAACAACCGTAGGAAAAATTACCTTGAAATGAACCCTGAGATCGGATCCCCTAGCCTTGCAAGCTGCGATAAACAATATGAACAAAACCTAATCAGCAAATACACTTTCCCCAACAAAATAAATAAATAAAAATCATTTAAAACGTATAAAAACCCCAGCGATTAAGATGAACAAAAGAAAAACAGCGAAGAAGCTAAGAGATTACATTTGGTGGCATTGTCGGGCTCTCTGGAATACTTCACCTGAAAATTTACAACAGAAACGAAAATATTAAAATCTATAAACAAAACAATAAATGAAAAACAATATTCTTCAGAAGCAACGTCAGATTTAGTGTAGGAATGGAGTGATGTACCATTGTTTTTGCTGCTTCTGCGGCGAGCGGGACTACTGAACTTAGGGTTTCTTTTCTTCAGAAGAAGAAGCCAAGTATTGGTTTATATTATGTGAGCCCTAATGGGCTGTGGGCCTCATTTTCTGGGCTATTAGTATCGTTTATAAATTTGGGCCGTAATGAATTGTGTAAACAGAGAAAATAGAAATTGAGGGTGCAAACTTCAATGTTTATACTTCCATATATTTTTATTTAGTTTAAGTTTTTGATTAATTGTATTAGATTTACATCTCATGCGATTAGTACTATTAAGTTATAGGCTGCGACTGTATGCAAGACTAATTCCACTTGTGCAAGATCAAATTAAAATTTTCAATGTATAAATACTATAATACCCTTATTTATTAAAAAAATAAAAAATTCTAAATATGCAAGACCAAATATTCAAAAACACAAACAACCCTATCACAAGACCACAAAACCACAAGACCAACTCTCATCTTCTCCATCTTCCAAAACCCACAAGACCTTTCTCCTTCCTCCTCCATTAACCCACAAAACCTAGAAATTCAAAATTATCAAAGCTCAACAAATCTTACAAAGATGGCAAGTATGGAGCCAGAAGACATCAAAATAGAAGATTCTACGATGGAAGAACCCAAGAATGTATGCATTTATGGGTTTTTTAGCTAGAATATCGATTTTCCAAAAAAAATCCCGCGCAAACGAATTCGACATGTACAGGTCGAATTTTACAGGTAAAAATCGACATTTAGATGTCGATTTTGAGGTATAAAATTCGACATTTAGATGTCGATTTTGACGTATAAAATTCGACATTTGAATTTGTGCTATAAATTCGACATGTCAATGTCGATTTTTACCTATGAAATTCAACGCTTAAGTGTCGATTTGTAGCATAGTTTTTCGACACCTTGGTGTCGATTTTTGTTTTTTTCTCATTATTTGTATTTTGGTCTTACATGAGAAAAAAAAAAGCCAATTTAATTTATGGGCATACTTGTCATTCCATCTTAATAAAATAAAATCTTTTGGAATCTTTCTTTAATTTGGTCTTGCACAAGTGGAATGAGTATTGCATATAGCCGCAGCCTAAGTTATATTATTAACTAAATAATAAGGACTACTATGATGTTTGTTTGACAAGATTCGTACTTACTCAAATTCGATATAAAAGTTGAAACCTGCAATCAAATGCTGAAATTTTATTAAATTATTAACACCGGATTGATTATTTTTGTAGAGATGAAGGAAATAATTTCACCTTAGAATCATAGGTAAATTTTGCCAAGTACGTTATATATAAATCATACATCCAAATTTTATATTAAACGTAAATTTTCAATTATGTCCATAATTTAATAATAATAATAATCATATTATATTCTATAGCATTTGAGAGATAATGTCATTTTTTTTCCAGTCATAATATATTAATTTGTTTTCCAGATAAATCTTAAACGTGCTAACAAATAATCCTCAAAATTGTTCGTAGCACACTTGAGATGAAAAAAAAAAAAAAAGAGAGGCCAAATGCAAATCAGAAGACATAGGAAGACATGAAACTTGTGAAGGTAGTGACGTCCATCCAACTCGGAAAAAGGCCTTTCAACTTCTTCGTCGATTCTGTTAAATATAAGTCTACTACAGCAATATCGACTCTCAATGGTTCCGAACTGCTGGCCTGCATATGAAAACACTAGGAGGTTACAGTGAAGTTTAATGATAATATAATCATATGCTTTAAGATAATATATCCCAGAGGCCAGAATAATAGTTCACATTTAAATGAGTGGAAATTCGACACTTTGTTTACCTCTAACCAGAAAGTCCAGTTGTCATGGCTTGAACCACTCAGCCTACATATGTATGACGGTGGACGGTTACCAACTCTTACCGGAGCTGTCAAAGATTACAAGAGATTAATTAGCATTTGAAAAATAGAGACAAATGATTTACGAGATCTGGGACGAAGAAACTCATCGAATTACCTGGAATGGTGTTATTTGCAAATGACCAATTTGACAATGGACCTGTAATGTTAAGGACTGCAACCCACACCTCCTTTAAAGACCTGCCAGACATAAATACGTATTATACAGTGTTCAAGAGCATTTTAATCTCAAGAGTTCTTTATAATGGAACTAGTTTATTGTGCATCATTAGCAAATATTCATTATCTTTTACGAACTTAGAAAGTTTACCCCGTTGAAAATTCCAGGTTGACTCTTCGAGATCCTCCATCAGTTATTACTGGGGATCTGGCAGTTGTATGCGGGAAATATCTGTACAGCTTCGAAATTTCCTCAGTTTTTGCGGGAAACTTCAAGCTTCTTGAGAACAAAGCAGATATTGGAAAAATACCCTGCAAAAGTGCAGCAATTTGATCTCATGTATCCCGCTTTCCACTAAAATCACGACTTTTAGATTTAATTTCGTTAGAAGCCCATGTCAGCATCGGCCAGAGAATATCTGGTATAGCTCTTGATTTTACACGTGAATAAAATCCATAATAGACGACCACATTTCATCGAGATCGAAATAGACAGAAAATCTTAAGAAAGTACCTTCCATGTCTCTAAATCTGACTGTTTAACGGTATCAAAACTCAACTCACGATTGCCATGCAGTTCCTTCGCCACCTCAGGGGCATGTTCGAAAACAAACATCAGGGAATTGGAGTCAACTACAGCAAAATCAAAACTAGCATCCAATATTTGATTTGAATCTGTCAAATGGATAAATCAAATCATTGGTAATAATTATTCCAGTATTTAAAAAAGAAATTAAAACAAAAATGGGCTGATCCGTTAGTACCTCTAGTCTGAACTGTATGCTGGAAAACAATCCTTTTAGGTGCATCTTTGCTGTATGGAAATAATTGTGAAGATACAGCCAAAGCAAGAACACTTCCATGCAGCAAAAATAGCACAATTGATGATTTTGTCAACCATTTCCCGACAACAGGTAAAAGAGGACCGAAACACCAGCCTGTCACTAATCCAACAACAGCTGCAACTATTGCATCCGGAACAAAATACCCTGAAAATAATTTCAAAATATTCCTATAGTTGATTGTCTTAAACATGCATAAGAGATCAGAAAATACAACCACGGTCATATTATTGCAAACAGTTTAACAAAGAATATATTACAAGTCCCTAGATTTTTTGTCGTAGAGGTGCAGAAAAGCTGTATAACTAACCATATGGAGGTGGATGAGAGCCTGTCATGCCCATTTTCTCGATCAAGAACACAGCAAGAAATCCACCAAAGTATACGGAGTACGTTAGGCAAGGTACTAAAGGGATCACATAACATGCTGTTGACCTGAAAGAAACATCTTGAGGGTACTAAAAACAGCAACAAATCTTATCGCGAGGTTTGATTATAGCAGAGTCAGGTTATTGTACACATATAACCAGTTACCAAATACTAGGTTATTGTTACATTATGGGCTAAGGCAAAGAAACAAAGTTCCGGAACATGATTTAAAATGGCACCTGAGAGATTGGTGACCAAAGAACTTAGTTGATAGATAAAAGCAGATCCACGCGGGAAGCATAAAAGCTGATAGAAGAAATGTAACGAAACCTCCACTCAATCCAGACACAAGGTACGCCTGACGTGAGGAAGTTTTATCAGCAATTCATGTATTCGGAAACTAATGTTATTAAGAGACAAAACAAAAGCATATACTAGTATTCAAACAAACAAATAGAAATTTATATCATATTAAGTAAAATAAGAAGTAATTTCACACACCATAGTCAAGAGGGAGTAGAACCCAAATGCTCCCCAAAACCTTGCTTCATCAGCCAATTCCTGCAAAATATGTCATATTATAACTTTGCAAGTTCAATGGAAGAATTTGCCGAAAATTACATGATCGCAAACATTATAAAAGTATTCCCACACTTTCCATAAGTTGCATAAAACAGAAAATAACAAAGAAGCATCTTCCAATAATATTTTGAATCAACAGATGTAATGGAGTATGGGACCTATATATCAAGACCAAATAAGACTGAGCTATAATCATATAAGCACACACCTCTCTTGATAATGCAAGAGTGTTAACATCCTGAGAGAGAGGAAATTGTCTCCAAAAAAATCTTGGAACCAACAGACCAACTAAGGAGCATGGTACAAACAGTAGAAAAGCCAAATATGGATTAGCAAACCTACATGAACAAAGAAAAACAAGTGACAAGGTTAAAAAAAATTTAAAAATCTCTTATTCTAACAAGAATAGAGGGTAACTGTGAGAAACAGAAATACATAATGGAGATTTTTTTTTAATTTATAAAATGTTGAAAATGAGCAAGGATGAATCCATTATCAAAGTGAATCAATAAGATAAAAGCAATAGCAGGAGGCTGAACACATACCAATTCATCGATTGTCTAGCAAATATCAACCGCAAGATAGAAAAGGTTACTGGAAAAAGAATAGCGAGTATAATCCCGCTGGCATGGAACAACAATCCTGCATCAGAACAAGTAACTGCTTTATTGCAAAAGTAAAACTACGAGATTTAAAAGAACCGTAACAGAGAAAACCAACAACATAATCTTAAATTTCAATACATAATCAATTAATCATTACCTTTAAAAAAGTCGCAGTAGGATCTGAAGGAACGGAGTAAACTCCCGTTTGGCAAGCGCAACAAAACTGGCATAAGGAGGAAGATAGCAAGTGGAATACTGTGGAATACCAGAGCTTGCTTTCTTGAGTAAAAGACCTGAATAAGTTTATACATGTAAATCATCATGCATTAGTGTATTGCCTTTTGTTACAGAGCTTCAGTTTGCTCGTGAAAATTATTAGCCAACTGAAGCTTAAACCATGTTTAGGGCCTACCATGAACTGCGCAAAGTAATCAAAGAAAACTGGTCTTTCGCCTTTGGATCCACCGCCTGCAGCTCTAAAGGACTCTCGTTCTTGGGCAGTTAATAACTTTGAAGAATTTGCAAAAGCTTTCATTACACTAAACAAATTATCACCACGTGCTTGCATGCTTCCAGGTCTAATTGACAGAAATTTATGTTTAATTTAGTACAAAGACCAAAAAGTAAATGTGATCTAAAGAATACGAATCCAATGGACTGTACCAAAATACCAGTTGATGCATACAATAGTCTATCCACTGTATCAGACGAGGTGTGGTAAAAATAACCCCCAAGCAAAAAGATAATATCCAAGCCGGGAATGTCGCCATAATCCTTTGCAAACATTCTGTAGTCAGTATCACCGGGAATTGCACCAAAAATGTCCTGCAAGTGGATCCGGAAAATTGATTTGTAGTATGGTAATAAAATTTTAAATTGTTTACGGTTCTAGTAGTGAGTAGAGAATATTACATGGCAGTTTAATAAACCTAACTTCTGTGTTTTAAGAGCACTTGGAAAGTGTACGTTGGAAATTTACCAAATGATATATTGAAACTACTGAGAACAAAAATAAACCCACATGTATGAGTCTTTAGCATTCCTACCTCGTTTTTATCTTCTTTCACTACATCATATCACCCATTGAAAATTTACAATTCAACATAGCAATTTTTGAAAGTTTTTTTTGGGGAATAACATAAGGTAGACCAACTTTTTTTTACAAACTGAGCCTTCTAACTTATAGTGATAAATTGAGCAGAAAATAAAACCTGAGCAGCACTATTTGCCATAGGATATACAGCTGACTGAGCATAAACAGATGAAGGCCAAGATCCCGGTCCAGATTGGCACACCAAATCTGTTGATACAGAAATATAAGGAAAAAATCAACAAAGAGATTAGCTCCATTGAAAAATTGCTGTATTTGACATACTTCAGTATAGTTTCAGTTTGAATATATAGATAGTTTGAGCAATTTACCAAAGCCTCCTGTCCCAGATGCCTCAATATCAATGAAAGCTCCGACTGTGTTACGCCATCTATGTGTTGTCATAAAACCATGTGAACCCTGAAATACCATAAGAAAACTAGTTGTGAATGTATAGACAATTTATTCAACTGTGCAATGAAACTTCTTCATTAACTTCTTTGAAGATAATAAAATATAGTGATTCCACGACAAATCACGCTTTTAGATAATTGCAAATACATTTTAAAAATTCATTATCTCAAAAGAAAATAACAAGACCAATTACAATAGTATGACTTTCGACTATTCTGCAAATTACTATAATTCCAAGTCGTAAATAATTAATTATGATCTTACCAGCATAAATAATTCCTCAGCTCCGTTAAATAAGAATATTATTGGCCGAGGAGGAATCCAGCCTGAATCCACAGTAACCCTTGCTAATTCAAGCAATGATGCTGCAAAGGAAGGAATGAAATAATTTAAGTCCCACTTAAGCATATTATTCTGAAAACTATAAATTTGAATTTACAACATACCAACACACGAGCCACAATCACCAGCTCCTGGAGAACCTGGTGGGGTATCAAAATGACCGTTTAATAAAACTGAGGGGTCACTGTCTTGAGAATCAACTGATGAAATCCTGCAGTTTGATCCAACTAACTAATCATTCACTAAGATCTTCTATAGTGAGTAGCTATTGAAAAGATCCAACTTCAAAGCAAAGGATCACAATATTTAAAATGCAAACATGCATATCTAGAGTAGTCCAACTGAAAAACAATCCAGCAACAAGAAAAACTGTCAAGGTTCTTCTCCATGCGAGAAGATAACAGTTCATCGGTAAGAAATTAAAAGGAGATACATGGACATGTCAAAAAAAAAAAAAAAAAAGAGAACCTGATAAAACTATACTCCAAACGCAATATACGGAGCTCAAAATTAGAGAGAACTGACTCAATATTCTCCTGTTAACAAACTTCTGAGTCTGCAATTAAACTCTGGACCAAGAAAATAGAAAGAAATTTATGTAAATTACCTCATAAGGATATTTGTATGATTTCTATAAGTTAGAGATAAGCTCTGTCCTAGAAATAGCATATTGAATGAGCCGTTAACAACTGTTTCTTCTATCTCAATCCTGCAACAAAGAAATCCCAGAGTTTGAAAGTTAATTTTATAACACTCACACCCCTTGAAAACGAGTTCTACACAAGACAGAGATTTTGAATGTCTAAAATATAACAACCTAATATTTGTTCCAGCTCGTTCTCTTATCAGTTCTAACTGTGTTTTGATGTATGCCGCTGCCTGCTTCAAACCTGGACTCCCTTCCTATAATACCACAATACAATCAGACGGTTTAATGGATTCTTTATTAGCAGATCAAACTGGAACAATTAGCAAGAACTGAACTAAGAGACAATGAAAATTGAAAGCCGCAGCTGCATCGGATTCCATCAAACAGGAAATCATGGACGAAAAGTCGAAAACTGAACTATATTTACACTCGCCAAACATTATTTAGCTAGTGTTCTTTAACTCTTCAATTGAACTGCCCTAAAAAAAGTCAACGGACATATCTTAAGATTCATCGAGTTGCTTCACTCACTAAACTGGCACTGTTTCTATCTTCACAACCAATGTCCAATTTTAAAATCAAATCAACCGTCTAAACAGCGGAACAGATTGAATCAAAAGCAAAACAAATGCTACATGCACTCGAAACTCAACAAAATCACAGAACGGAACAGAGACGACGTCGTTGCTAAGTGCTGACCTGGCGACCGCCTATTTCCTCCGCCAGTACGCGCACGTGCTGAATTGCTCTGGTTTCCGAGAAGCGATCCGGTGGTGCGTCGGCGCCGAGAGGCTTGACGAACTTCATGTGAATAGCGGAGTGTGCGGCGTAAGATATCAATCCGTACAGAATAAGGAGAGCGAAAAAAACCTTGAATCCGGTAACGTCGCCGGAGCTGAGCCTCAGAAGCGCCATTGTTTCTGCGATTTTTGGTATGGATTTTACTATTAGTAATAGGAAATGCGAAAGAAACACAATCGTTTCCTTCCTAGAAATTATTTCAGAATCTGCGAGTCACCTGGGCGGACGGCCGATTTCTCTCCCGATTTTGGCTCGGGGTGGCAATAATTATTATTATATAATTTTTCTTTTTTCTTTTTTAAAATTCGTCCCTTTTATGGGCTTGAAGTTGATGGGCAATGGCCCATAAAGTCACTTTGAAATTTAATTTTTCTGTTATTTTTTATGTTCACTTTTACTTTTCCACAATATTTGGGAAATTAAATATAATTAACTAAAAAGAAAATTGTATAACTCGTGGGGAAAAGAGAGGGAAGTAAAAAATGACACGTGTGTATTTGGTATTCAGGGTACGTAAATCATTTTCATGGAGTTATCATCATGTATAATTTGGGAAAATTCTTGCCTTATGGTTGAAGTAATATTACAAATTATATTCTTTTTTCCATGCGATCATAAATGGTAATGGATACGTTTTTGTATATGTATCAAAAATAGTTAAAGATGTATTGATTTGTAGCTTAGGAATGATATTTGCATTAAATATATCATAAAATGCATCCTTTCATTTTCCACACCTAAAATGCAAGAATGTTTCATTCTCAATTAACATCCTCCAAAAGGAATTTGGATGTATATATGTGTAAACTTCACTTTCGTGATCCCAAAAGCTGGATACTTGTATGACGAGCTCGATTAAAAGAAAAATCGAACTGAAGTCGTTAGATTTAGCACTCTCCTAACCAAATATATGCTACCTCCGTGACAAATTTAGATTATATAGAAAATGGAAATGGAAATAATATTTGTGTATGATGTGCTTGACAAAGTTAATTCTTAAGAATTGGACCAACCGATCCAATTTATTTTTTTCAAATTTTATTAAAAAAAATGGGGCAAAATAACTTATGTTGTGCTTGAAGGCCCATTTATATTTGGGTCCGTTTATTATATATGGGCCTGCACATTAAGTTATCAGCAAATTGACCCTATAAACTCAAATTAAATTACATGACATCAAGCTGATTTCATTTATGTTTCTTTTTTCTTACCTAAGTGTATATTACATGTCCTTACGAATTTATTTCTAAAGATATAAAATAATGCTCATATTTTTTAAATATAATTTCCATAATAAAAGTACACATCTCAATTTTTTAAAGGCAAGTTAATAAAGAAAGTTGGTCCAGCTGAGGCATCAGTAATATATATATGTCAATTGTCATGTGTATGTATCAGAATACATGCATGTATAATAACAACATAATTAATATAAAAAATAAATAATGAAAGATTAGGTAATTAAAGCGACCAAGTTGTGGAAGATTCATATGCAATTTCTTTATGGCCTACTGACAGAAATGAATACTCGTCCTTTGCCATCTCTTCCCATCCTCAAATTTCTGTCAGAAGCAAACATATATATATATATATATATATATATATATATATATATATATATATATATATATATATATATATATATATATATTAATGACGAGGCAAGGCAGGCGTTTTTGTAAATAAATGGGAGTTGAATAATCAAAATTTGAAGATATGCATACTCATATTTGGAGAAAAATATATAGTACGTGGTCCATTTCCAGAATGCCGGTTTGTATTGTTACTAGAAGACAGGTAATCAATGGTTTATTCTTACAACGTTCGTACACACAATAACATTTATATTACATTTTACATTTTTCACTACAGAGTATCCATTTATAACTATTCTGGCTGGTGGTTGGAAAAATATGACACTTCAGAAGTTGGATACATGTGCCATTTATTCAAAAATCCATCATGCAATCAACATTTTTCTGATAATTGACTCGGATGTTAATCTTTTGATTAATCAAGTGACATTATTTGATCATTAAACTAAGCACTTGTGGAAACAAACTAACTGTCTCGCTGAGCTGGAGCTCGTGGATTAATTGGCAGATAGAGAAATGTATTGTATTTACTTTTAGAATAAAGAGAAGAGTGATCCTGAATTATAGTTGAATCGTTCGATTTCCAGATTAATTCGTTCTCATACTAGAGTTCATGCAAAATTAGAGTTTTTTGTTTGCTTTGTTTCGTACGTGCTTAATTGTAGTTTGAACAATTGAGTGACTATTTATGCTGATCAAATTAAGCAACGACTATAAAACACAGTATTAATAATAAATTTGCAAATTGAAATTCAATGTGGAATCTATTTCACGTTATAGGGAACAGATTGTACATAAGTCCTAACTAATGTATATATTATTATTTATATGTAAATATAATATATGTGCTCCAGTATTGTAATACCTAATAATACGCATGCATATAGAAAATTTTGCTACTTGTGAAACAGACAGATGCATTTAAATTTTAATGGAGAATCCGAACCAGAAGATTTTAAGACATAATTAATTAATAGAGTGAGGAGACTCGTTCCCATATTTGAGGAGTTCAAATGAAATTAATGACAATTAAATCAAATAGTAACATATGCATGACGCAATAATAAATTAATTAATTGTGTAAATTAATAATATATATGGAGTAATGCAAAATCTCAATTAATTTGATTGTAAATCTAATTTAATTGTATGAGAAGATTACATAAGAATTGTATACTCCGATCCATATGCATAAATGAAAAACTAGCTAGTGTTAATTGATAAAGGCCCCTTACCAAACTTACTTACTTAATTATAGACGACTGAGAACTTTTCCAAACCTAATCATTAAATTAAAAGATGAAGATTTGTTTGCTAACTAATACAAGCTTAACTGTAATTAACTAATTATATTTTGTTTGTGAGAAATTAATAAAAATAAAATGAAGGTAGAAATGGACTAGTGTATGCAGCAGGACGTGGTCTACTAGGGCACCGGTATAATCTCACTGTTACCTACCTAACCAAGCAATATTAATTACAATTAGTACTAACTTATGCATGAGAGAAATTAATCATTAATAAATTATTTTGATTGCTTAAAATTAGGCTATAAATAGTCACAAGTACCTGACCAAGGAAAACATTAAAGGTCATATATACCTAGTACTTTCTTGTTTCTAAGTCGTCGTTCGTTCGTTCGTTCTGCTTCAACTATCAACCGAAAAAGATGAAAGAGAAGTTCTCATGCACGATTCTGCAGAGTGAAGCCCTCACTCAGGTTTTTTCTGCTGAAAATTTTCATTTATTTAATTATATATTATGTCATCTGGTATATATGATTAATTCTAATAATTATTATATAATAAATTAAAAATGCAGTACCTTTTGGAAACGAGTGCGTACCCAAGAGAGCATGAACAACTCAAGGAAATCAGGAACGCAACTGTTGAAAAATACCACCATATGTATGTATTACGCATCTCATCATCAATACCCTCTCTCTCTATATATATATTTTTGTAAATTATAATCTTGAAAAATAGTTTATATAATTAATGAATTAATGAATAATAATATCAGGAGCGTGATGAATGTCCCTGCTGATGAAGGACAATTTATATCGATGCTGCTGAAAATAATGAATGCAAAGAAAACAATTGAAGTTGGGGTTTTTACTGGCTACTCCCTTTTGGCCACTGCCCTTTCTCTACCTAACGATGGCAAAGTCAGTTCTCGTACTTTTTTTTTTCTTTTTTTTTTTTTTTAAATTTTCAAAATATAATTAATTATTATGTAATTTAATTTTTTTGCTTAGATCGTTGCAATAGACCCAGATAGAGAAGCGTATGAGACGGGATTGCCATTTATTAAGAAGGCGGGCGTGGATCATAAAATCCAGTTTATTGATTCAGATGCTATGACAACTATTCACAAGTTCCTTGACAATGTAAGTCCAAATTTTGTTTTTAAAATAAATAAAATCGATTTTTACTAAGAGAACGACAATTCCTATGATCAATGAAGCACTTATAAATTTAAACTGACTGACTGCTTGGGTTTAGAGAAGCATACGAAAGAATAAGACAATCTTGTATTAATATACTCGGTGCATGGTTGGAAAACAATAGACAAAATCGTATTAAATTTAATTCGGAGAGACCGTTCCAATGGCTGAGAAATCCAAGACGATAACCGAAAAACGAGGTCTTTATATTTTAGCAATGAAGTAATATAATGTACATTTGAGTTTGTTTTTTGGAAGCCTTTAATTACAAATTAGTAACTTGACTAAAAATAAAAAATGTATATTTTATGAAATTAAAGGGAGAAGAAGGAACATTTGATTTTGCATTCGTGGATGCTGATAAAGAAAACTACATCAAGTACCATGAGTTGCTGTTGAAATTGGTCAAACTAGGAGGAATTATAGCCTACGATAACACCCTGTGGGCTGGCACAGTGGCATTGGTCGAGGAAGACTTAAGTCAAGAATGGATTGACCGAATAGGGGTAAATCGGGTACATTTGAAGAATTTGAACTCCTTTCTCGCATCTGATTCCCGTATTGAGTTGGCTCATCTTTCCATTGGTGATGGACTCTCGCTTTGCAGGCGCATAAAATAAAGGAATATAGATTCTCAAAGTGTATTTTACACCGTATTCGCAAAATAATTTGCTTCTCTTTTATGAGGTGAAACATTTTTTTTCCTTTTTTTCTTTTTTGGTTTTTTGTTTTTCTCTCTATATGATTCTATATATGTTATTACATTTTCATCGGCATTGTTTTTAATCGGTTTGGGTGAACATTTGTGTCTATTAACCCTTTTGAACAATATTAATATATTTATGTGGTGGTTATTGATGATTTAGTGCTATGAACCACCAAGATATGTGATTTTGAAGGTTTTGTAGATGCTACCATCTATTAAGTTCATCGAATGTGCAATGATTTGAGACATTGTCATAAACTGAAAAGCACAATATGGTTTTAATCTGCTACCATTTTGATTTCGAATGTGGTTTTGCTCATTTTTTTGTTCGAATTTAGACAAGTCCAAAACATCAAAGATGCAGTCACTTGAATCGTCTTTCTATTACAACTTGAATCAGATCAATTGGCAGTTGGATAACAAAATTACGCATGAATGAATTGCAGCCTAAATTTCAAAAAACTCGTATCATAATTATAGTCAATAATTATTCATTTCTGCATCTCTCTCTCATCTGATATCCAATATAGTCGATTCAACTTGGTTTACAAAGTTAACCTAAACGACTATAAATTTGGTGTTTTGAAGTTTGTCAAATTTAGAATGAAAAGGGGTCGTGACTCGTGATTATGTTTGAATCGAAACAATACCAATAAAACTTAAACAAGAAGTACCCGATCATCCGCCCCCACCCCCAAAAGAAGTGGGTTGAACTACACATATTCTCGGCCCAAAAGTGTGATACCCAATAAACAAAGGACCCATAAACAAATTCGCTATTTCTCTGAATAATTAGTCCGGCCCAAACGTGTAATACCCAATTGACAAAGGACCCATGAACAAATTCGCTATTTGTCTGATTAATTAATCCGGCCCAAATTCGCTGTTTCTGTAATTGTCAGCATATAGTGACGTCATAATGACATACTTGAACGTTCAGCAAAAAAATTTCACCAGAAACATATATGTAAACTTTTCAACCATCAGTAGGCAAACAAAACATTCATGCTAATTACGCCTTCTTTCAGCAACTCTTGTTTTTTTCTTTTTTGTCCTTTTATTTCCTAATAATAATAATAATAATAAGACAGTTGGATATTAATTCAGTTTATTTATAGGATAAATGTTGGTGGATTTTGACTTTAAACCCACATTACCCATTAGAGAGGTCAATAAGTTGGCCAAATATTTTTGGTAGTTATTTAAGCGTTAACCAAACTCCGATGTGACCTGCGTTCTAAACATGATAGCTATAGTTTTACACGTATTACATTATATTTAGGAAATATACTAATACATGATTATAAGACTAATTAATCACCTTTTTCTACACCTACCTACGCTTATGGATAGGCATTAAATTGTCATCCTTTTTCGTGTATTAATTATGTTGATGAGGTCATATTATTATTAACTACATATAATTCGCACCAGTTTTAATTTTATTGGTTGAAGCTTGTGTCTAACTCATGTGAAGACAATAGTAACATATGATTATTAATGTTATTAAAAATATGATTTAACTTACAATATTTGGCTTCGTTCGAGCTTTAATAATGTCGTTACCACTTCAAACGTGATTTTGATAATTTTGAATTTCAAATTTTGCAAAACCCGAAAAAGAGAATTTGTAGTATTCTGAGTTAGTTTTCTAATCCAACTTGAATCACCAAAATTGGATGTCGGATGAGAAAGATATATACATGAATCAATGGATACTGCTCACAACTTTGATGTATTGAGGTATCTAAAATTCAAAATGTGGCTCATCCATGCATAACTTTGTCGCACGTCATCCAATCTAGCGGATTTAAGTTGAATTAGAAAGCTAACCCAAATGACTACAATTTTCGTGTTTCGAATTTTGCCAAAATCAAAATAAAAATATGTCAAAATCAGGTTCGAAATCAAAACGACATTAGTAAAATTGAAACGACATTTAACATTTCAGTTATTTAATATATAGTTGTCTATTAATTAACTCATAGAAAATTGAAGTTCAACAACCATCACATATTCGCCTTATAAAATAAAGTTCACCAACTACGCACATATTCAACGGTTCATAAATTTAAATTAAATATTAGGAAGCTGAATAGAGATACACATAGCACGAAATTTCCAACTCAATTTCCCTTTGGTCTTTGTTGAAATCTTTTACTTCAGTAACTAACTAAATTGTGAATTAAACCACGGATCATAAGTCAACGTCAAACAATCACTTACTTTCTCATCGTGCAATGATAGTTAACTATGTGAGAACTAAAAAAATGCTATTCAACCAATAAATTGATTATAATTCAGAATCTTTATTTTAAAAATTATATTTTTGGATTGAAAATTATTAATTATATTCAAAATACGTTTAGAAATCACCCATTATTAAACTCGGGTGGGGAACGAAGTTGGCCATTGTTAGGTTGAGTGCAGACAACATTAAGGCTTTTTTTTGATTGCTCTTAATGACTACTTTGCTCGTCCGTAAAGCATTGGGAGAATTCGAGGCATTTGGTAATAATATCTAAATGTTTCAAAAATGACCTGAATTACCAAATGACCTTAATGGGTTAAGTATTTGGATTTCAGACACAACTCTTAATCGTATCAAACATATCCTAAATCTGAACAAACTTGCCTATTCATAATTTGTGATAATATGCGATTTTTTAATACAAAATATGTTTTTATTGTTTATTTAATAAATGAAAAGTCAGATGAAAGAAAAAATAATCAGTAATTAATTAATTATATTATCAATAAAGTAGAAGCTTTCAAAGAGAAAAAACAAAATACAATACTCCCAATTAGCAGCGGGTGAAAAAAATACTATAATTATTGATTAGTTGAAAAATCAGTCTCTTATTAGCTTAATTAATCCATAACCAAAAATATAAATTTCACTACTTGAATTAAGTTTTATGGGTCAAATATTCGTCGGATAGACTAACACTAATTATTGCTTTAGTTATACTAATTACTTTATAAACGTCGCTATTAACTATGAAAACAATTTTAAAAAGAAAAACATTAAAAAAAAAAATCAGTGATAATTATAAGTTTATAACTCAACTATGCAGCATGATGAAGATTCAAGAATCATTACCTACATTTACATATAAAACATAGACATAGTACTATTGGTAGACCAACTCTATATATATATATATATATATATATATATATTATAATAATTTAATTTGATTAATTTGAAATAAAAGTTTGAACTTGTCAACATAAAAATGAGAGTGGGGAGAAGACAGACATTGACTTCTTCCCCCAATAAAAACATGTTGACCTTTTCCCCCACTTTTAAAGCCCCAAACTTTGAACATTCTTTTTTTTTTTTTTTTTTTTCTGAATAATTCCCCATTTTTTTCCTTTTTATTTGTCTTTTTTGTTTTCACACATCATTTGATAATATCTCACTAATTAGTTTGGTATATCTCCAAATCTTCTGTATATAGCTGTCATTTGTATAGTTAGCAATTGTGAAGTGTGAGTAATTTCAATGTAATTAGCGTGGATTATCATTATTACTCAATATTTTATTGAATGGTGAGCTAGGTTTATAAAGTTTGCCAGATTAAATAATTATGGGTAAATTACAAACACCCCCTGAGGTATGGTTAAATTACAAAAACCCCCCTCTTGTTTGGATAATTACATCTACCCCCTCAACTATGATTTTTTCTTACCTTTATGGTGCCAAATTCAACATAGTCATCTAGATTCCGTGAAATGTGCTCTAGTTTGTACTCTTTGTGTAAAAAATACAGTTTTCGATGCACCACAAACTGATATATACAAGCTAAAAATCACATATTATGGTCATCTTGCTTCATAATGTAGAGTTTGAATGGGATAAAACGGGTACAAAAGTGATAATATTCCATATAATCTCGAAGATTCCACTAAATTTGATGAGTTGAGGGGATGGTTGTAATTATCCAAACAAGAGGGGTGTTTTTGTAATTTGGTCATACCTCAGGGGGGTGTTTGTAATTTACCCAATAATTAAAAAGAAAAAGAAAAAGAAAAAATCAACTAGTAAAGAAAAAGTTACCAGACATTTTAAGAAATTAGGATTACATCTCAAACTAACAGTTAGTAGTGTGATATAAATTATATCTAATTACTTATAAATAAAAGAGTAAGTGAAGCTATATGCTACACTGGAATCATAAATAAGATCAAATAACTACCCATTAAACACTCATACACATGGATGTGTGTATGATTAACGGTTAACAATCATATAGTGTTAACATCCTAACAATTATTGAGTATATGACTTCACTTAGTGAGATCATTGATTCGATTATCTGTCTCAGCTACCATGTTTTCTGTTGTAACTGAATTTAATGAAAAAAATATAAGAAATAAAGTTATTACAGTCACGTTCTTTAGTTTCTCCTTATTGATGGTAATAATAAAATAATATTCAAGATCTTGTAATTATATTGGGATTTAGAAGTAGAACCAATAGCAGGCTGAAAGAGTGCACGTAACCATTTCAACTCGAATTAAATAAATTCCAAATTGCAAATACCGCGGCGGTATCGGTGGACAACCTGCACGACTAACCAACGAATTATACCATAGTTGAGAAAATAAATAAAAAAAATAGTGGAAGGGGGGTTGTTTGGGAGTGGGAGTGGAATCAAATCATTGATTGGGTCAATTGAGGCGCTTCACCGCGTTGATTTTAGGAATAGGGAATAAGCCTTATAAATTAGAGCTTACACTTTCCAAAGTTTCAAAGCAAAAAACATTTCATCATCACTTAGTTCATCAAACTAACTACTTGTCTTGTTTCTTGCTTTTTTGTTTTTTCCCCTCAAAAATCTTTTTTATTTTCTTTTCCAATAATTCGAAAATGAAGGACAAGTTTACAGGGACTATTCTTCAGAGTGATGCACTTGCCCAGGTAATTAAATTTCTTTCTTTCTCCGCTTTTATTTTCTTTATTATTAAATATACTCTTTTTTATTTTTTATTTTTCATCTTTTTCTATAATATATTTTTGAAATTTTTGCAGTATATTTTGGAAACAAGTGCTTACCCGAGAGAGCATGAGCAACTCAAAGAACTAAGAATGGCTACCGTCGACAAGTATCAGTGGTGGTACGATCATCTATTTTTCCAACTATCTATAATATTTTTTTTTTCTTATTATTAAATTGTTGATTTTGTTATATATTAAATTTGAACAGGAGTATGATGAATGTAACTGCTGATGAGGGACAATTCATTTCATTGTTCTTGAAAACGATGAATGCAAAGAAAACAATTGAAGTTGGAGTTTTCACTGGCTACTCTCTCCTCACTACTGCTCTTGCCCTCCCTGATGATGGCAAAGTAAGTAAATAAACGTAATCAATTAATTGACAAAAAGACAATAAATGAAAAATTGTAACTAATTAATTATCTTTGTTTGAACCTTGTAGATCATCGCCATTGACCCGGACAGAGAAGCATACGAGACTGGATTGCCGTTTATTCAGAAGGCGAACATGGCCCACAAAATTCAGTTCATTCAATCTGATGCCTTCAAAGTTATGGAAGAACTCAAGGCCAACGTACGTAAATATGATCTCCTCTTCGATCTACCTAATATTTTGTTTAATTAATTTATAAAGATGATTATTAATGAATTAATCACACCGTACTAATTAATTTTGTTTACCAAAAAAAATATGCAGGGTGAAGAAGGAACATTTGATTTTGCATTCGTGGATGCAGACAAGCAGAACTACATCCACTACCACGAACAACTATTGAAACTGATAAAGGTAGGGGGAATAATAGCGTACGACAACACATTGTGGTCGGGAACTGTAGCAGCGTCCGATGACGATGAGATGGAGGAATATCTAAGGAGGGTTAGAGTTGACATCATGCAACTGAACACTTTCTTAGCAGCTGATCAACGTATTGAGTTGGCTCAACTTTCCATCGGAGACGGCCTCACTCTTTGCCGACGTGTCAAATAGACACATTCTATTTTTATAACATATATATTATAATGTATCCTTTCTTGTTTGTGTTTTTTTCTTCTTCTTTTGTATGGTTGTTATTATTATTATTATTTCTTCCCTATCATATATTGATCAAGCTCATTTGATTTGGAGTTTCAAGTGTACAACTTTGTTGAAATAAAAATTAATTGTTGATGTTTATTAATTTTTGTCCTGTTTCTGGGCTACTAGCTCTTTCTTGTGTAACTATATTTATTAGTAAGTAGAGTGTCTCTCTCAAATATCTCCATCGATTGAAACATATAAACCATACATACTGCAACAGGTATTTATTATAATAGCACTTAAAATCTTAAAAGTTGTTGGGAATTGAATAATCAGCTAACGGTGTGCAACACGAACACGTTAACCATTTAAATTTGTGATTTTTTGTTGCAGATATAAAACAATTGATGTAATCAATTGAGTTATTCAACTGGTTTTACTCGGTTGATTTTCGAACAAGTCAAATAAACTATTTTTTTCGGTGAGCTGATAAAATTTGTAGAAGACTGGATTTTTAAGAGTTTTAAATCTGTTTTATCATCATTAAAAATAAAAGGGCGAAGTATTCTTTTTTCACCGTGGAACTAATAAAAACGAATTCAATATACATTTAAGAAATTAGGAAAAAAAAGAAGAAAAGAAAGTCAAACGACCAACTACAAGAACGCCACATGTGAGCAAGAACTGAAACATCCTAACATGTCCCTGTGAGAAAGTGACAACAAATTATGTTAAGATTGGCAAATATTACATATACATTATTTATGCTTCAGAGCCCAATACATTGAAACTTGCAACTAAAACATACTAGTTTAATTAAGACAATTAACTATATTATTATTTGATGGGGCTTTATTTACTTATAAGTTAGTTAATAGTATGATTTAGTAAGGCGTCGGCCCATGGGCCATGTGGCAATACTGACGAGTCGTAGTGGACTGTTTGTCTCTATTCACTTATTTATTTGTGTCCAACACAACACTACAAAAGGCCTGCCATCTTCCATTGATTTCCGCCCCTATCCTTGTCTTTTTCTAATATCTCACTTTTATCCTTCCTCTTAATAGTTTTCCTAATGCATATAAATAATATGGAAACAAATCAATGTACAATGAATGGGATAAGGTAGGTAATCTAAGAGTTACACTTCTTCTAATTAATTATATGGATTTATATCTTTGCAATCATAATTCATAAATTGTCACTCATTTAAAAAAAAAATGCTCCAATAAAACTTAATAGAGGAAGAATAATTTCAAATTAAAAAAGGCATAGTAATGCTTGTTGGAGGCTTTGTTTTTCTGTCCGATAAGGAAAGCATTTCCTTTAATGAATGATTGAGCAATCATATGTTCATCTTATAATGCCTGTGTCTTTTTTTCCGTTCTTCGTTTGGTTCTATATTGTAGTACATCTTACAACTTTAGAATGGTTCATATCATTTTACTCTTTTTGATATCCGTTCGTAAAGTAGATAATTTTGCAACACTTAGTGATACATTGAAGTTTTGTGATTCTATTATGTTTTGCTCGAATCACTTATTGATAAATAACGGACAATTTGTTTACCTTTCTTAAGAGTAAGAAGGCACATTGTTAGTTCTTCCCCTGTTAGGAATACTGAGATTAGACATTTGATTTAACCATTAGTAACTACTAACTTGTATCAACTTATGACCTTATTATATGTAAATATCCATGTTGGTAATACTAATAAAACAGCTAAACCCTTATTAACAAGCAAAATTTATCGGTTTTATCTAGCTGTGTGTCATATGTGGTGGCTATTCCTGTCATTCTTGATTAATGGGGGAAGCCTAATAATTTGGCTGCAGGTGATCATGCACATTGCGGTACACCAGTGTGGAGAGCGAAAGGCCTTACTTGTGTTTGCTTTAAGCCAAAGGGCAGCCATGCACGTATTTGCATCAACTTGACATCCCAACAGGCAAGTCCATTACTATCAATTGTTGTTCTATTTATAGTGAATTGATTATTGAATGTTGGTTGTTTATTGATGTTTCCTTTTCCTACTATTTGGCACGTGCGAAAATAGTACGTTGGAGTTGTGTGAATGTAGCATTTATTATTATACTTGTTCCGATTTTTCCCACATAAGATTAAAATATGTGCATGATGAACTTATGCACCCCATAATTATGATAGTTCAATGCCGAAAATTATTAAGCAAACTATGAAGCTACTAACAACTTATGGTTTCCTCTTCTTTATTTTGTCCCATTCATTTATTTGATGGATTGGTTATATTAAGATCGTTATGTATTTTCATTTTCTTCAAATGTACAGGAGCAGAGGCTAAATAGGTTAAAACACCGGACTAAAATTCAGTTTGATGCATCAAGACAAGATCATCAGGTTTATAACATTTTTGCTCTTCCATCATGTTGTCCTTTTTTAACCTAAGCTTTCTTATTATGTAAGGATTAGTTCATCGATTCTATTTGAACTTGTCCAATAAAGGAAGCTTTGAGGGCCTTATGGTCTGCTACATATCCCGGCCAAGAGCTACAAAGTCTGGTATCTGATCAATGGAAAGAAATGGGATGGCAAGGGAAAGACCCATCCACAGATTTCAGGTTTCAATTTCTTCCTCGTTTATGCTATTTATGGCTCATTTAACACCTCTTATATTCCTTCATCAATTGTGTTGATGATGATGATGTTCTGGTTCTGTGATAACCAGAGGAGCAGGTTTCATTTCTTTGGAGAACCTACTATTTTTTGCCAAGACATTTTCGGTAATTTCGTAGAGATTGCACCCGAATTATTCTTGCTTAATATTTTTGTGGCCTCGAAGAAAATTTAATAAGAAATTTTCATATTTTAATGCACCAGATATCTTTCCAGAGTCTACTGAGGAAGCAAGCAGGCAAAAGGGCAGTTTGGGAATATCCGTTTGCTGTAGCTGGTGTGAATGTCACATTTATGATCGTGCAAATGCTTGATCTAGATGCCAGTAAGGGGAATTTTGATATTGTTATTGTCTTTGGAATCATCATTTTTTCGAACCAATACTGAAATGAGATTGCAGTTCAATGTATCTATTTTACTACTCTCTGGGCTACTGGCTAATGTGAGCTCAACTATGTGCAGTAAAACCCCGAACGTTTATTAGAGCGGTTTTTCTGCAAATGTTATCAGGTGAATCAATCTATTCCAATGAAGCTCTCTTACATGTTTGCATTATACAACTGAACTTAGAACGAAGAGTTTGTTTATGTAGAGAATGAATGGGCTTTTGACCTTCTTTACTGCGTGGCCTTCATGATTATGGACAAACTGTGGCTGGACAGAAATGCATCTTACATGGAGTTCAATGTAAGCAAAACTGTAGGGTGTTTTTGCTAATATACAAAAATAGCGGGGAGTTTTTTAGCAATTCAAAATAACATTGGGCGTATTTATTTAATTTTTGGAAAATAACATTATAGTGTTGATGTTGTTGATTCATGTGAATCAGGATATTTTAAAGCTAACGCGGTGCCAGCTGGAGAAAGAATTTCTAATGGACGATGTGCTGAGGATAGAGGATATGCCTTCTTTTACTCTTTTAACGTGACTATATCTAAACCTGCAAAAACACAGAATTCCAAGTTCAGTTTTGGGGGTAGTATCGTAATTTTCTCCTCGTTTCACTAACAGGATTCTTAATTTTGGGCTGATCCATCGTTACTTTTTGTTTGGTCTTTCTCTGGTTGACTGATAAAGCCCAATCAAAAAAGAATGAAGAAAGTTGGTACCAATTCAAATTTATTTAATATAAGCAGATTCATTCATTCATTCAATCGTGGCCTATATAATTTGTAGGTTCCATCTTGGTTATGACTTATAACGTTTAATACGACTTTATAGTATTAAATCCTTAAATTCAAGTGATGGAATTATTATTAAAAAAAAATAAAAAAAAAATAGAAAACCAACATCCAACTATATATGTATTTAATTGAAGATGATGGTGCTAAATTTGGATATGATTAAATCCATTTTAGAGTAGGTCCAAGATCAATTCCACCAATCAAATGAATCCAAATTGTGGTGATATACTCTCCATTAAATGACTGATTTAAAAAAAGAAAAAAAGAAGAATAACTCAACATAAAACACTATCGAAAAATTCAAATTAAAAGTCACAATCTCGACTGCCGACATCATGTTAACCTTTGAAGTTAGGGGAAATGTGGGATAACCCCCTAGTTTTGAAAATATATATGAGGAGGCCAAATGTTTTTTTCTGTCATAGTAAAAAACCCAAGTTCTGAACATAATTTGTGAGACCCCCTGGATAACTTAAAATACCTGTTTTGCCCTTTTAGGGGTGGAACCCATTAAACCCTAGATCTAATCTGAAAATTAACCCTCTCTCTTCTCTATTCTCAAAAACGGCCGCTCCTCTCTCTCTCTTCTTCCACCATCGTCTCTTCTCGCTTCTTAGAAACGGCGGCTCCTCTCTCTCTCTCTCTTCTTCCACCATTGTCTTCTTCTCCATTTCTTTGAATTCTAGTTCCAATTTCTACTCCCGTTTGTTAAGAACGCACTGCTCCAAGTTTCTTCAGCCACTTAAATCAAAGCCGAGGAGGAGGAAAACTCGTCGGGAACTGAAATCAATGTCCGTTACACGGTTGTCAGTGACCTCGTCGCCTCCGGTATGTCCAGCGGGATTGCTCTCTCCTTGCTCCAAATCTGGGAAGCAAAGACCAAGAGAGGCGTCTTCTACTAGGTTTGGCTTTTCTCTTCTTCATTTTTTTTTTCCTTCTTCTTCTATATAATGGATTTTCCGTCCTATAGGCTCCTGAGATAATTTTTTATGTTTTTTTCTAGTCTAGAAATGGCGATTTGGTTTGTATTGGTAATTTTGATTTTTTTAGCAATAATGACTTTGGGAGGTGATCTGAGTAGGAAATATGATTAGTAAACAAAGTTGACTAGCATTTGATAATTTTTTTAACAATTTTACATTAATTTTTTAACCATTTTCTGTTAATTATATTTCAATTTTTTATTTTTATTTTTAAATGGTGAGAAAGATATTGGATTTGGTTTTGAGGTGAATTATGTATGGAATACAACAGAGGAGGAGTTCATCTAATATGGGGTATTTGGAACAAATTGCCCCATTCCTCCAAAATGGAATATATAGTATCATATAGTAATATATGCATGTGATTGTGTATTCTCTATCTGTATTTTGTTGTTATGAGTTGATTTATAACGTAGATATTTAAACTGAACTTAATTTATTTACAATTGTCTGTTGTATTCCTGTTTTTTTTAATAATGTATAATGAATGTTGCAACAACATTCGACAACGACAATCAAGGAAAGTAGAACAAAGCATAATTCATTATCTTAAACTGCTGGGAATTTTTTTAGTGGTGTAGATGAATTTTATTCATATACATATATAGTCACATGTGATCGTATACCTGTAGTCATATGTAGTCATATATAGTCACATGTAGTAACAAGAATGAACATAACTACATCTGACTATAGTTGACTACATATAGTCATATCTAGTCATGTGCAGTAACAATAATGCACATAACTACTTATGACTATAGTTCACCGAAGTAAATTTATCAATAAAGTGTTTTTCATTGTTTTTTGTATTTTTCATGCAATGTAATTCGAATTTTGCAGGTATTTTTTGAGTTCACCAAAGTATTTTTTGTATAGCCATCATCGAATTTTGCAGTTATTTTTTGAGTTTTGGTTTTAATTTTTTTTCTTTTTTTTTTCGTGCGAGGCTGTGAGTTTAATTTTAGGAGTCGACTTGTACATAAAACGCGATTGTTGTGGCAAGAAATATAATAAAAAAATCTCGAAACTTGTTCCTAGTGGTGGTGCGACAAAACTGACTGTTCATCCATTGAAGGCATAGAAAAGGTAATGAATTTTAATGTGCTTCTTAATATATTGAATCACTGTTTATTGGTCCTCAAATGATTTGTTTACTTTTTTTTTTATACTTGGGAGTATATGTGGATTCGTGATGAGAATATTTTGTTGGTAATATGATATTGATATTTTATTTATCGAGAATGAAATAGGTGACTACTTTACGTGTGTTTCAACTATTATTTTATCTATGGTGTTCCACTTCAACTTGCTTTGATCTTTGACCTTTGGTTAAACGAAGAATAATGACTAGCATACTATGTTTGTAATTTGATTTTGATAATATAAGCTGTCTCGTATCGCATGGAGAACAAAGTCATGTACTTGAAGGGACAAATAAATTCACATACATGTATATAGTCACATGTGGTCATATACATGTAGTCATATATAGTCATGTGTAGTAACATACAGTAATATATGGTGTAGTCACATATAGTAATATATAGTCACGTGTAGTAACATACAGTAATATATGGTGTTGTCACATGCAGTAATATATAGTTATATATAAACTATGTAGTCATGTAGTCATATATAGTCATGTATGAGTTATGTGGGGAGTATCTATGTATACCAGTAGGTGATAGTGCGTGTGTGCACATTTAAATTTGAAGCAAAATTCGTTGTTTGTTTAACTCTTTTTCGTTTTCACAGGTCTTGGTGTTTGAACTACTATGTAGTAAGTTTTTGCGGAGTGGATTGTGTTCGTTGTTCAAAACAAGCGGTTCTCGTGTTGACAAGTGTGATTTGAGTCAAATTTGGTCGTATAGATATCTGTAGTCATGTATAGTTTCAATTAGTTATATATATTTATGTACAAGCTATGTGGTTTTTCTGATGTATAGTGATCTTGATGATTGTGTTTTTTTTTTCACTTTTTTGTTAGGCATTAAATTATTTATAATATCAAGAATCAAATTTTGAATTTTTTTATTGGTATAGACGATTTTTTATATATATAATCAACGGTTTTTACAATCGATCGACCATAACTTTGGGGTAAAAAAACAGTACATGGCTATATATAACTATACATGACTGTGGTATACTATAGTCATGTGTAGTCAATTTCAGTACAGTAAATTAAAAAATTTAAAAAAAAATTTAAAAAAATTAAAAATTTAAAAAAAATTAAAAATTAAAAAAAAATTAAAAAAACAAAAATAAAAAAAAAAGTAAAAATTAAAAATTAAAAATAATTAAAAAATAAAAATAAATAAATAAATACAAAAAGAGGGTACGTATAAAAAAAATAATAATAAAATAAAAAATTATAATTTTTTATTAAAAAATCTGAAAAAATGATGAATACAGTTCTAAAAATGAGGAGTGCAGTTAGCAATAATGCTGAATGCAGGTGGAAAAGCTGAATGCAGTTGGTTAATATTTACAAATAAGAGCACAATAGTACTTTTGCCCCTCCAGGGGTGTATCTCAAAGAAAGAATTTTAGGGGTGGACTTATCCCTATATATTTTCCATTCTAGGGGTGTATATCAAATGGCCCCTTGAAGTTAATTACAAAACTAGTAATTTTGAAATTACATAAATGTTAAATTAGAATAAAATAACAGAAATAGTAGTAAATAATTGAAGTTCGAGAAAGTTCGAAATGAGACAACACTTTTTATGGATGTGGGTCCCCCCAACCCCAACCCTTCCGGAGCTCTCCAGTGTCCTCCCCTCTGGCTCTGGTACCGCCTCCCAAGCAATCTCCGCGAATGAATAAAAAGTAAGTAGGCCCACACGTACGCCACGTGACTTTGTATCCACCGTACATTATAATTAAATTCTCGAAACTACCCCTTAGATCTCACACTTCTCAACACCTCTTGTTATTTGCTCTCGTTTCTTTTCCCCTTAAAAACCCTTCCTCCTGTTCTTCGCTTGTAACGCCAACAGACACAATAAAACCGGACCTTTCTCTGAAGAACAATTCAACTACCTTTTTTTTTTTTTTTTCTTACACCCAGATCTCTCCTACAATCTCCCGAGAACAAGAAAAATGGCTACATCTGAGGTAATTTCTGTTATTTCATTTGCGATTGTTTTTTTTGATCGGGTTTTATTTTGCTTGGGGAGTTTGATCTTTTTGATTTGCCGTTTCGTGTTAATTAGGTCGAGGTTGAGGGGCGTGATCAGAAATTGAAGCACCTCGGATTTATGAGGATTCTGGCCATCAACGCCGTCGTTTTGGTTTCCGATCTCTACGGCTACGCCAAGCAAAACTCCGGTGCACTCAAATCCAGCATCGGAAAAGTTGAGAACGCCGTTACTGCTGTTGTTGCCCCTGTCTACGAGAAATTCAAAGGCGTTCCCAATGAGATCCTTATTTTTCTCGACACCAAGGTATTCATTCTTCTTCTCCCCCTTTTCTCAGTATTTTCACTCGATACCTTCATAATTATATGTCATTTCGATTGATGTATTTTTGATCAATTAAGTAGGTTGTGGAAATTATGTGTACCTTGTTTGATCGGAATCTTGTTTCTGACGAATTGTTTCGTCTTGATTGAATAGATTCTTTCGTGGTGATTATTGTTTGTTCTGTTGTGCTCTTTTTAACACGTACTACTCAGTTGAATGTTTGGTAAAATCGCATTATTTATAATTTTGTGTTACAAAATTGAAAGCTTGAAATTTTTGAATAAGCAATTACAGAAATACCAAAATATGTACGAAGCCTGTTCTTATGCCACCTCGTCATTGCATATAATAAATTTATGTTGCAAGTGTTGCTAACAAATCATGTTTTATTTGATAATTGACTGACTACTTATTGTAGGTGGATGAGGCAACCGTCAAATTCGATGAATGTGCACCACCAGCAGCCAAGAATGCTGTGGTTAAGGCCCAATCCTTTGTCAAGAGAGCAACACAGGTAGCTCATGACTTAGCAGAAGAAGCTAAAGTTGATGGTCCCATCGCTGCCGTTTCTCATGCAGGTGCAATCTCAAAGGAGTTTGCACTGAGTCAAATCGTTTTTGTGTGGTATAAAGCTAATCAGTACCCAACTTTGCATGGTGTTTTCGAGATTGCTGTTCCCACCGCTACACACTGGTCGGAGAAATACAATAAAATTGTAAAGGATTATGCTACAAAAGGTTATAGTTTCTTTAACTACGTTCCATTAGTTCCTGTTGAAGAAATGAGCAAGGCGTATAAGCAGGTGGAGGCTGCTGCTCATAAGAAGACAGATACAGGCAGCTCGAGCGAGAGTGAATCGGGCAAGGATTAGGTAGAGGTTTTTATGTTTTCTAGCATTTGGTTTTTCATGGATATTTGTTGTGCTGAGGCGAGCAAGGCCTCTTTTCAATTGGTGTGGGTTTGAAGCTTTATGTAAATGAATTTAGAAAACTGGTTTTATGTGATGTATGCAATTACCGTGCTTTATGTACATGCTGTGGTGGTTCGTGATTAACAATTGAAGTTCAATTTAGCATTTTTGACCATGTTGGAATGTAGTGGATTGACGTAATGAGTTCAAATTTTATATTTCCATTTGTTTGGTTTTAAGTTTCGTGTTATAATGAAACTCCCTTGATTATTAAGTATTTTTGTATTGAGAAAATGAAGGCAAGCCAATTATGAGAGAGGAAGCAACACATTTTAATTTTTTTCAGCTGTGATCTGCTTACCATTGTATGAGTCAGAACATGTCTGCAAATGTCATAAGAAAACATTTTTTTTTGCTGTTAATTTACAAATTGATGTGTTTGCAAACAACCTCTAACCTACAACTTACTTTTGCTAAATATAAAAATGTCTGTATAAATTTGATTCAAGGAAAAAAATAACGACGATGCAAATGTTTAATACAAAATTAAGCTAAAAAGGAAAGCACGCTTTTCATAGTACGGCTTCAACAGCTTATTTTTAGAGAAACGGAAGCAAAAATAGTATTTGCAAACACACTAAGAATCTGAAAATGCAAACCGAAAAGCTCTGTAGCAACACAACCTGGCTTGAATAAAATTTGGTCATTATATTTATTACAACAAAAGAAAAGATTTTCCAAGTCTTGTGGCACACAGCCAAAGAAATAGACAAATATAACCAAAGCTTGCATGGCTTTCAAGAGTCCTCACAGTTTAGTCAAATGCTCCTGACGCCCCTGCACGAAGAACAACAGCACGACATAGATAAACCACCTTGATAACATATTTTGTTGTTCCTGAAATTAGATGCTTAACGAAGAAGACATTGTTTAATTTCTCATTGCCATATCTTTCTTGGATTCTTCAAATACGTTTAGGACAGTAATATTCCATTCCTTCGACTCTGCTGAATTCTTGTGTAATTAATATACAGGCAGTCTTATACTAATTCACTAGTTCTTGGATCTTGCTAAACTATGTCACGGTCAATTACACACACACACACACACACACACACACACACACACACACACACACACATGTACCTAGAACTATAAGCCGCATATCATGCAATATTATGTAACTGCACAACAAAGAAGTTTATACATTCACTTGACTGGTTTTTGACAAGACAGGGTCAATTCCAGGAGATGTTACGAACTCATCATATGAAAGAAAATACAGATTCCAACACTAATTTAAGCTAAAGAACGTTCCCCTAATAATGAAATTGAAATCAGCATCTGTTCAGAAGTTCCTTCTATACATAACAATATACGGCGTCATCAAGGCAACTTACTTTTTAGTCATTATCTCCAGCAAAGGCCAACAATACCAAATTAGATTAACAAATTGAAAATCAAGATATTGCTAGTTCTTTTGATTATAAATCTTCAAATTGTGCTACCAATATATATCATCGTAAGAAATTAATTAATTCAAAAACCTGTAAATTATTCAGTCCTAAATATGTGACAGCACACACACACACACACACACACCCGAGCGGGCAGAGTAACGTGTATTAGCTTAAGAGAAAGTGAGAACTAACCAATTACTTGGAGGAGGAAGCACTAGGGTAGTCCTGCAAGAGGTCATCATATGGATCGCGACGCCCTGCAACTTGGCTAATCTGAGCATCCCAATAAATCTGAGCATTGTGGCGCTCAAATGTCCAGAAACCATACGGACGCAGTGGCAAGTTATACAGTGCCAAAAACTTCTTGCCCTTATCATATTTATCGTAAATTCGCTCCCTTGATTTCCTATCTCTCTCATTTGGATCCTCCATCAATCGCAGTATCAAGTTCTCTGCAAACTCCATTATGAACCCCATCTCCAAATCTGCAAATTTAAAAAAAAAAAAAAAGACCATTACTTTGATTTTAATTCATCATTCCTTAAAAATAAACATATTCAAAAGCTTTCATCGAGGTTCTGAAATTTGAGATCCAACGATAGTCAAATCAAAACGAAAAACACAAGAAAAAAACCGGCTTTGATTGTAGAAGAGCTCAATCATAATAAAAACCCTAGATTCTGAAAATTGAGACCGTCGGAATAAGAAATTCGGATGGGTAAAGGGAAATTGAGGCTAGGATAAATCGCAAACATGAAAAAATCATCATCGGAAAGAGATGAATTAGAGGAATAATGTTGAGTGATTTACCTTAGCTGATCGGCGATTGAACTAGAAGCAGAGATTTCGTGCAATTGCCTGAAACAAGTTCAGTATGCTCAAATAATGGGATCCAGATAAGCCCAATATGAGGTAAGAGTACAATTTATTAAGAAGCCCAATATGAGTCAAAATGTTATATAAAGTTGCATTTACACAATGGGCTTCTTTATCAGCCCAATGTGGCAATTAAATATTACATTTTAAATTTGATTTTGTAAAAACTATTTGTTAATGCAAATGAATTAAAAACTAGAATCGGGTGATCTGGAACCGTAGATTTATATAAATAATTATTTTTACTAAGCATACATATACACGAATATTTGTGCTTATGTGTAGATCAAAGATTAAAGATCATCCATTATATTTGATCGAGAGTAGAATCTACAAAACCAGTTACAAATTGCAAATAGGGGTCTAAGGAATGTGATGGGCAATTTGAAAGAAATTAACTTGTTGAGAGACTTTGACATCAATTATTTTGAGGCGGGGAGCAGAATAGGGCCCACAAGATTTACATACTTGACTTATATTAGATACATATTGATTATTGACAAACTAGTTGATTTTGGGTCCAGTTAATCTACCATTTTCCATATTTCTTTCTACCACAGTAATCCGTCTGAAATGGCCATATATACGACACTGTATTTGTTAAATGCAAGATTATTAATAATATTGATATTAATAAATAATTTAAAAATAATAAATAAAACACAAGTTAATTAAGTGAAATACTCAACCTCAGCGAAATAAATAAATCATAAAATAAGAACTGAATAATGCATGTTAATGACAAGAGATTTGGTCTTGACTTTTTGATGAACATACATAAATATAATATATGTATGTAGATTATAAAAAAATTAATACAAGTTGCCAAATCAACTAAGCAAGAGGTTGATGACAATCAATCTTAGCTTGTTGATGATGGGATCGTGAATTAATACATGTTAATGGACTTTTTAATAGCTTTATTGCACACTAAATTAACACAATATTAATACTGTTAATTTTTTCACAGACGAATATGCAGCCATTTCACACTCTTGTCAAAAAAGTAATAATTATTTTTATATAAAGGAACTCGCGCTCATATGTGTATGGATTGGGTAAAGTTAAACTCTCGTACAATGTAATAATCCGCAAACATAATCACATGGAATTGCATTATTGACAAAGTAACATAATTCAATGACAACATTATTAGTTATAAACTAATCAATTATAAGTTCTGGAAAGAACTTAGTAAACCGCTTTTGTCTCTAAAAAATAATAATATATTAATAACTACCATCATATATCATATATTATAGTCTGAGTTAATATTATTATTATTATTTGCTTGGTAAAAGAATTTAAAATGAAGTAGCTAGATCTTGCACACACCAAACTCTCTTTACAACAAGATGAAGTGAATCATGCCTAAAATATGAGGACAAAAAAAATTAAAGTAAATTAATTAATGACAATTTAATGTAATAGTCCTATTCTTAACCTAATTTCCAAGGGCATCTACTGCCTTCATGGCAACAACTAGACTTAATTCAAACTAATCCATATATCTTTTTCTATGAGCACAATTGTCAACTAATGAAATCGAAAAACCGGTAAGTTTCAAACGAACTTTAACGAAGTAAAAACAATATAATGGTTGAAGATTTGTTTGCCCTCTTCTTGAGGCAACTTGGATGGATCTCGCAGTTTCGTAATAGTAGTACTGTCACGAGTTTAACAAACAAAAAATTGATGCTTTGTCAAAAAAATATATATAAGGTTTTAAAGGCCTCCATTTGTCACTACAGAAACTATAACATTGACTAACATATTGTTTTTATCAGTACTATATTTTTATTGAAGTTTTTTGTGATCATTGTTTTATTTTTACACTTTCTTGAAATTAAGCATGATAAAATGAGTCCATGTTTAGGGTACATAATTGTACCGTAATAGAAATAATAATTAAGCACCTAATTCTTGTTGGTGAGACGTCAATTTACATTTAATATTTCAACCATTCTATGCAAACAAAATTGGGACAATTTTTGCTGCTCTTATTCAGGGAACGAAATAATTATGACAGCCTTTTTTTTTCCACCAAATTATTTACTAAAATAAGAAGAGCTGATTTCTAATGCATTACATATCGAACAATATTAATAATAAATTTAAAAAAAAAATTAAATCTTGTTAAAAGTTGTCACAGTTACAGTTGTAAAGCAATAAATCCAATATGTCAAATGGCCTCAAAACTTGTTGAGTTAGTGTTATATGATTATTAAGTTTCCTTCTGAAATAGCCAAAATACCAATGTCTTAATCCTAACGAACTACACAATAAAAACATTTGAAAATGGCAAATAAATATTAATGCTCATTAAATTATAATGAACTGTAACAGGTTGGCAAATTACCAGTAAAAAAAAAAGAGCATAAATAATTTTAGGAGTGATTTAATTTATTTCTGTTTCAATTGTGCTTGAGAGGTGGGGGACAGTACCAATCCTAGAGATATATAGTAATTAATTCATTGAAAATCAATAATTATATTACCCCAAATGCTGAATTTAAAAAAAAAAATTTAAATTACATATATATAGTGCTTGTCCTTGACATTCTCAACCAACAATTAGTTGCACCTCCAACCAACAAAAAGAAGAAGAAGAAGAAGAAGATGGGTTGAAATGGTTAATTGGGGTTGTAAGATTTGGACCACAGCTGTTGTTTTTCTTGATACAGTATGTTTGAATTTATGGGATTTTGGGTTTAGATAGTACTCCCTCTGTCCCATATTATATGTCTTTTTAGAGAGTTTTTTTTGTCCCAAATTATTTGTCATTTTAGATTTTCAATGCATTATTAATTGCACTATTTTCAATTTTACCCTTTATCACTCCTAATTAGTTAGTTGTAAAACAATTAATGTCAAGGATATATTAGTATTTTCCTATGTTTTTTACTATAATCTATACACATTTATTGATTTTCTTAATATGTGTGAAACAACCCAAAACGTCACTTAAATTGGGACGGAGGGAGTATGTAGTGCTAATAATTAATTGTGACAACAAAATGAATATACACTTTAATATAAGTGCACCACCATCAGAATTGAGAATTGAGATTTGAGATGCATACACACTTTTTCCTATATATATTCCATTCAACACCATGTGCTGACTCTTATTATTCAATAACTTATTGTGTTGTTATTATTATTAGTAAAAAGTAAAAACACCTCAATTAAAAGATATATATATATATATTTTAAGGTAGGAATTTTGGTAGCATATATTAATAATACAAATTTGAATAAATAATAAAATGTGAGATTTTAACTATATTGTAGATGGGTGGCATAATAATAAAGTTGAGTGAGTAGCACATTCTCCACTTGTTTCCCCCTCCCCTCTATCACACTTAGCTTTACCTTTACCCTCTTTCTCTAATATTATTCATTCTTTTTTCTTTTTGAAAATAAAATAAAATTATTATTAGTATTATTTTCCTTTTTGCTTTGTGTGCTTGGGTCAATCTCTTACTACCTGACAATTTTTGACCAAACATGAAAGTGTACATCTGAAAAAGGAACAGTAACTTGCCTTGTTTGTCATTGGATTTACTTGCTACCTAGGATCCCCTTCTCTCACCACCACCACCACAATCTCTCTCTATTTATATATATAATCATCACTTTTATTACAACTTAATTAAAATTTTGAATTTCACACTTATTGAATGAAAAATCATATTCATCTACTTACTTTCATATTGTAGAGATTCAAGTGCTCCCCATATATTCAGTCAGTCAGTCAGTCAGTCTTACCCCTAAAGTTAAGGCAGAATTAATCAAGCATGCATCTTAATTAATGTTTTATTCAGCATTAATTTCACCTAATAATTAAACAATATTTTGTAGAATTATGAGAAAACAGAAACACTTGTTAGAAAGAGTTTGTTTAAATTAGAAGAAAAACAAGAATATGGAATGACCCACATAACATGTGAATATGCAATTAAGTAGAAGTGTGAATAAAGCCCAGCAACATCAACATTCCCTTATCATTAGGTCCCCAGCTTCACCTCATTATTTCCCATCATCATCTACATATATACATACACCTTCTATATTTTTTTCTTCTTTTTAGTACACTAAATTAATATAATACAGTATTATTATTATGGGAATTGATCTTGGTGGTAAATATTTTCTTGTAATAATATAATTATCATATTCTTGATGAACTTATAGCCGAAGACGATACTGCTGATACATCAAAGACACAAAGAAATAAAAAAGTTACTAAAACTTAAAAATTAAATGGCGCATGTTGTGTTGTGTTGTGTTGTGTTGTTTCCCTATACAAAAACTGACCATAACTAAAAAAGATTTAACTCAATTTTTTCCCCCAACAAAATTTGGCCTCAAATCTTCCACTTTTCTTCATTTTCACCCCAACACTTTCTTTATCGACTCCCGTGCCGTTACCGTCACATTCACAGTCCACAATCTCGCCGTTAACTTTCCTCCATGATTTCGTCGCCGTTGACATCTTCATCGCCGTCATGCTGCATGTCATCACCGTTGTTGCCCTCATTTTCAACATCCTCATCCGCCCACCTCTCCACCGGAGCGCACTCCGCCTTGTGCCGGAGCTTCCAGTCCAGCGCCTGACAAGCACGCGAGCAATAATTCACTGCTCCGCACACAGAGCACCGACGAAACTCGTGCCTCCTTGTCTCCGGCCGCCCGCAACCCGAATGAGAACATAACCTTAGATCCGTGCCCGTGACACCCTCGGTCCGACCCGAAAACCAATCAGATAAAAATCGGTTCGCTGGGTGAGCCTCCGGCGCCGGCACATTACAGCCGAAATCGCTCAACAGCGGGCAGCCGGTGCCACCTGGCTGGCGGTGCGGGTTGCACGTGAGCCACGACCTGGGCACAACAGCAGAAGGATTCGCGGCTAGAACAATGGCTAACTCACGCGCGTTGGCTTGGACTAGGAATCGGCGCCCCTCGGCGATGTTTTGCTTGACGCCGTAGCCGTCCTGAAGGCAGTGGCCGAGCTCCCGAAGCGCGTCGACGTGGCCGAGAAAGGCGGCGCGTGCGCAGAGAGCAACTCCGGCACGGAGGTCCTTGTCGTTCTTGGAGCCGCCGCTGCCGTTGAACTGAATGACGGCGAGTGAGTAGAGGGCTGACGCGTGTGAGCTAATCGCGGCCTTGGCCATTAAGGATGCGCCGCTTCCTCGATTTTGCAAACAGTAGAATCGAATCTGTGTCCAGTAAATAAAACAATAATAATAAGAATAAGAATAAGTTTGGGCGATGAAAAACTCTGAATTTGTGTAATTAAAATTGCATGAAAGACCAGATTTTTAAACATGCATCGAATCTAATTTAGCAGAAAAAAAGAAAAGAAAAAAGACTAACCATGCCTAGGGTGTAACAGGCTTCGACATTTCCGGAATCGGCGCAGAGTTTAAGGAATCGATGAGCACACTCTGACCAATTTTTTGCTTTGACTGCCAACATTTTCTGAGAGGCTCTCGATAATACTAATGAATTCACTCCTAATCCGTTTAGCCTTTTACATCTGTTCATCAAACACCAAACATCAGATTCAGATATACAATCTCGATCTCCATAAATCAAATTAAAACTGCTATCTTTGCATTAATTAAACAAAACAGATTCAAAACAAACATCTTTATATAAAAAAATGAAACCGAATATATGAAATATCTATCCTAATTATCTATAGTAAAGAGCATTTTTTTTTTTTTTTAATTTTGATTCAGTAAAATATATACATATATATAAAAACGAAAAAGGCATAAAAAAAATCGTACGTTATGAGAACACTGATGAAATCAGCAGGGGAGGATGCGGTGAAGCTGAGTTTGCGGAGAATACAGAGAACGAGATCATCAGGTAAAGCGTCAAAGAAATCACATCCGCCGGGTATCTCCGGCGACGTTTTAAACTTTTTCCGGCAGCCGGCGGGCTCCACTTTCCTTCTCTTCACCACTCTGTTGTTATTCTCCACGCACATATTCATCACTCTAGGATAACACAATCCTCTCCTCGTTCTCATGATATATATAATAAATGTTCTCTCTAGTATTTGTTGTGTTGTGTGTGTGTGATTCTTCTTTCGATAATGAGAAATGAGATACCCTTGCATATATATATAAGAGAGAGAGAGAGAGAGAGAGAGAAAGGGGAAGTGAGATAAAAGCGACAAGAAATCACATTTTGTTAATAAAATAATATAAAGAATTTCTGTGGTATTTTTTTGTTTTTGAAAATTACACAAGTGACCCTTTGGTTTCAGATTTGTCTGTATTTACCTAAAAGAACGTGGTCAAACGTCGTTGACCAGATCCCTGCGCCCGTCGTTGCACCAGCGCGCCGCACCTTTTGCTTTTTTTTTTTTTTTCTCTCTCTGCACTCTGTCCTTACTTTCTGCACTGTTTGTTTTTATGAAAGGTTAAATTAAAACCCCAATTTTATTATTCACATAATTTTACTGTCAGAAAATTAATCCCTTTATTTTACTTTTTTAATCTGCTTTTTTATTATTAATTATTAATTATCTTAATTTTTTGGTTGGGTTTGTTTTGGAATCGGTTAACTTTGTTGTAAACAAAACTAATTTGGGTAAAACTTGTACGAAATTAACGACGCGCGTGGCGGTAGTAACTTAAAGGCGTGAATGTACGTTTGATGTGGCGTTCGATGCACGCGTTGTCGGTGAGAGTTGGGGAGGGTTTGAGTAAGTAACAAATTCAGGTAGCAAATTCTGGGCTTCTCTTGAATGAGCTAACCACTCAAGGTCAAACGAGTGATTCAGCACTAACAGAGGTTCAGTTGTTCGTGTTTGTTTTTACTTGCCATTTTTTTAATATTGTATTCAACAATTTTCTGTGTTGCCCTTTTTGCCCTTGTGTTTTGGCTTTTTCCAATACCCACCAGTTTTCTATCATGTTTTTGCTTCTACCACTCCCACAACCCAACAAATTTATGGCAACAATAAATTTGGTAGTAGAGATAAACATAACCCGACATCGGTCTAGTCGGTCCGTTTGTGTATTTTTCTATTTTCTTTTATCATTACAATTAATTATCATTGAATTAAACTAGATTAGATTTATCACATGCAAAGTGTTCACAAATTATAGGTTGCACCTATACATAAAAAACTTGTGATACATGAGTAATTGATGATGATAATATTGTTTACGGAAGTTTTGTAAAGAAAAAGAAAATTATTCAATTTTAACAACAAAAAAGTATATATTGTTGCAAATTTTGTTAAATTACTGGATTTTTTACCAATCAATCAAGATTTTCTACTTGATATACCTGTGATTTGATCTTAATATATATGATCACACATACAATTTTTAATTTTTTTAAATCTACATTATAAGAAAAACATTCTCCACTCAAAATCCTATTTTTTCCTAAAAAACACAACAGTGTGGGGATTTTTTAACATCTCATAAATCCAATGGGGGGCATCAACATAAAGCAAATAGGCATAATTCTCCACGTAATTTGGCCAAAACCTATTAATTTATGATTTTACTTGTCGAGGAATCCACCCAAGCCAAAATGTTTTCGATAAACCATGGTTTCGAGTTGGAGCTCAATTAATTAATAAATAAATAAATAAAAGCGAAACAAGTACAAAATTAAACTACTCGAACTGTCGCCACTCAATTCATGTTCATCTCGATTAAAGCTCATTTTAGAGCTTCATTTAGTTGTGATCAGACAAGCCCAAACAAAACTTTGCTAACCAAATAAAAATTAAAAAAATTTGAAAGAACAAGCATTTAACTCGACTTATAATTTGTTCACACGTAAATTTATATATAAAGAAACTCATTAAGAAAAGAATCACGCCATGTGTATACGTAACGTTATTAATTAAAGATCGAAAGAAGGTCAAAACTCAAAACGTTCGCTTTCTAGACTTTTAATTTTTAATTATTTGTTATAATGTAAGTAAGTGCATATTTGTGGATTGTATAATAAAAAATAAGCTTTCTAGAGGGAAAATGTAGAATAAAAAAAAAAGAAGAAATCGTGTTTGTGCTTCCCATGAAAAAACAAAATCAACAGAAAAGTAATCGTGAGCCGTCGAAAAAAGAAAAGAAATGGTATAGCCATAGGAATGTTTAGAAATAAATATATAGGGGTCACGTTAGATACCTGAAATTAAACGCCGGGTTGATGTCACGTTGCCGTCAAAATTAACTATTCCGGTCACATCAAACAGAGACGTGCTTCCCGGTACATACATATATTTGTATTGCATGCCACTCTCTTTTTTTTTTTTTTAATTGACTGCAAATACCATATATATATTAGCTACCGTTTATTCAATCTTATTTCTTTTCGTGCTCTAAACTTACTGCTTCTTCAGTTTAATTCAACAATAATTGCCTCAATGAATGATTAAATTTATTAAAAAAAACCAAAAAAAAAAACAAACCTGCAACTATGAAATAAAAGGTTTTTAAATTGATTTTTTTTGGATTTTCATAGGATCTGATGCGTTTTGCAGGGATTTGAAACACTTACAGCACGTTTTGAGCCTCAATAGATACCAATAATATGATTCATGATTATAGCGTATAGTTGCATTAAGTATGTAAACATAATATTACAAGTGATCAGTAACGTATTAGCTGTGATTATATTTATTTTTTTCAGATTTATTCATTTATAAATATTAAAATTCCCGGATTAGAGAGTTGTATTAAAAGTGGGCCTTACATTAAACCCTACTGATCGATTTGATACAAAATCAAATAAATAACATGATTAGTAAAAAAAATCGATCAGGATCAATCAAAATTATATAACGGGGTCGTGAACCTTTTAAACCGTCGAATCGTTGGGCAAAAATCAGATGCCAAAAAAATAGGAAAAAAAAAAAAAGAAGTCTGGTCAGTTATCATTATTGAAAAAAGATGCTAGTCCGATCGAATTGTTTTTCAGTAACGTGGTAAAACACAAATACGTGTTTTTATTAGTCATACAAATATTAATTTAATTATTTGAATAGTAATTCAGATATATACAATTGTTAAAATAATATTTAAGAAGGGATACAGTGCAAGTATAGTTTTTGAGTCACTGAATGAACAGAGTACTACAAGCAATATATATATTATATATTAAAGTTTATGTTGGGCCCCATGACATGTTTTTTTCCATCGTGGAAAAACGTTTGCAGAATAGCCCAAAAACCAAAATAAAAATGAGAAAAATAAATAAGAAAAAGAAAAAGAAAAAGAAAAAGAAAACAGAGGTAGATTGAAGGAAGGAAGGAAACTAGAAAGAGAAGAAGAGGATAAGTTGAGAGATGACGTGGATCCCATGGGATGATGTCGACCACTCATATCAAACCACGTGGGACCCTCGTGTCCGTACCACGCTCGTCTGCCCCATAAACCTAATCCCGTTCCTAAATCACATTTGCAAATAAATATTGTTACTAATTATAACATTGATTTCAATCCCCTTTCCTTAATGTACCAAAAAGAAAAAAGGAAATTGATTATTATGAATCAATAAATTAATCGAAAAAAATGATGAATAATTGAATTGTTATATTTGGTATCGAAGTAATCGGCATAAATATATAAAAATGAATAATAATAATAATAATAATAATGGGCGGCATTAACAAAGAGTTTATACACAAAGTTGATGGTTTGAGTTATGACGTCAAGTACTGTTGATAATGAATGATATGATAATCGTAATTAAGGCACAATATTAGTGATGTTGACCACGTTTGTGTGGTGATTATGTGAGTAACTTAGTCGTGTTAGTGTTGGTAGTTGGCTCCTTGTCAATCTCTCATATCATCGATTAGTCAAATTAAATTAAATTGGACGGCTTCTGTTATTAGCATTTATATTTATTCATTTTGTCTATTATCGTTTGTCCAAAATGAATTGAATGAAACTGTAATAATAATTTTAAATGATAAATGTAAAATTTGTACGCCTAAAAACACACACACACACACACACACACACACACACACACACACACACTGTAGGTGTTGTAGGTTTAACATATCGTGTACTACTAATGTAGTAAAATGCAAAGAAAGGACAATAAAAACTTGTTAGTTAAGGATGTCATTGGTGATTTATATTATACATATATAACATTTTCATGAGCTAGGTGTAATCTTTTAACACAATGATTAATAATTTGATCACGCGAATCGAATATTATATTTACCCTAGTTTATAAGGTCATATATAATATCTGTTTACACTTTAGGTGAAATTAAAGTTTTTTTTATCAGCACTAATATGTTTTTGCTAGGCAAAGTCGTTGACTAGTTACCAATTTAATTTGCAGGCGGGTAACATCACTCGTTAATTTTTTAGATGAAAAAATTACTCAATATTTTTCTTTATGCCATTTATTATCCTTGTGTAATTTTTGAGGTATATTTCAAGAAAAATATAAAATCAAAAAAAATCAAAAAAACAAAATATAGTTTTGGATTCTGGTACATAAATCAAGGGTGTGATGCTCTATGATTGCGTGCCGCTGGAAAAATGAACTACTTCCTCTCCTTTCGTTAGTGCTTACAAAATAATTAAAATGATAGCAACAAAAAAAAAAGGTAAAATTCAATCTGAAAAATTAAAACAAAGAAAAAAGAAAGTGAATTTAGGTTTGGGAGGTTGTTGTGTTTGGCCCCACAATTTTGTTGGGAAGTTGGGGACATGTGACAGTGCTCTCCTTCCTACAAGTATATTTGCCACCGTACCACACGTGTCCATATCTCCTCTATTCCTGTATCTGCATGCAACTGCTAACTACGTATTGGAATATATATATCACATATTGGAATAAATATATTTTAACATTTTTCCTTTTTAATTAATTTAATTTGTTTGGCATTGCGTGTAGTTACGTTATTTGTGTTGGGATGTAGTTTGTTGAAACCAAGGCAAGATTGACGTGGTTACGTTGGACCCATCTTGGCTCGTGTGATGCGTACCCCGGTTCACTCACCTCTCTTCTGAGTTACGGTTCAATTATCTTCTGCCCAATGCAATTTACTTTCTTTAACTGCGGTTCAAGTATATTTCAAGTTAATGTTTTTTTTTATCTCTTTGAGAATTTTGA